AGACAAGCGAGTTTTGGTGCATCTATTCCGCCACTTTTTTCTTCCGTGGAGAGAATGGCCATGGAGGCGGCCGCTTCTGCCTTAGGCTCAAATGTAATCCATGCCATGATCCACTGGGCTGGTGCTCCGATTAATTTTGACGACAAGCAAGCAACACTCCTCAACATCACATCACTTGCATCGCTGATGGTAATTCTCAACCACTACCCAATCCGCTTGATATGCTAACCATCTGTATAGCCCCAAGCATAATGATTGTCAAACCTCCACAATTGCGGCCTATTCCCTCTTTTCTGCTCCCGTTTGCGCAGCCACTTCCCCACGCTCGACGTCTGCATCAGCGCGTTAAAGCCGCTCCAATACCACGCCCGACACCATTCGTGCCAGATGCACAGACATTCCTCACTCTTATCGGGCGCAAATTGAGCCAGCATGCGTCAAAGATCCCTTCATGGGACGCGCTCTTCTCGCTGACCTCTGCTCAGCTCCGAGAGCTGGGTGTTGAACCACCCCGGACTCGGCGGTACCTCTTACGCTGGCGGGAAAAGTTCAGGAATGGGCAGTTTGGCATTGGTGGTGATATTCAGCATGTGGAGAATGGGACTGCAGAGCTTCGCGTAGTAGAGGTAGCTGGTCAACATGGAGGGAACCATAAGATCATTGTCAACGTGCCTGCAGGAGGCAGTGCGCCTCCGAAGACGCTGACTGAGGACATCGTGCCGATCAACGGCGTGCATATCAAGAGAGCACACACCATTGTAGGACCACACGTTCAGCCGCTGAAAGGGGGCAGGGCTGCTAAGATCGAGGTGAAGGAAGGCCTGTGGGAGGACAAAAGAGGACATAAGATTGATGGAGGTGAAAGACGACAAGCCGAGATTCGAGCAAAAAGGAGGGGAGAGGAGAGACGTGCAGCGAGATAGACAACTACATTGGGATGCCGTTATTGTAAGATTATGATTCTGGGGCTATGTGTCGCGTGCAGACTTGCAATTGTGGTGGCTTCGTTGGCGTCATGTCAGCAGGATATGTGTTTGAATTCTACATAGCTGCTTCTAGAAGTTCTGTTCTGGCACGGCTACAGATCATTTGTACGACCACGACCACAATACATTTTGAATATGATTATTTAGCGTCCTTTGCGAGTGTCAGGGGTCGTGATGGAGAGATGATTAGAGCGCTCGGCTCCAGTGCCGTGGATGCAGGATTCTTTCAAGGTCATCTGTCTAAGGAACACACGGCGTAGAGTCAACATCAGTCGAGCCATTTACTGGTAGGTCGTTCGGCATGTTCTTGGCGAACCGCCTGGGCCTTTTCTGGGTAATTGTACAAAACCGATCCTTTAGTAGTAAACCGTGTATCCGAGCCGTAGCTATTTAAACTCAACTATTCCTTCCGATGCGGGATATGTCATTGTCTTCCAGGATTCGTCCGGAAGCAGCCTCTTTAGGGATTCAAGGTAAGTGGGGAATGCCCAGGAGGGCGGAGGCTGCTGATTGATGATTCATACTTGGCCGTTAGGCCAACACTTACGGTAAAGGGAATTAGTCGGCACCGACAATGTTAATGGTGGTCTGGCATTCGAGAAATCGGAGAGACAATGCTCCATCTTATGAAAATGCGTATAATGGCGCCGTGTAGGGCTCACTCAGCGGGCATACCTATAGGCAGGTCCTACTGCACATAACTCCTGCCTGGCAGGACTCGCGGAGACTCGCAAGACGAAGACGACGCGCGACACATTACCAACCTTACCTACCTATAGGTATCCCTCATAGGGGGAGCGGTGGAGGCCCTCAGGCCAGCAGGTAGGTGACAATTGACAAGGTTTGATGGAGGCTCCTCTACTAGCGCTGCAGCATGCCCTATTTGAGTGCCATAACATCCTGATGGATAGCAGCTATACCGTACGGAGAAGGTCCCTACCTCCACTCTTCACTCTTCACACGTTCTTCATGGACCAGGTAGAGCCAAAGTATGCGTCATCTTGACGGCTGACTACACATCGAATCTCTCCAAAGACTCATCTGTCGCAAGATCTGGTCTAGAGTACGCAGTGCGGCGTGGGTTGATGGCTGTTGTGCATGGAAATCTGACGGATGCCTGAAATTGCGATCCATCATTGCCCAATGGCCCCTGTACAGTCCGGGACCGAACGCAGGAACAAGCCTCTTTCTCGCTACAAGTCCCCCCTCCCTCTGCCTGGATACCAAGCCAAGTCCCCTATTATTATTGCTATTGTTATTGTTAGGTATGCTTGAATCACGAGGGACCGTACTGTACAGTAGGATCAATTACAGTCTCCACGCCTTTCCCCCCTTGAGGATTAGCCCCCATGTGCACCCTGCTCTACTGGGATCCTCGGATTTCGTCCCGTATTCTTATTTTCAGAGGGCTTGAAAAGACCAAGTCATCAGTAGCCATTCGCCAATCACCTTTCATCTCAAGGTTGATCTAGGTCAAGGCTGCCTTGATGGACGAACAGCGGTATGGTTACAATTGCCTGTCCCAGTCTACTCTGTTTGGTATGCACCTGCATCACGTTCTTCGCCGTTGTGATTTTATCTAGACTCTATGGAGGCCTTGCCGGTGCTTCCAAAATGATGACTTACTTTCTCTTCATTCGTCCCACTCTAGGTAGTGGTTGACTTATATATATAAATATATATCCTCTAATCCTCTCCCAGCCTCTGCTCTCTTTCACCTGCTGAGCATCACTACACTGCACTTCACTGAACCTCCCCCCCCCCCATCTATCTAGACTTGAATTTTGTACTGTATTGTTACATTAAAAGCACTTTAGTCTCAGCGCAGCACTTTCATTGGAACAGCATTTGAGTTGATGATTCTTCAATCGACTTGTATCACCCGTCCTCGGATAGTCGCCAAACTCTCCCGGAAAGCATATGAACAGCCCAATCACCAAACTATATCTCACCTAGTAGATGTATGTACTTGCCCAGCTAGACGTGAAAATACCTCAAGCTGAATTTCTGAAGGGAATCTCGGGCCCATGAGAACGAACCCGTTGAGAACTCAGAGAAGCTCACTGAAGAACATCCAAATCGCAACATCCCCATTATCACAGTTGACGATCCTGATCAAAACCGAGTCATCAAGGAAGAATCATCAAGCACTGAAACCGAAATGTCATCTTCCCACCGCTCCTCACACCACTCCAGTTCTTCCTCGAAGGGGAAACACTCTTCCTCCTCCAAATCCAAGTCACCCAAAAAGGATGACTGGTCAGATATCACAGACCCTGAAGAGAGAAGACGTGTTCAAAATAGAATTGCACAGAGAAAATTCCGTGCGTGATATCACTTACAAAAACAGAACATGGTAACTGATTAAGCCATGAATAGGAGACAAGACAAAAGATGCCAAAGAGCGCCAGGAGCGCGACGCCGACAACCAAGCTCACGCAGGGCACTCATACAATACACCAGACCCTGACGAAATGGGTGGAAATGACGAGCTGTCCGGGCTTCCCTGGGGATCACTTTCCTTGAAACATGTGGTATCGAAGGGCAGAGCCAAAGAATCAGAATCCCGCAGAGGCTCCCGAAGAGACGAAGAACGGAGGAGTCCCTATGAATCTCAGTACGGCGCACAAGAGCCGGCTTATGAAGACAGAGACGCGTACTACGAGGCAGATCCAGAACATCACGAGGAGGGCGATCGAGCATATTATGACTATGGTTCCAATAGTGGAAGTTACGGGGGCAGCTCTCACTAGTGCAATATTGGGGTTTCTTTTTGTCTTTTTATGTGAGCCCAAAAGCAGTAAACATAGGAAACATTTGCTGATTATAGACAGAGACTTTTCTAGATACACTGTTCGCATTATCTATACGATGTTACGGCCTCACGAAATGGGATTTAAATTCTAATTATTTTGCCTTTCTGCGCGGGGTTTTTGCGTGGGGTATGATTTAGATTAGGGGATAGATTTCATAATTTCTCCATTCTAGCGGGCGGAGAGTGAGAAACTTAGGCAACGACCTTTGATCATAGTTCTTTGGGAACTTGGCCATGCCAATTACGTTTGGAAGAAGCTTGAATCCGGGGCGCTTAGATACTCATCTCTTTCTTTACGATTCTGTCAGCATTTCGAGTACTTAGATCTTCGGAGTGTTGCATGTACGATCTTATTCACCTCGGCTTGCTTAATTGTCATCATTCGTATCTCAGAGGTCAACTCTGCATGTATTTCTAGATAGCTATTCATAATTCATTGTTCTATGACTAATTTTCAAACCGGCTTGACCCAGGTGCCTTATGCTGTGAAACGCAAGTTGTACCGTGTGACACTATATAGCGCGTAAGAGGAGTAATGCATGCGGCTAGGGCTAAGGCTGGGAAGAGCTGAAGGATTGAGGAATAGAGTCACGCCAGCTTTGACAGGTTGATATAGGTAGGTAGGTATATTGCAAGGGGTCGAGTGTAGTGGCTGAACTATCGCCAAGTCAAGTGGACGCAAGTCTCCTTTCACCCCAGGAATAGATAACGCACTTGACAAAATAAATTGGTGGGTTTGTACATGCAGGTATTGAAAGCCTTGATGTTGAATTTCTGAACCTTGTTCAGCTGTGACTTATTGGGAGCATAAGCAGTAGTGGTACAACATATGTCGGAACTGCCGTAAATCTGGAGCGGTGGATCATCCTTGACAAAAATCCGGAGAAATCCCATATTCCGGAGTAGTAAGGAGATATATCTACAGTCACTGGCGTCAGTACTGTATATCCCGTTAGACTGGGATGATGTTTGAGGTGGAGGGAACGAACAAAGCAGAATTAGTTATAGAAACTGCTAGGAATAGGTATAGTAGGATACCCTACGGGAATTTGCTAGGAGGATCTTTGGGTATATTCATGGTAAGAATGCCTGTTCTTAAGGGATCTTATGGCAGTGACTTTCGTCTGACCATAATATGGGCCCTTATAGTTGATAGACTTATTTATGGTTGAATAACCGTATATCGCTATTTATACGCTAGCCTAGGTTACTATTTATTGGCCGAACTATGGTTAGTTGACCGTAGGTGAATTTTATTAACTACCTATGAGGAACCGTATTAGGGCCAGACCAAAGCCGGTACGGATTCTCTGAAAACGGTCATTTTACTATGATTTACCGGAAAATCGCCCCAGGAAAATTCCATCAGGTAAGGTAGGACATGTTTTCTTGCAGTAGCTGCAGCTAAATATAACCAATGTATAATTAATTAATGATACCGTGATCAATCTGCCTGCCATTAAGGTAGGCCGCCGGCCGAGTGAGAGTGAAGTGAGATGTGCAAAATAAGGTTTTGGCGATTACCCGCCAATCAAAGCACCAGAAGCTTACTCGAACATCACATCCCATCATCACCACAAGCAAGCAGTGGGCGGGTTAGTGAATCAGAGATCTAACGTTCCCAAAACAGCTCAATTGCGCCTCGCCATACAACATAGGGTATATCAGGGACATCACATATACGCCGATGAGGCTATTCCAAGCATCAGCACGATGACGGACACGCGCTCAAGGTCACCAGGGTCAACCATTGACGATGGGAGATTCTCAGAAATGGACGACCAGAACGTGACGCATCCTTCTTCGCCCGTTCGCGCAGATCCAAGAACGTCCCTACAGCACGTCTTAGGGACTGATTCGTCGCGGGATACCCCTCCATCCAAACCAAGCGCAGACTTGACAGAGGACGAAGAGGCCAGAACTCCCGGTCCCGCCATCGCAGATACCCCCACTACGATCACAGCTGGCACCGGGCGCAAGAAGAAGGATGCCGCGGCAGGAAATACACAGCAAAACACTTCGATATACAGCGGTAATAAGGTTAGGCACCTGAAGAAGGATGATGGAGAACCACTATGGCGAAAGGATATACAGTACGATTTTCTCAAGGCGGTGTTCGAGGATGATACGGCATGCTTCACAAACAGCTACGAACCCGATAACATTGGCAAGCAGACATTTGCAAATTTATATATAGACGCAATGGCCAGGAGTAGTAAGACCAGCAAGATTTTGAGAGATAAGCTGTTGACCGAGCATGAACCAGCCAAGAATATGGCAATGGTTTGCCTCCTGGTCAACTTGGGTCGCATGAACACTACTTTAAACTGTTGGTAAACTTGTTTCGCATCTCGAAGTTTACTAATATTTCTGCAGTCTTTCCCGAGATGCGAGCACAACTTCGAACCTACCATGCCATTCCATCTTTACAAGCACACCAAGACCCAAACTCCTACAAGCAGCTTCAAGATGCTCCCAGACTCAAATCAATACTCAAAGGTGCTTCTGAAGATAGACCAGAGCCCAACACGCTAGAAAAGATCAAGGCCCGACAAGTCCCTCGGACAAATCCCGTCAATCTTATATTCGTTCTGTCACAGTTCGCGCCGAAAGTCACCGAACTTCATTTCCCCCCAGGTCGAGACTTTTATGACCTAATCATGCGGACAAACTTATCTAGCGAATCGAGAGCAAGGGCGTTCTTGTGGTTGATGTGGTTTTATCTCGAATCCGATTTTACCGAAGAAGGCGCCGACGAGAACGTGTTTGGTGCAGGCGTTGACTATGAGGTCCAGGTTAGAAACCAGGGCGTCCCTAGATTCGTACAGCTGAAGCCAGAGGAACAAGAGGCAGAGAACATTGACAGCCCAGAGGAGCTCGAGTACGGCCACGCTAAGATGCGAGAAAGAAAACGAATCATCGAAGCAGACCAAATTGCGTTCCAACAAGAGCATGGCCCACCAAAACGAGGCCCAAAGCCAAAACTACATTTACCTCCAGATGATACTGGCTCTGCACTCATGGGAAGAATGCGACCAAATAACGAAGAGTTTGGTGCTAGTCCCGGAGGAATGATGAGTCGGATGCGGCCCAAATATGAGTCCGACCTCGACAGCACTCGCTCTACACCACCGCCTCGAGCCCTTGGTACTAACATGCGCATACAAAGCGTCCTTAATACCGGCGGCAAGGGTCGAGGCTCCTTGAAGCACCAGGTTACCGAAGGATCCTCGCCTGTAGCTCAACCACTCGAAAATATTCCATCGATGAGACGCTCACGCCCTTTGACCGCCCACCAACTAGCCGTGGAACGGAACCGCAATCAGCGCGTTGATTATATTCTGTCTCGCGGCTTAAGGAAGAAGCATCACCATTCCAGAAAAGGACGCAAGCAAGAAGGCGCCTTTGTCAGGGCTATGAGACGTATCAACAGTGTAATCGACCCCCTCGAAGACAGCGAAGGCGAAGAACATTTGCCAAGAAATCCCGCTCCCTTCAGGGAGAGAGGCTTTGGTGGTCTCGTCCAGCTCGATAGCGAAGAAGACGATTTTGGCGAGGAGATGTCAGCATATGCTGCCGCTTTCCGTCGCATGGAAAGGAGACTCGCTCGCTGGGATGACCAGAAAGATCTGAACCTGGGCGTTATGGGTACGAACCGCGTACCATTCGCTACGAATGGGCATGTTCGAGATGACGACGAGACTGAGGACGAGGCTCCCTTGGAAGCTTTCCAACCCCGTCGTAATGGCAATCTAAGTGAGGGTCTTGACGATATTGATAAAGAGATCTTGGGCTTAGGTAGTGAGGCGGACGATGATGAGGATCTCAACGATGATGATAAAATGCTGCTTGGACTTGGGGGCGAGGAGACGGAGGATGATATTAGTGACGGGGCTATGGATATGGATTAATGGACGGAGTTGCTAGCTGTACTTGTATAACCATGGGCGGTTTCCAATGGCGTATCTGGTGTGGCTTTGGAGTCTGGCATAGATATTGTCTGGTATCTTTACCTGAGCCAGTAATGCAAAAGCGATGTTTTATTTCTCTCTTCGGCAGCATCAAACTCGACCGATGAGATTACTTTACACCACTCAGAGGGTCACAACCCTACAATTGATGGACCTGTGATTTACGGACTCTTTCAAGTTGAATCTTCGGTTAGTGGAAAAGGGGTTTTAGCGAATGGCGGCGTTCGTGCAACCTCGTGCGAAGCAAAATACCTTCTGAGGTTTGCATTTGAACCAGAAGATGGAGCAATGAGACCATATTGTCATTATATTTGGTTAACTTCGGGGCAACAAGACAAAGCTGGGGAGATGATTACTGCAGTCTATAAATATGGAAAATATATCTTTTTGCAAATGTACGTAGTATTAACATGTTAGTTAACCTGAATGGTCTGAAGTGCGGCCGAGGGACAATGCTGAGTAGCAAGGCTATTCTCGAAAATTGCGTAATCTTCACTTGTCTTGCATCCTCAAGTGAATATTCTATATCAGAGTAGTAATTCACCCTTCAGGGAGACTAGGTGGGGCCTTTCTCGTGGGTAGATCTTTCTTTCTGTCAGTTCTCAAACAGCCAAACCCACGCGCAAAGATCCAACATCACTCTAACAATTAAGCACCCACTGCAGCAATAATGGCTTCACATACATCAATGGCCAGCGTGCTCACGCCAGAGAATTGGCTATATCCAGATACAAGCAACAGGGAGCTTCAGTCCCAAAAGACTTCACCATTCAATCCCAATGGCTTCACCCCAATCAATCAATGCTGCATCACGAAAACCGTCCCTCCGACTATGAAAGATTCTCTTCAAACACACAGAGATGAAGATCAAGAGTGGCTTGGAACATATCAAGACAGTGAACCATTCGCTGTTCTCAAGGCTGCTACTCAACCTCATGAACGCCGCCCTCATAAATTCAATCCGTCTCCCAGGTTCGAACAAGGGGATGGCATCGGCAACGCATTCGATCTCGAGGATGCTCATCGAAAAAAGCGCCTCTGCCAGCCTAAATCCCCATCTCCCCAAATTGGACAGCTCAAGAAAGGTCCTGGACTGCAATATCTAATCAACTTCAAGGTCACCAGGCCAGCACTCCGATATACGACCGGCCTTCTATCCCCACCTCCTTCAGGAAAAGCACCATCTGTGGAATGCTTCCAAACAATATCCCACACAGTACCTACCGCCAAGGGCAGTGGAATCACTTCGATCACTCCCCTTTCTTCGCCAGCCCATAACTCCTCCCGAAACCCGTCGATTTCATCTCGATCTCCCACCACCGCGCCCATCGACCGACCCAAGAATTTCCGTGAAGCATGTGACATGTTCGAGAAGCAGCACGAGATTTCATATTCTGACCCGAAGCGCTGGAAACGCCTAAGGTCACCTTCGCTTTCAGATGATGAAGATGAGACGTTTGGGATGAGAATCCAGCCGCCGTTCCATCATGAAATGGAGGATGGGTATGATACGAAGTTTGCTAGGCGTAATTATACATGCAACAAAGTCTTACTCGAAGATGCTAAACATTGCTTATGTTGAGGAAGATGGGGGGGAGGAACTGTTGGAGGTGGTGGAATCAGAGGAACATCATGGACGTTACGCTTTGACTAAGCCATTCTTTGTGCTCCCCCATGAGTCGTGGAATTAGAGCTGTTCGGCTGCTTTAGAAGGGTCTTGGGATGAAGTAAACTGGGGATCTCATTGGTTGTAATTTGACAGGCTTTGGGAGTCTGTAGATATACTTTTCGAGCTGTGCTCACATATGTCTCGCAGCTCTTGAATCTATCCTGCAAGACATAAAGCCGACTCGGTTCTTCGCAAATCGCTCTGGATGTCTTCAGCTGAGATAGATCTCTCACCACTTGTGATCACTTCCTCTTGCTTAGAGATACATCACACTCTGCCCCCCCGCCCCCGTCCCCCCCCCAAAAAAACCACGAACTTCTTTCATTCTTGCAGTCACATTTACGTCAATAGTGCGGGTTTCCTTTATCTTCCACTGCACTTATCTTTTGGAGCGATCGCAGGTGGAAAAGTATTAAGTATCTTTAGCATTTGACATGGAGGCATTGGGCTACATGAAGTGGAGGAGGTTTCATGGATCTGAAGGAGAAAAGGATAGATAGGACTGGGCGCAAAAAATGGAGTGGCGTATTAGCAGAGAAGGAACAGAATTTGCGAATTAGAATTCGGACGCGTAGCACCAAGAACCGCGGAGTTTTATAACCCTCCACCAGCTCCCCTCCACTATAAAAAAATACTATCAATTTCAACTTTCAGATTAGGGGGATTCACAAATAAAATCTTGGTTGGAGCAATCCCCTATTACGAGCAGGAAAGCCACATCTTAGCGCAATACCCCTATGCATTCAATAGAGGCCGAAGACTCTCAGAGCGATGTCCAAAAGAGAAGAGTAGTGGCATATTAATTTCGGTTCTTAATCGATAGTCACCTTGACTCTGAAAAGGCGCATTCTTAAGACACCGGGTCTTGCGAATCGAGTCAACAAGCCGAATCAAAAGAGTGACAACAGCAATGCCACTAGCAGATACGCCCAGTCCGCCCAGTATTGGCGCGTGCAATTCTTATAACGTAACGTGGGAAATAGTCGTGCTCAAGCCTCAAATGCGAAATGTTTCGGGACGGAATATATAGAGGGAAAGACGTTATATTTTGCGCCGCCCAGCCTTGCTGCTGCATGTGATTCGCCAGTCGTGGACCAATTACTACAGCCGTAGGGCGTTCTGGAAGAGTTCAACAAACTGTCTGACAGCTTCAGTATACTTGCCACACAACTTGGGAGGTTGTGCTTGGCACTGCTTAGGTTTTGACGTGTATTAAGGACGGCGAGGCTCATAAATATAGAGGTTGAGAAGCACGCAGATAAATGGGCTTGCCTGGATAGAGAAACAGCACTCGTCGTTACATGTATGTCCCATTTGGCCTGGCACATTTTAAAACTGGGACGCCTTCTTCTAGGTAGGTATGACTTGGCTGATAATACGTGCCTATGAGCTATACAATTGGATATGCTGACTTGGAAAGCGTTGCTCCATCTTGAATGATATTCGGTATATGAATACGGTTCGGAATTGCAATTGGACTAGTCTATAAGCAACACTTGTATTTCAAGGCAATAGTATATGGACCACTAGGTGACGAGCTTCTTTACACGATGCAGACTCTCACAGATGCTCAATGATTTTACAAAGGCTCGCAGATAAACCCAAAAATCAAGACTCGACGTAAACAACGTGTGATGCCAGCGTCTTCTAGAGAAGTAGAGTAGCCTAGAAGACCGAGATGCCATTCTGAAAGCAAATGAAGGTATCATAAAGCATCCACCCTAGCAAGGTCTCCGCCTTTGGAATATTTTATGGGACACTGCTTTGACCTACTTCTCAATGTTGAGTTCTAGAATAGAATGAAGCCTGCAGCAAGATGTATGTCTCTGATCGTGTCCACAAAGGGGTAAGTCCTCACCTCATCTGAGGCGATCTCCGATTCGGAACCGGCACGTGAATGTAACATCAACCTTTTCTCTTCTACGCGCGCCAGCCTCTTCTATTCTTACTATTTTCCTAACCCACATTTCACACAAACGAATAACAAATAGCAAACCCCCACCGCTCTTATCTTAATCATGACATCTTAGGGTCATCAGATCAGCCAACTTTCCTCATTGCTTTTGGATATCTTGTCATCGAGGCGCACTGCCCCGCGATATGTCATATTTGCTTTGTTGGTCCATGTGGACGGCGTGGAGTTCGGTGGTGGTGTACAGATGCTTGCAGGTACTTGTATTTGCTCTAAATCGATCCAGGACACCCGTCCCGCTAGATTTGTGCGGTCGAGGAGAGGGCCGAGCCGGTCGTATCATTACCTGCTCGTCGGAACAATGAGCAAGTTTCCCTTTTCATGCTCGTATTGGTTCAAGCAAACCATCTCGGAGATCAGATGTGCTCTCATACCGGCTACAGCGGTAAAGCTTCACTTGGTGTACAAGATTTGCTGCTAATGAATCTGACCTGGGACACAGCATTACCTATTGGAACGGATTCAGGTACAACAAATCAGAAAGGATGCATTCTTTGATCGGGATACACCAACAGCGTGCAATTCCTGCATGTTCCCGTCGATCATGCATGCACTCGCTCGTGTCCTCGCAGCGGGATATGATCATTCATTCAATAGCACTGCGGGGTCGCCGGTGGAGCTCATCTTAAATTGTTTTTGATGGCATTCAGTGGGCGCTGAATGCTGCAAGTGGACATTTCAGGTGCGGCTGAGAGAGATATTAAATAATAAATAGGCGCCGAAAAGGGCAAAATGATATGCATGGAGAAGCGAACAGAGTAAAGAATTGCGGATGATAATGTAATAGGAATTATATCAAATTGACGGTAGCAACATTTTGAGACAAATCCACGTTTGCAATTAACAATCAACCGGAGATTGGTAAACGTTGGTTCACCTGTGGTATCTATCCCTCGTAGGCAGAAGTCTAGATGATGAGGAGACGGATTCGAAGCCGGACCGGTTCAGTGCTTGCACAACGGCCCGAGTAAGCCGCATATGCGGGGTTCTTCAACGATTGCCCCTCAGAATGCAAAGATTGTGATGTATCAGATGGCGATTGCAGATAAGAGGATCGATGTTTGCTTGGATTGATTGAGCTGCAGAAGTGCAGGTGGGATGAGGGGTAGAGAGGGGAAGAGATCTATCGAGAATCCGGCTAGTTTAGACTCTGGGAATAGATATAGAGGGACAAAGTAGGGCAGCAGCAGGGCACAGCTAGCAGCCCTGATGAAGCAGTGCACACGGTGAGTAATACAGTATAGGATAGGATAGTATAGTATAGCAGGGTATAGTACGAGCAAGGCTTCAGCACTCATGCACGAGAGTTTGATTTTGGAATCATACAGCACGCTAATACTGACGGAGCATCGATAGTATACTAAATTCCTGATGGCATGGTGACAATGGTGACAGTCAAAGGCTTACTGAAGCATGTGCAAGGTAGCATAAGAGAGGAAAAGGTTGCGACTTCTCCGATCACCTACTAAGATAGGTAGGTACGGTACACACCTACTATAGTACCGCTTGCTGTTGTGTGACCCACGGGAGACAGAGCCTCTTGATACTAGCAAGATGACTGTATGAGATGATGACTGTGTTGCACAGTACAGTACTGGTAGAGGCTTTCAGTTTCCCCGTCAGAAGTGCAGTCTGTCATGTCTACTCGAGTGCAAGCGTCGCAAATAATAGAATGTCAAAAGCAAGGCGAAGACGCCCGCACGCGCTTATGTGAGCCTAAGCCTTCCAACACCTCAAGGCAAGGTATAGTACGCTGAATTGGATGAATATGGATGTATTCGAGTACAACACTACCATACTACCATAGTAATATTTCCGAGGGTACCTACTGTAAGAACTACTTGGTGGTATTTGGGTAGGTACACGTACATTACATTACCGGCCCGGTACTTCTCCTACCTCACACACTACTTGTTCTATTTCGATGTGTTGTTGGGGGCGAAGCATACAGTAGTTACTTGTTTCACAGGATGGGATGGATAAGATTCTGACAAAACACCCAACGCCACCATCCCAAACCAAAGTCTAATCTCGCTCTGCTCCACGATTCCCCACATTCTATTTTGGTGGTGGTACTGATAACGCATTGGATTGCTTGCGTATGCAGATCATCAGCATGTTTCAGGCAAGGGAGATCGCAGGGAAGGCGTGACCTTGACCCTGCGTTGCCCGACTTGAACATGCCATGCCATGCCATCTGAAGACTGCAATTTGCATCTCCTAAAACTTTGTGAGTTATTAGAGGCATTTAATTAATCTACAACACGCTGCAAACAAGTCCCTCATGAGAAGCACGCGCACGCATGATGCGTGCATGATTGGATGGGCAGACCAGTACTGCGTTCTAACCTACAGTACAGGGAGAGGCACGGCAGTTTGGAATAGCTACTTCGAAGTAAAACGCATCGCAAATTGTTCCTTCTAATTGCGCAGGAAGTGGTGCTCGCCGACCTGCTCCTGCTCTTTCCAGCCACGCGTGCAGGCTGCTTGCTTCTTTGCACCTTCTTTGGTCCTTCTCTGCAGCTTCCGTGCGTCTCTCTGCATCATCTCACCGGAGAACTGTCCCGAGACGATCCACATGCAAACCATATCCACGGCGGCCACGTTATCTTTATCGCACAGGGCGGCCGGACCCTGAGGTTATATGTACAGCAAGTACGGAACAAAGTTAATCATATGAAACTGTAAAAAGGGAGCAAGCAGAGCCGCCTATCAATTCGGGCGTACGAAAACAACAATGGCGGGCTGGCTGGCTGGCTGTACTTGTACTCGTCCTCGTCCTCGTCCTCATCAGACTGACTGTCGAAGAAGCCAGGTCTTGCGAAATGCCCGACCCCGAACCTTCCTTGCCGTGTGCCACCGTCACGTTGCCGGTCGTCCAATGATAATGGCTATTTACCAGGTGTAGTGTGGCCGTGGTCTGTGGGAGGAATCCGCGGTTGTGGTTGACCAGCAGGGATCCAGCGGCATGCAACTGGCTGCTTTTCCCCCTCGTTCGCCCTGCCCCGAGTCCCTCCAAGCTCCAAGCCAATCAAATGTACGAAGCATTTCTAGCGGGGCGTTGACTGGTCCCGGTACTTGACCTGCCTTGCTCGACCTTTGACATGAGATGAATGGGTGACGAGGATGAGGGCGAATGGTGTCAAGATGAAGTCCCGAAACGTTACGTCGTGTCCTGGAGGCGTTGTCATGGCTGGTTGGCTGGCAGCCATTGCGAACGAGCCAGCGTACCTTGGGTAGATCTCTAAGATACGGTATTCGGCGGCAATGCCAAAGAGTCACGAATTGTTGGCCTTTACGAATGAATACGGTACACGTCAAGAGAGGTCGGCCGCTTTTACTCGGTACAATCGCTTTGCAGTTGACAGGGCAGGGGAAGCACATGGCGTGGACTATCAGCCAGGGCCATGATTGGCCAGAGGGCTGGCCCTATGCACTTATGTGCCTGGAAAGGGATTTCGAGCCCGCCGTCCTGCCTGCACCGCCATGGTTCGGGGATGCTATACAGTAGTGGATTTCATGTAAATAATACGGAGGTATGTTCAGTACTGTACGGACTAGACGGAGTATTAAATTAGAAGTACAAGAACTCTGTTTAATGACTACCTAGTATTTAGCTCGGCAGAGATACTAGTCGGTAGCCGGCTATTTACGCCCGATAATACGGGTGTACTAAATTAATAATACTCGACTAGTTTGTATTACGTGCCACCGACCTGTCAATTACGGATTACGGTTACGGACTACGGATTCAAATCTTAGCTAGACATGCCATGCTTCTGGTGCAGAAAGAAGAAGCCAGAAAGGGGTCCAGAGAATAGGCAACGTGACTCTTGATTGAGGAACCAATGCGAAGCCAATGCAGAGCAAAGCAAACCTAATGCATATGCAGTGCAGTCCTGCAGCAACTTCACAGCCGACCGAGTACACGCCGTACGACAGCGTGCTTGCTGTATTGTACTGTATGTATGGCTGGCTGTATGGGGATGGAGATAAGGTGCGAACCCAAACCCCATGTGCGGCCCTCCATGCCATGCCATGCTATGCCCATGAAACGGGCCCTACTCCCCCTACTGGGTAGCAATCCCTGCCCGATGACGATGTTTCTGTACGGAGCTGTTTAGGTTTTTTACTGTAGTCTGCAAGTAGTCCTACTTCAACCCTCTAGCTTCCATGTAGCACCAGATTCCTCCGTATTGCCCGCGGATGCCAAGCAGGTAGCAGGTACTTCGTACCAGTAGTAGTCAAAAGGTGCTGGTTCTGTATACGATACGCCCACCTAACCATATGCCCTGTCTGCTCTGTCTCTGCCCTGCCCTGCCCTGGCGCCTGGCTGTGCTTCCATGACATGACCATACTTCGTAGCTGTTGCTGCTGCTGCTGCTGCTGGTGACCCCCCGCTGGCGGTGAGACCTGAGGCGCCAAAACTTTTCTATTTCCATTGCGATGGCCTCTCTTCTCTTGTGCCATTGGAAGGACGTGCCAGCGAAGCAGCTGTCGTTCCTGGCCCACCCCCATGTCAATTATCGTTCACAAGACCACCAGATGATACTGATGCAACGCAATAGAGAGCGGTGTACGAGGGAAACAAGCCAGGGGAGACGAGGGGAAGTCAAAAGAGGCCATACAGAGTGGCTGTATCCCGTACTATACTGTACACTTCCAAGCACCAGGATAGGATAGTCCGAGAGGAGCGAGGGCTTTGGGAAATCAATTATCGATATAAATAAAATATAGCCAAGCCCCCATTGCTCACTCACTCACTCACTACTCACTCACTCACTCACTCAATCCCTACGTAAAGAAGCTGAACTTCGCCCAGTTATAGTCGCTTCCGCCTCGTTATTATTATCAATTGTTGCTGCTGCCTCAACCTCTGATCCCCTGTCCTTTTCTAGCCTCGAAGGATTATAACATAACTCATAACTTAACCAAGCTGCACTCGTCGCGACAGACCCGACTTGATTTTTATTTCTCACACGCCAGCTGCCCAGGCTGACCTTGCAATTTGAGACTCCATCTGACACCCTGCTCGATCATCTCCACCAAAAATCAAAATTATATCAGCAATTGTTTCTACATGTACAGCTGCATCTGCAACAGCAAACGACAAGGAAAGGAGATTATTCTACACATCCCAATTCGAACCCAACAATAATCAGCGCCCACGGCCGTGTCTCCTGAAAATCTTCATATCTCCAAATCTGCCTCGGCGATCTCTAAGATTTATTAGCTGGGCAGGAATTTACACTCTCTACCGGCAGCCCATCACCGAAGGGAAGGGAAGGGAAGGGACCCACCCACTGGACCTACACGAGAGCTTGCTGCTTACCGTACAACCAAAAAATATCTCCCCCTTCCAATTCCACCCCCAGCCCAACCGACACAAAACCTCGCCCACGCGCTGTCGCCCAATTTCGTTGCTTCTATTCACTCGATCCTCTTCTTTTTGTTTTGTTGTCCCTCCGTCTGCGACTCTGCCTTCGACATCCGTCCCTTAGAAACTGCGACTACAACCCATACCATACCATCCTGCAGGCTTGGGATAGTCAAGACGTCTTTACTACCCAGAAGTGGCCAGGTGCATCAGCCCTTTCCCTTCGACATATAGACAGCTCACGATCCTTCACCACCTGACTCCGTCTTGCACAAGCTGCAAGCAGTAATTGACTTCATCCCGCCGGATTTGCCCCGACAGCAACAGAGCTGTGCTGTCAACTCACCCCGTCTGGCCAACCACTTTCGACTCTACTCTTCCCCGCAGGTAGATTGGAGAAGACATGCGTTCAATCCCGCATCACCAGCTCTGGTCATAGAACATCTCTTCTCCATTTACCGGCCTACGAACAACGTCCTCCGTCATTGGGCGATTCCTCCATTCCGAAGTAGGGCGCAATGCCCTCCTCCCCTTCTCCAAGTCCGTCCTTGCGGGCAGCGCCTACTACGATGGATATACCGACCTCTACGACTATGACTCCTCAATCTTCCCAATCTTCCCAATATTCATTGACACGGCGCGCAAAACCCAACCATGTCCAGACCAGCTTCATACCCTCCATCTCGACGTCTACACCATCCGTGCCTGCGTCTGCGATCAGCGCCTCGTCGGTCACCACCTCAAGTTCTCCCCAAGCCTCCCCAATCATGTCGCCCGAGACCGCCCAAATTGCTACGAACAACTCTTCGATTCAGGGCTCACCAGATGTCCTCCGCGGCCGCGACTCCGACTTTCCTCCGCCCCCGTTCGAGCTTCCCGAGTCCATTATATCGCGCAAATCGAGCCATAGTGCAATGAGTGAGGCTATGACTATGAGCAAGTCCCCTGGGTTAATACGAAGGATATCCAATCGAGCCACTCAGTTTGCCGGCCGCCGGCGCCAATCTTCAACCACAGCGATGAGTCGTGATCACAGCACTGGGCCCGTCATTGTTCGACGGAGAAGTGATAGTACCAACACAGCGCCCGAGGGCGGCCGTGGGGCTCTTATATCTGATTCTGAACCAGAATTCGTTGGGGACTGTCGTGAAGAGCTTCATTACACCCCCTTGGGCATGGATGGACCTCGCGATTTCCCGAGTACTACTGCTTCTATAGGTTCATCGACAGTTCCTACCTTGAGTTCTTCGCCTGGCCCTGTCATACCAGCTATACTGACCCAAGGAACGATCATGCAGAAAGTGACAAAGAAGAAAAATAAGACCATGGTTTTCGTTCTGGATAGCGAGTCTGCAAAGGTATCTTGGGGCAGAGATCGACCCTCAAAGTCTTTCTATATCGACGATATCAAGGACATAAGGGCAGGAGCAGATGCTCGGAATTACCGTCAAGAGTTTGGGGTCTCAGCAGCAGACGAGCCAATATTCTTCTCCATTGTTTACGCTGTACCAGACAAATCAAAAGGTCGTGCACAGAAAGTGATGCATTTGATTGCCACGGACGAACAGACTTTCTACCTCTGGACAACGACACTTGATGCGATATCCAAACACCGTCAAGATCTTATGGCTTCGCTATCATCGTTCCATGACAAGGCTGTCCGGGCGTGCTGGCGAACTGAAATGAGCAAGCAATATCATGACAAGCCGCACTCTGATGATGAAGAAGAAATTGATATTGTTGGAGTAGAACGGCTTTGTCGTTCCCTTCATATTCACGGCTCTTCCAATTACATTCGTTCCAAATTTGACCTAGCAGACGTGTCACGAACTGGACGACTGAACTTTGCCGAGTTTCAGGATTTCGTCAAATTAATGAAGAGGCGGGACGATGTCGGAGCAATCTACAGAGAGTTGGCATCTGATTCTGAGAAGGGCATCACGGCCCAGGAATTCTTGGGCTTCCTTAGAACAGTTCAACGCGAAGACGTCGATGCCGACCGAGCTTACTGGGAAGGTACTTTTGCAAAATTTGCTCGTCGTTCAAAGTCAAAGGAGCAGGGATTGCAAGATACGATTGAAGGGACACCTCGAATGAACGAAGCCGCCCTTACTAGCTTCCTGATCTCGACCTTCAATGTGCCCTTAGAAGCCTTTCCGACGCAATTCAACCCAACTCTGAACCGCCCTTTGAACGAGTATTACATTTCCAGTTCCCACAACACCTATCTGTTAGGTCGCCAGGTGGCTGGGCAGTCGAGTGTCGAAGCGTATATCTCAGCCTTGAATCGTGGTTGTAGATGTGTCGAGGTGGATTGCTGGAATGGCAATGATGGACAGCCTGTTGTCATGCATGGCCGAACACTCACGAGTCAAGTTTCTTTCCACGATGTCATGTCGACAATTAGCAAATATGCCTTTGTCAAATCACCCTACCCCTTGTGGATTTCGCTCGAGGTCCATTGCAACCCAGCGCAACAAGCATTGATGGCCGAAATCATCAGAACCACTTGTGGTCCAAAACTTGTCACAGAGCCGCTAGATGCATCATACGAGCAGCTTCCTTCTCCGTCGCAGTTACTCAATCGAATCCTCATCAAAGTCAAGAAACCTCGACTGTTTCACGATTCTAATTTGCCGGAGCTACCGACAGGACGAAGTCGGGGCAGTAGCGTGAATTCCCCATACATTCGCCCAGCACAGCTTGACAACTCGACTATCTCGGCCGGTCTCCTGCCCCCAAGTCCATATCAAAGAGCACCGGGACTAGTCCGTGCCCAATTCAAGAACTCGGGGAGCGAGGGCCCAGATAGCTTGAGCAGCAGCACCAGTGACAGCGAGAGTTTTACAGAAGACATGGCTAAAGCGAAAGAGAGCAATCGGCGGAACAAGACCAGTAACATCATCAAAGTTCTTGGCGAACTGGGTGTCTATAGCGCTGGCCTCAAGTTCCACGGCTTCGATACTGCAGAGAGTAAGGCTTGCAATCATATTTTTTCTTTCATGGAAAGTACCTTCGACAAGAACAGCAGGACGCCAGAAGACAGACGGGCCATCACAAGACATAACATGCGATACATGATGAGAGTTTACCCCAATGGATGGCGAGTCGCATCGACAAACTTCGATCCTCTTAAATACTGGCGACGTGGAGTTCAGATGGTTGCTCTCAACTGGCAGACATATGATTTAGGAATGCAAATGAACGACGCAATGTTTGCAGGCGGTACCGATCAATCCGGATACATCCTTAAGCCGAGGGAATTGCGAGAGATCAAGATGATTCCCAGTGTACTTAACGAAGCAGGTGCTGGTTACATCAAGCGGGAACGCAAGAACGTCAACTTCTCTATCGATGTCATTTCAGCACAGCAGCTTATGAGACCGAAGGGGCTCGCCCAAACACGCAGCGTTGACCCTTATGTCGAAGTTGAAGTTTTCCATGCCGACGACAAGGATAAAGATAACAAGGGCGTTGTTGGTGAAGGTGGCTCCGAAGCACCTTCCAAAGATGGCTCATCTGGACTTGGTACCCCACACAAGCGTCGCACTGGTATCCTCCAAGAGAATGGCTTCAACCCTATCTTCAACAACAAGTTCACCTTTGATCTTACGACCAAGTTTCCAGAATTGGTTTTTGTCCGTTGGACAGTACGCTGCTCACCGGACGGTCACAACTTCAGCGACAAAGGCCTTCCACTTGCAACGTACACTGCTAAACTCAGCAGTCTCAAACAAGGCTATCGCACGCTTCCTCTCTACGATGGTAACGGGGACCAGTTCTTGTTCTCCACACTGTTCTGTCGCATCAAGATCGACCCAGCTACCAGCATATACGTCAATGGGCCAGAAGCTCCTGAAAGAGAAGGGGTCTTTAAAACCATTCGTCAAACCGTCTTCAACCGAACTCCAATGTCACCCAAACCCTCACTTGATACTGCTCATCACTAAGTGACCTACCTCACGACATTCATCATATTCTTCTACTTCGAGTGCACATTCCATTCACTGTACAAAAAGTTATTAATGTACCTGTACCTACAATTTTCTCTATGATCCGTCCAAGCGTTGGGGCTTTCCACAGTTTTTGCAAAATTTTCAGGCGTAACAAACAGAAGGGAAATTGGGATCATTATATATCATATAAAGGAAGGGAACAAAAGTGGCTCGCGCTGCGCTTTGCATTTTCACGGCATCATAAGCATTTATCAACGGCGCTTGCTGCTTCATCCACTCGCTGAGATTTCCTTTGTCTCTAGATTTGCCTTGTTGAATTTTCGGTGGACTGGTCTCCTCCGCAATCTTCAATTAAAGAGTTTGTCTTTACTTCTACAGCTGCGCTGCTATTGTCGACGGGGTCGTGATGAACGCTGGACTGGTTTCTTGCTTTTTCGCACCTCTTTTCGAGACCTACGAATGGTTACCACCGGGCTTGGTGATGGAGTTCTCGCGTTTTGCAGATGGTATTTATTAATGAGAGTGGTGGATTTCGGGCTGCATCCATGCACCACCTCAGATGCATTTTGGTTGGGAATTTCTAGGCGGCGATTACTTGCATGCACGGCGTGGCACATTTGTACAGAAACAACAACGAACGATCGCAAAAGCTTGATCGATGATTTCTTTTTCGCTTTTAGCATAGGAGATGAACAGATGATGGGAAAGGGAAACTGTTGCATAGATCGTGTGGACCGCACTCGGTGACAGATAAATGCAATGACAATCAAATACAGTTCTCCCAACCTTAATGCCTCTATTGCCTTTTTAATAATACCGATCCTAAGCGTTCGTATCGCTGTCGACGCTGACCCCCTAAAAGGGGCAAATCACCTAATGAGTACAAGTACACGGGCAGAAAATTCGTATCACCAACCAATCATTTTTCCCCTATTAGCAGCCCCCGAACGCATCTAACCTAACGAGCTAACCTTTCCAAAAAGCAACCATTGTATTAATACCCAAATTTAATAAGAAATTAGCCTCCTCAGCCTCTTCAGCCTTCTTTACGAACCATTCCGCTCTAATCCAATCGTTCAGCTCGGCACAGAGTACGGAAGATTTCAAGTAAGAATTAGCAATGCCAAGCAAGCCATTTGATTATACGTGCATGGTAATTATACGCGTGCGAGCTTATGTCCCGGGCCCGACGTCCGGCATCTTCAGGTTAATGATTAAACTTTACTATATTAAATTAAATGATACTTCATTAAAATATACTTCACTAGTGCATTTAATTATTTGTACGTAGGGCTGGGCTGGGCTGTTTACTAGTTATACTAGGTGGCTAGTGCACTCACTGCCTATTCAGAAACCAACTCCTGTACTCCGTACTCTCGAGGCCTCGTCTCGCTGCTTCAAGGGAAACCCATGAACGTTATTCCTAGGTATTCTTCCCAAGCTCCCAGATGTCGGGATTCGCAAGGTTCTTTTTTGGGTCCACTGGACTGGTTTCAGAGCCCCAGGCCCAGGGATATCTGGACGCTGCTATACTGTGTGGCGCTGGTAGCCTAGGGCGGAGGTTTAGTTAGCTTGCGGGTTCTTTCTTTGCAATGGCGTGTTTAATATACCTATGTACTCATGCCCAAGTAGGTAATTTGAATTATACGAAGAACTAAGGAAGTGGAAGCGGGGTTTTACTCAGTAGAACGAAAGCTAACTATCCTTCTTCACGTATATGAATTCTATTTCCGAGGAGGCTACTTCCTGGAGAGTTCCTTCCTAGACCTTAGGAAGGAGTAAAAGAAGTTACGCATCTCCTTTACTATTGTGGTGAAGAGATGTGTATCGTCGCCGATTTGGCTTTGCTGAATCCTTCGTGTTTCATTTTATTCCCCTACTTGGGATTTACGGATGTAGAACTATTTATTTACATCCTTCCTTATTGTTGCGCGGCCGCGGCGTCGTCGCGATCTCAAAAAGCTTGCCCGGTCTACCGGGAGAAGTCGCATGAGCATTCAAATTATTATCCTTCTCTGTCTGTACTTTTGACTTTTTTTCACCTCCCTTCAATTTCCAAATCACTCAATGCACGCCCACTGTTTTTGGATCTAGTGAGGACGAAGGCTCGTGATAGCTGAGCTCGCTGCGGTTGATCTTTAACGGCTCCTTCGCCAACGTGGTAGCCGGTGCATGGATACTTGCTTGTAGTATTGCGGATAAAACGTCCTAGCCTCGTTCCTAATATACTCGTTTTTAGGAGTTCTTGATTTCTCTACAGCTTCCAAACCCACAGTCCTTGTCAAAACATGCGCACTGTACACATGAACAGGAGAGAATGGCGAAATCTGCCTTGGTTCTCGGTAGTGCCGAGTTGGAAGATTAGAGAACCACAATAACAAATTAAGGATTCACCTTGAGACGAATATCTTTCTTCCATCGAGCGTACAGGCTACTCACTTCGGACTACCCGCGTTGCATGATTGAACTCTCAATCTCTTACAGAAGATCCGAATAATATACTGGTAATCAAATGCACAGGTCTAGGAGGCTTCTGTGCAATCTCTTCATGTTTGAGCTTTTAGCTTTCGGACCGAAAGTTTCGATTTTCCGTCTACGATCCATCAATCATCTTACAAGGAGATATCATCTCCAAATCACGCCAAATCTGGATCACCTGTTTTTGGAAATCTCTTCAGTATGACTCCTCCCCGCCCCCCGAATTAGGCGATAGCATTTCCAGTCCTCTTTGACGAATTTTCGAGCATTAAATCCGGATCCCTATCTCTACAAGACAAGATTTCACTTGCTACCTATACGCAAGGCACAAGATCAAACTAAGCGCTCGCACGATGAATTTATGAAAGATTCGAATGGCAAGATATACCTACTATGTTTTTCGACGAGATTCTTTCCGATTTTAAAGCTTTCAAGGCACAATCTCCCCTTTACAGATTATATTTGTTGTGAAGTATCGGAATTACATTGAAGGGTGGCAGAGAGCGACAGCAGTCCAACGCCGTGGCTGGTAGGGACAACCATGCTGAGATATGCGGTGCAACCTTCCGAGCGGAGGCTATTGAATATGGAGATGGTAGATAGAACTCTATGGTTTATTGAAAGACACGCGGGGGTTTCAAGGAGATATACGTACCATGCTATTCGAAGAGTGTGAGAAGGCCGATTGATGTCTACGGACTCTAGGGATGAGACTACGGGAAACAATATGCCGACTGCTTGACAATGTCTTGCGAATACTGGGGACATGTCTGGTCAAAGATGGAAAGAGGCGAGTGGGGAGTACAACCGGATATCGAGCCCTGTTCCTTACCTGAGGTAGAAGAATACATGATCTTATACACCTCTCACTGCAGTATTCGAGGAAGAGAAGATCGTGTTCTACTATACTGCGACTGTCTTAATCCACATGTCCATCAAACAACTCTTTGCAATATCCAAGCAAGCTCTCTGACCCAGATACTCTATTCCTTTCAAACATTTCGCATGCATTCTAACAAAATCATACCTTATCTTCTAGGAGATATTCTATACGCTCTTTGAATTTAGCTGACTCTTAAAGACGGCGGCACGAGGCTTAACATGTTTTTAATGGTAGATTTTCACATTTGTATAGCCCCTGATGTCTCTCTTAACTGTCCTTGCTGATCTCCTAAGTACAACCAACAGAACAGAGAATCATTTTTATAAAATCAATAAAGTAGACCCATGAGTAATGCGGAGAACACTTGCTTCGCATTTGTACTTTGACGTAGGAAGTTTTCCTTAACATTTCCAGCTTTTAAGGTCTTCTATATACCAGGTGTGCGGGAAAAGTACATAGCATCAAAACTTCACCTGTCCAGTGTATCTCAGTTTGCGCTACATTATTGGGAGGAGAGGTATGACTTTTGTGTAGCAATGTAAATGATTTATAATATCAAGTATAGCATGTAGAGAATCTATGTGGTTCTGCGCTGTTGATATGGGAATAGTGGCATAGTAGATAGAGAGGGTATACTGTTTGGGGTCAGGTGCTCTTAGCTTGGGCAGGAAGGACCTGATGTGGTACACTATCTCTGCCTCGCATAGCACCATAAAAGGACTGTAGTATAGAGAATCGGCTCCTGTAAAGTTTGAATCTGAGTCTGGAACTACATACTAATGTCTGAAGTGATAAAACTAGGTGAGATGTTACGGAGCTATGTCCAGATCGCTTAAAAGGGGGCAAACCCGCAGCTTCTTATAGCAGCTTTCGGCGAATCGTATGTCAACGCGAGTGAATATTGAATAGAGATACAACTGTGGTACAAGTGGCGGAATAAACTTCGGCACAGGATGGCCATTTGAGATCTAGAATTCTAGATAAACATCCATTGGGGGGTTGGGGGCTAATGACTTGGTGTGAAGTCTATGACAAGGTGGGGAATTCATCCAAACCCAAAGGCCTATAAGAGCAGAAGGAAGGTAAAGGTGCGTATTGCCAAGGTTTAGAAGAGGATTGGAGCTAGAAAACAGAATATATATTGATTTTCCTTCTTGTCTATAAAAAGACGAAGCAGTCCAGATCAAACATCTGGATGCAAAAGAGGCGCCGAATGGGGAGGTGAAGACGCAGGTGTGGGTGGTATCGGAGAGCGCAGGTCTCTGCAGAATACCTTGGACATCGGATTCCGATATTCCGAAGATTATATAGCAAAAACCACGAGAAATAGCTAATCGAAGAATCTCAAATCATGGCAGGGAATTCAGGAAGTAAAGAAGTCTTTCTCTTAGGTTTATGTTATAATGGTATTTAATTTCATATGTTTGGGTACCTAGATGAAGTATGAAGTAAGTCGGAGAAGAAGTCACTTCGTACTAGTCCCGCTGTTCTGGAAAAGGGGACGACGCAGGGGTTGCTCCTTATAGGCTTGCTCGGCCATGCTCAGGCTTACTCAAGCTTATTTCTTTAGGAAAGGATGGCCAGAGAACCCCGGAACTCCAGGTCATGGTGGTGCACCAGCCAGCCAGTAGTCGGTCCACCGGTGCAGCCCTCGACGGCCTGCGGTGATCGCCTCGCCCTACTCCGTACGTGCAGTGTCTACGTACACAAACAAAGATCTCATTGTCCTTCACTGGGATTGCAGTCGCTGTCGCATTCACCCACACGTAGCATGAACACTGTGCAATGACCAGCCAGACCCGAAGGTCTATTGGCGCAAAGTCGGAGAACTCCAAGAACCATTCGCGATCAAGTTCGAGTACCACAACTACAACTACAGCCTCCCTACATTTCGAGACCCCGTCCCCGTCTGACACCTCACCGAACTCGCCCTCCTCGGGTATGCCGCCTCATTCAAATGGAAGCAGCGTTCGTATCAATGGGCTGGCCGACGACATGGTGAATACCAAAATGCATAACAATGGTTCCCTCAGGAGTCCCAGATTGCCTTTGAACAGGAAGCAATCGTCCCCCATGATGCCGTCTTTCATGGTGTCGGCTCCCGGCAAGGTCATCGTCTTCGGGGAGCATGCAGTAGTCCATGGAAAGGTGCGTCGGGCTTTGCATCAATGCGTGCTTGCTGACTAGGAAACAGCCTGCCATTGCTGCTGCAATTTCTCTTCGCTCCTATCTACTCGTCACAGCGCTCTCCAAGTCAAAACGAACCATATCCCTCCGATTTCCTGATATCAATCTTTCTCATACCTGGAACATTGACGATCTTCCATGGGCTACCTTTTCACATCCTTCCAAGAAGAAGTATTATTACGACCTTGTCACTGAGCTCGATAAAGACCTCGTAGAAGCTCTGCAACCGCATCTTGAAACCGTCTCGGTGGGAGTTGCAGATGATACTCGAAAGGTCCACAAGAACTCTGCTTCTTGCTTTTTGTATTTACTACTTTCCCTTGGTTCTCCCTCCTTTAATGGATGTTTATACACGCTTCGATCGACAATACCAATTGCTGCGGGCTTGGGCAGTAGTGCGTCCATATCTGTCTGTCTCTCGGCCGCCCTCTTGTTGCAGATTCGCACACTTTCCGGACCTCACCCCGATCAACCAGCCGAGGAAGGGCGCTTGCAGATAGAACGTATCAACAAATGGGCTTTTGTAGGAGAAATGTGCATACACGGTAACCCTTCTGGGGTGGATAATACAGTTGCGACCCAAGGAAAGGCCGTTGTTTTCCAACGAACGAATTACAATAAGCCACCCCGCGTCGATCCCCTCTGGAATTTCCCCGAGCTACCATTACTACTAGTTGATACCAAGCAGGCGAAATCTACTGCATTTGAGGTTGCAAAAGTTGCAGCATTGAAAGAAAAGCACCCTCAGATCACTGAGTCTATATTACATGCGATAGGAAAGGTCACAGAAGGAGCTGCGGCATTGATTGGACACGAAGATTTTGACAACGAAGAGCTGTCGAGTTTAGAACAGGTAGGGAGTCTAATGACGGTCAATCATGGGCTTCTTGTCGCTTTAGGAGTATCACATCCCCGATTAGAGCGGATACGGGAGTTGGTTGATCACGAGGGTATTGGTTGGACCAAATTGACTGGTGCTGGTGGAGGAGGCTGCGCAATTACTTTACTTAAGCCAGATATTACACCTCAAAGGATGAAACGCTTAGAAGAATCGTTGGACGACGAAAATTATCGCACATTCGAGACAACATTAGGCTGTGACGGAGTCGGGGTTCTTTGGCCAGCTGTGCTTAAAAATGGAATGGAGGACGATGATGGAGGAGAGGAGATTGACCAAGAGAAGTTCCTGAATGCTGATGGTATCGAAGGTGTCGAAGAACTTGTCGGGGTGCGTGGTGAGACGGGCGATCGAGATGCATGGAAGTTTTGGAGGGTAGAAGATTAGATCACGCTGGCAAGAGCAGGCTGTACAAAAGGGAGAAACTAGATATTAGGCTTGAGCTATTGGGCTTGTATTCAGACGCCAGGCTTTTCTATTCACCGCAATATTGCTAGATAATTCAAACAAAAAAGCCATAGAAAAGACAACAACGCAAGAAGTATAATTATGTACATACTATCATGCACAATGTTCTTTGAAAGCCCCTTACTATTGTTCTTGGTACGCGAGGCTGCGGCTGACATTCTTTAATGATGTGAATTCCCCCACCTCGACATAACAATGGCACCAAAAGCCTCCAAATCTCCAAAAGCTCAGCCTAGAGCTCCAGAGCCACCAAAAGAATGTATGCTACTCATGTTGTGCATTTAAAGCTTCCCCATTGAATTTGTTTCCTTCGCAAACCTGCAGCCGCAACTTTGCTAACAAAAGCTCTAATAGACCCCTCCATCTCCGCCCTCCAGCAAGATCTCTACCAGTCCTCGCGGCCTTTTCTCACGCTCGCACAAACCAAGAGCCTGACATCACTTACACCCACCGAGAAATCTGCATACGCAAACTCCCGCTTTCTTGAGACAGGCGTTTGGAAAACCTGGCCTTCTCCGCAGCAGAAGGAATTCTGGGCCGCTGTCGAGAAACAGAATATCCCTATCCCACTACCACAACCTAGAAACCTTGGGAAGGATAGTAGAGGGCAGGAACTGGGGACTTACAAAGTAGAGGAGTACGCCCAGTATAGGAAAAGGGAACGGCAGTTGCAGGAATTGCGGAGGGAGAGTGTGCGGTTTAGAGACCGGAGGGAAAAGATACCGGAAGGGGAGACCTTTGAGGGAGCTGTTGAGGACGAAAAAAATAGAAGAAAACTTATTGGGTTACTCCAGGGAAAGAGAATGGGGTTTTATGAAGGCAATCCGGAGTGGGATGATGTGGTGCCTATACCGCAGGATGATGGGGAAGGAGCATTAGCTCAAATAGCATATACGGACGATTACGCCGAAGGTATACATCACTTTTGACTTTTTGGCCTCTTTATCTAACAGATATATACAGCAATGGGCTACCTCCGCGCAGTAATGGCAGCAAAAGAACACAGTCCTCGTGTCCTCTGCCTCACCGAACACATCATCTCTCTCAACCCCGCTCACTACACCGTCTGGCTGTACCGGGCATCCACGCTCTTCTCCCTCCAATCATCACTTACAGAAGAACTAGCATGGGTAAACGAAACCGCGCTCGAAAATCAAAAGAACTACCAGATCTGGCACCACCGCCAACTGCTCATCGACCATCTAGTCCAAACCATCTCTCCGGAAGCCATCAAGTCCTTAGAGGAAAGTGAGAGGGATTTTATGACGCAGATGTTTGAGCAGGATGGTAAGAATTATCATGTGTGGTCATATCGCCAATACCTATGTTGGAAACTAGATATGTTCAACGAGACGGAGCTGAGGTCTATTGAAGACTTGCTGCGTAGGGATGTGAGGAATAACAGTGCATGGTCGCACCGTTTCTTCGTCGTATTCTCAGACCCCAAATACGCGACGCGGGGCTCAAAAGCTACAGAGCACGATCCTAAGATTCCTGATGGGGTGTTAAAGAGGGAAATCGAGTTCGCGGAAGCGGCTACTTTTGAGGCTCCGCAGAACCAAAGTCCGTGGAACTACTTGAGGGGCGTGCTGAGGAAAGGTGGGAGGAAGTTGGGGAGTCTAGAGTGGTTTGCGGGGGGAGTTTGTGAAAATTGGGGAGGGTGAGGAAGAGGATGTTAAGAGTAGTCATGCGCTTGACTTGTTGGCTGATATTTGGGCCGAGAAGGGGGAGAATGTCAAGGCGGATAAGGCGTTGAGGTTGCTGGGCGACAAGTACGACAGGGTGAGGAAGAATTATTGGGATTGGAAGAGGATGGAGTTGCAGGAAGGTGAGGTTAGGGGTGTTGCGGAGAAGGTGGATGAGTTGAAGGTTGGATCTCAAGGATGAGCGCATCTTGCGATTCAAATTGGATGTTTTAGTAGTGATTTATGATACCATTTAACATGTCCTTTCTACCTAAGCTTCGTTTATATCACTGATTGTGTTCTTTAGTGTTGTGTTGCTCGCAGTACTCCATAGCTATTGCAAGGCTTAGCTGAAGTATTTCCATCAGGATGACACGCCCAAACTGGCACTCAATCATTTGGTGAGAGGCTGTGTGCTGTCAGTCGCCTGGAGAAAGTGCAATAGAATAAGGGGATGTCCAGTTGGCACCACTCCCGCTCCCGCTGCAGTCTCATCTTCCCGAGAATTCCGACGTCCTAGCATTAGGAAATTGCCACCAGAAAATACGGGCTCATTAATAGCAGTCCCTGTATAGTGTAATATAAGGAAGCTTATAATATGCGGAAATGTCCTGTTTATGAGATATTATGTAGTAATATAAGGTGAGGTTGAATTACCCCTTCTTTCCAGTACAGTAGCGTCAATTCTACTCGCCGCTAATTCCTACAATAGGTACTGTACTGTACTGTACCCCCTTAATCACCACGCGATTTGTCACCAATACACTGACTGGTGTCTCTATCCTTCTTCGGTACTCCTTCGAGTAAACAATTCGCCAGAGGCACAGACACGGGCCATAAGGTACCTTCCCTTTACAGTATAGTACTAGCCTCTTAATCCCAACTTCCCCAGAAAGTTCTGTGGTGCCCTTGCACTGTTGTCCATAAGCCTAGCATTTCTAAAGGAAATATGCGAGTGTGTGTCTTCTCGAGGCACTGAAATTATTCTAAGATTGGATGGAAGTTTCTGGCCAAGCAAAACTCATGTCAGAATTCGAAACAATTTTTGACCGGTCTGGCGTCCATCGCGCCTTGCCAAGTTATCTCGGGAGCATCACTAATTACATACTTCAGGGGTAAACATGCCATGGTCAAGAAGTGCGGGAAGACACCTCGACTCAAAATCATATATAAGTATAGCCATCCTAGCTCTTTCATTGTACTTTCACCATTCGTACATACGTTGAATTCTTCTGTATACACATTCATTTACCACGTTCATTTTAGACACTTTCATCTGAACTTCCATTCATTATGCCTTCAATCCTTAACACTCTTTTTGCGTTTGGTGCAGTTTTTGTTCACTCCAGTGCCTCTCCAACAAGTTCTGGCTCATACTGGAAGCCAGCAGCTGGAACACAGTGGCAGATCCAACTCACAGGGGAAGTTACCGATGTTAGTTATGCGGCTGAAGTGTACGATATCGATCTTTTCGATAACGACGCAACGACCATTGCCAACCTCCAATCCAATAACAAGAAAGTCATATGCTACTTCTCCGCGGGTTCCTACGAGGATTGGCGTTCAGATGCATCTTCTTTCCAGGCAAGTGACAAGGGATTGGCGATGGATGGCTGGGAAGGCGAGTGGTGGTTGAACACCAATTCAGCCAACGTCCGCACGATCATGACGGCTCGTATCGATCAGGCGCTGGCTAAGGGATGCGATGGCGTCGATCCGGATAACGTAGACGCATACGACAATGCCAACGGGGTTGGTCTCACAGAAGATGATGCCGTGGACTACCTGACGTTTCTTGCCGACGCTGCTCACTCCCGCGGCATGTCGATTGGTCTGAAGAATGCAGGAGGGCTGGTGGAAACGACGCTACCTATCATGGAATGGCAGGTCAATGAGCAGTGCGCAGAATTTGGAGAATGCGATCTTTTCCAACCTTTCATTACTGCCGGAAAGCCGGTCTTTCATATCGAATACCCAGACGGTGCGCCTGACAGTATAGCTGCTGATGTCAAGTCGAAGGACTGTGGCGTAGCTGGATTTTCAACTTTGCTGAAGAACTTGGCGCTCGATGCTTGGGTTGACCCTTGCGAGTAAGCTGGACTTACGTTTATATTCGTGTGCCGGGATGGGGAAGAGAGAGTATGAACTTTACTTCTTGTATTTTATGCTTAGCACGGAAGCGGGCTTTACGACGATTACGAAACATGTATAGTACAAAAGTTAGCATTTGCACCAATGTATCTGATGTGTTTCAACTTCAAGTCTACTATCGAAATGAGTTGAGCCTCCCAAGTGGGTTCTACTTGCCTACCTCGGAGAAGCTGCTGATTCTTCGGAATAGATTAAAGGTGTATATTCAAGCGTGTCTAAAAGCATTAGCTTGTGGGAACGTCAAACGGTATCTTCTGGGACTCACCTTGAGACATTTGTATCTGCAATGGCAGAGTACGTTTCATTACTTCTTATTTCAACGCAAGTTGGCTCTAATATCACTGGTGCTCCTAGAAATATATAAATGGTTGCCTAGCATAGATTACTGAATCGATCTGACTTGAGCAACATTGATTTGTGAGCATTACATGGGAAAAGACCCAACCGATGTTAGCGAGGACTCTTCCGAGCTCTTCCGAGTCTCTTGAAATATCAAAGCAAGTCGTGGTTGTTCACAGGCTATAATATGCTGAGATTGACACTCGCAGGAAACTTGTTGTCAAATGTGGCCTTGCTGTCAAGTCCCCATCGCACTTGATTTGGATATTTGCGGACAATATCCAACCACCTTGCGTTATAAAATGATTTTGAGGCTTCAAGATGCAGTAAGGTGGCAGAGAGACAAACCTCGCGAATGGAGTGAGTTGCTCACATTCTGTTGTCTGTTGAGTGATTCATGAGGGGTATCTTGGTTGATTGGGAAGCTCGTGGTCCTTAGATATATAGCAAAAGTCGAAGCTAAGCATTGGAGAGTTTGCTTGGTGGAGAGGTAGGGAAACTTCCCTGCAGGCGGTTGAGGCGGCCACACAGCAGCGTTCAGACGAATTGACAAAGGATCAAGGCCAAAAACCATTACCTAGAAAACACTATATTGAGAGGTTTTATTGGGAAAGATATGATTTAGTAACTCTCACAAAAAGAACGTTGGCCCAGTGGCAATCGTACAGTTGGGTCGTTCTTTCTTGATCAAGAATGGCGTCAAATTCTTGGAGCACTACACGTATATTACATGTGTAGTAGAGATAAAGAAGTCCTCTTTACATACTCAAGGGCGTAACAGCGGCGGTCCCTCCCATCTCCCATGCGTATGAAATCACGGGTGACTGACCTAGTTCGTCTTCATGGTCTCAACGAAGATGATTTATCTTAATCAAGTGTGCTATTCCAATTTTACATACCTTGTCAATTAAACGAATGACAGCAAAGCTGCCCTTGACAGCAAACCAGCATGATAACCACTTGAGTCATCCAAACCAACTCTGCGCCTGATACCCCGATCCTCAACGGACATAGGATGTAACACTAAGCATTCATATGTGTCCAACTCGCGGGGTCCTCGCCATCAGCTCAAGATCGAAACCATATGCCCGCGGGAAATAGGGTATGCGATATGCTGGTACCGGCTCTTTATAAACGTATTTCCGGGGTTGAAAATAGCCAGTAAGAACTAGTGGCAGATAAACAACTGTTTTAGTACCATTACTTTTTAAGGTAGCTTACCAGGAGGTTGTATCAACTTCATCCTCAAACAACCTTCTGCGGGGTAATTGATACTTGGCTTTCATAGAAACTCCCTATCTCCTTTGAACCTGCGGAAGAACTCGCGGAAGACTCTTTGATAATGAAATGACAGACATGTTGCCGAGGAGCCTGTGTCTTGGTGCAGAGCGACGGTAAAGATACCTGTTGTGAACATTCGTGGCAAGATAGCATGTTGGATTTCTTAGACTTTTTCTGCTTCCTACATGATAGGTATTACGGGAAGGAACTATCCATTGGGAGCGTAGTTTGAAGGTATGACATGGAGACAGGAAAAATGAAACATCTGAGGGTAAAATTATGCACTGTTCCGAAGTTTCATCATCGCTTGAGACATTTGTTGAAAAGCAGGAGGGAGATGAAGACTTCCACTTGGGGGTAAGAGAGCACTGATGCAAGATATTGAGTTTAATGGATTTAAAAGAAGCACTGGATATACGTCAGGGAACTGCAATTTGGTATCAGTCTACAGGTATTCTCATTCGTTAGCTTATCGCTCATCGCTCATCTATCTATTATCCAGTGACGCCCGCTCAATCTCAAACCACTCAACCAGCCTTTTCCTGTTTATACCCAATCATCCAAAACCAACAGAACCATTAACCCCAAAACACCCGTTACTCATTCAACGGCCCGGAGGCGGCGGTCTTGGTCCAACAATCTGTCTCCTGCCACTACCAATCCCCTGCGTACCTCTATTCTGTCCATCGCCACCCGTATAACCAGTCCATTGGTTAACATCCCACTTTCCTCCAATCCCACCTCCAATCCCATCAACCCCAGCTCCGGCAGGAACTTTATTCTTAATCTCCTTCTGGCCTTCTTCCCACTCCTGCTGACGCTGCCTCTCCATTTCCATCTCGCGCTCTAGCAGCGACTTGGAAGCCCATCCACCAGCTTTAGTCTTCTGCTGCGAAGCAAGACGGCGGCGGTCCTCGGCATCGCGCTCAGCTGTACTATCGAAGCCGCCGATTTCGTTGGAGTAGGTGGTTGTCGGCTTAGCTTGCTGGGGTGCGGGGTTGGATGAGAGGTATCTGTCGGTGCGATTTTGAGATTGTGACAAATTGGCTGGTGGGTTGGATGATGAGGCGTATTTTGTTGGGTCGGGAAGAGGTCTTGAGGAGGGCCCAGTGTTGTTCTTCACCACTCGAACCGGGGGTGCGGGTTCTGGTAAGGGTCGCGGTGATTTTGAAGGTAATGGAGCAGCGACTTCCTCGGAACTATGTTGAGTACTCCATTGCTTGCGGAGGTAATCTCGCTCGTCTCGTCGCCATTCTTCCTCGCTGGGTTTGCGTGGTGGTGCCCGTGGTCTACTGCGTGACCGCTGTCGTGACTTCGAGCTTTCTTCCTTCATGCGTACAGCCAAATCGTGATCCTCCATTACTTGATGGTTTCGTTCACCTAATTTCGTCTGCCGTTCTCTCTCGTATTGCTTTTCTCGTTCTCGAGCTAGTTCCAGTTCTCGTTCCAATTCCTTAATTCGACTGCTTCCAGAATTATCCTGTTGAGCGCCATTCTCGGCCTGGTATTGACTCAAAAATTGTCCTTTCAATCGAGCGTCGCTGTTGCCACGTGCTATTTTTCGCTCGTCCTGCAACCTGGCTTCTGCTTCTCGTTCTTCTTTCTGACGGCCCTCCTCCTCCAATCGCCATCTCTGCTCTTCTTCCTCCCATTTTCTCTTCTCCTCAGCAGCCATTTGTCGTTCTTGTTCTCTCAATTTTTTGCTCTCCGTTGCCCATCTCTCTTCCTCGGCGATTCGCGCGCTCTCTTCTTCGGCAGCCGCCTCTTCTGCTCTTCTACGAGCTTCATCCTCGGCCTCAGTTCTCAACCGTTCCTCTTCTACCTCTTTCTCCCTTCGTCTCTTCTCTTTCTCGGCCATATTCGGAACATTGGGACCAGCGCTTGTGATTTGACGTCTACCACCAAACGAAACCCCAAGATTTCCCTGACTTGCACCACCCATATAACCATACTGCGCGATGTTCCATGCCGGCGATGTTGCGCCTTCATCAGACTTCTTACTCCAACTGCTGACCCCACTAGGCGAGAGAGGCTTGGAGGTCTTCGTTGGACTCCATCTTCCACTGTTAGAGTCACCAGTTCGTGTTGGTGTTAGAGAGCCGGCGGGTCTCACGCTCGGATTATAGGCCGAAGAAGTATTACTCGCACTTGAGAGACCTCGTCCTCGATTGCCAAAACTACCACCTCCAACTGCGCCAGCTCCAGTAACTTGTGGACTCACCACGCCACGAGAATTTCCGCCGATCTGGTTCGGGAATTTCGAAGGAGCAATTCGGTGCGCGGCTCTGCTGAATGCGCCAAGACATTGTAAGACTTGGGCTGGATCTTTGGATTCGTAGAGATCGACTGTGAGGAACATGTCGTGGGATTGGAGGTTGAACGGAGGCTGTTTGCATGCTGAAAGGTATAGAGATATGTTTTCCATCTGAACGAAGGGCATGACGGCCTTGGTTTTGAATCTCACGGTGTTGGGTACAGCGAGGTTGACAAGTCTAAGGTAGGTACGTATTAGCAAATGATTCTCATACAACAGGGAACGGGGACGGTATCATACTTGCAAAGCGCAACTCCATCTTTCAGACTCTCGAGTAGATCTCCTGGTGGTAGGCGTTCTCCCAGGGAATCCTCGACGAAAGTTCGGACTTCATTCGCAGCCTGCGGGGTGTAGCGATCGAGGCGCAATTTGCGCATGTCCTTGTCGAGAGAAGTAACGGAAGCCATGATTGCGATCGACTTGTTGTGTTACTTTCCGAGCGTTGGACAACGAGAACAGAATCAAATATTTGGGATGTGAAGTTTCTTGCCTTCAATCTGCAATAATGTCAATACAATATTGCGTGGCGGGCGCAGGGCGAGGTTAGTACCGCTACTGACTGACAGTATTGGGATGGCGGGGCGGGCAGCAGCCAGCGAGCCAGCCCAGCCCAGCCACCAAGGCCAGACGGAGTCGCAAACATTCAGGCCGACGATCACGTGCTGGTACATGATTGTGAAGAGATTTCCGATCATGACATAAGTAGATTAAAGTTATCCATTGGTACTCAGCTAATTATTGTACCATTTATTCTCTCAATACAGTTTATAATGCACCTGTAGAAGTTGCGAGGTTATACACGTGATACGTCACATGTTCCCCGCAAATTCTGGCAGCCCAGCCATCGCTCGGAGAATGCTCGACATGACTAGATTCAACCTAAACAGTGACCCTTGTCATGCAAGTGGATCCTTAGTGGAGCCTAAGCTCCACAACCTTCCACCCAATCATAATGGAGATCTCGTCCTACTGTACCCTTCCCTTCCATCTGCCTTCCCTTCCTTGCCTTGCCTCTCAAAGGCTTCCGGCCTCTCAGCTTCTCTCTCGGCTTCTCAGTTTCCCTCTTTCTCTTCTCCCATGTGTATTAACTTCCCTTCCCTCCCTTCCCTTCCCTTCCCATCCACACTTTTCATCTTTTCTTAAACCTGTGTCTCCCCCCCCCACACCACACTTCCTATCTTCTTCATTGTCTCATCCCCAATTGTCACTTTCTCTTCTTCCATCAACAGCCTTACCTTCTACTACTGCTGCTGCTACTACTATCATCACTACTACCATCACCAATACTCCCTAGGTACCCAGTCCAGACACTATTCAACCATGAGATATTTCGACCAGTCATTCTCATCGTCCTCTCCTATCCTTGTTCAGCTTCCTCAGCTTCCTCCACAGCCTTCTTTCAAAATGAACTCAGATCGCCCAACTTTCGCCTCACCTTTCGAGAAAGGCAACGAGCCTCAATTCCCATCACCCTCCTGCTCAGTATTGCCAGTTCCTGCGCCGCCATCTGCGGCCGGTCGAAAGCGCTCACGCGACGAAGCCGCGCCGAACCTAGGTGACGATGACTTCCTAGACCCTATCCCTCAATCAAATCCACAAGAGAACGAAGCGGAGTGGGAATATGGCGAAGGAATGGTATTGATAAAACCCAATGTCGGCTATATCATGGAGGCAGACAGCCAGACGGGCACTTGGGCAGAAGAGAAGCTTGAGGAGAAGCCGAAGCCTACGGTGTCACCCGATGCGCCAATTCTACGCGCAACCAAGAGCCAGAGGATAAATCCCACTGTTTCCTCCATTGCCGAAGAAGTTTTGCAGAATGGAGAGCTGATAGCCTCGTCCCCGGAGAGGTGCAAGGGTCTCGCAGAGCCTACCATCGATGACTTCACTCGTCATTTGGGCATTGGATGGTCGTTGATTAGCGCCGACGAACACATCCAGGCTGCAGCTCGGGGTTGGACCAAGTACATTGAGAACCACTACCCGGTCACCAACGCGAAGATCAGACTTCAAAGCAAGGGCTTGGCAAGTTATCTAGTTGAAGCGAATGAGGGATACTTCTTGTTTGGAGAAGATTTGAAGCAGGGAAGACTTGTGAGTGCGAGTTTAGAGAAGGTCTGGGAAAATCTTCGTGGTCCTCAGCCTATATTCGACGGAGAGGTAACTATGGATGCTGGAGAGACCCCAAAGGCCAATGGCGGACCACAGCCAATGACAACGATTGACGAAACGCACATGGAAAGCTTGAACGTTATCGCTATGAATGGACAATCAAGTTCCAACGAGGTGGATATGGACTTAAGCTGAGGATGGCTGTCACAAACATTTGGTGGGGGTTACAAAATGGGAGTTGAATTCTGCTTTGCTTTGCGTCCAGCAGGAGTTTTACATGGGGGCTTTTGCATCGGGAGGTGGCTTCGTGGGCAATAAGCACAATGTAACATAAAACGGAACGGGGATCGGAGGCGGGCAGGTCAGCATCAGGTCACTCAATAGTCTTTGGCTATCAGCGCATTGCATAAAGCACAACAGCAATAAATCGAAAACATATATCAGTCACACGGGGAAAGGAACCTTGACAGTCCTCGACTTGAAGTCATTGGACACCGTTCCATTTGCTTGTGTGCCAGAAGAATAGGCCCAAATCATATGAACAAGCGAACTGCTAGCCGAGTGGCACGCCGATTTTTCTTCTTCAAGTTGGCGGCTGATGACGACCATAATCATGTGACTTGCCTCGTGTTACACAGTAGCCTTTTGACAAAGTAGTAGGCAATCGGCAAGGCAAGTATGTCCTACTTCAAACAGTGGCTGGGTGGTCGATGGTTACAAGTAGGGTGTCATTGCACGCCTTCTGAAAAATCGGGTTTTGGAGTTATATTCTGATACTTCTGCGGACTTTAGAAATTGTTGGTATCACAGGTTTGATACGTGATCACTTCTCTACTACGTAGTATAGGCTTGATTCTGTATTTGGTTGATGATGCTTAGCATTCATAATGGTGTTGCAAACGCGAAGAGGTTATGCCTCTTCTGCTGACTAAGCTAGATCACATGATGTCACATGATTGTAAAGGTCGGAATTCAGCCCCATATTCCAACAGAAATCATTCCGAGTCTAGTCCTGGTGCCTCTACTTTTAACAACAACCAACCTCCATGCAATTCACACGCTATTGGTCACTTTCTAGCTCTTACATACTTTTGTCACATGTGCTGGTAAGCATTCTGCCGTCTGAGGCATCTATTGCGGCGTTATTAACACCGCGTTAATAGTGATGGCTTTTTTATTCTTGGTCTTAGGCCTATTATTCGCAACTATAATCTGGGGTAAGCTGGTTTATAATATACACTACAAATTATAGTCTCTAATAAGCAGCCATCATCTGCCCTTTAATATAATTTGGGGCTATGATCTGACAGAGGATTTATAAATCTAATATCGAGATTACGCTTCGCTATAATCCCAACTTCCTACGTAGTACACTTTTTTACGTTGCCTTATAATAGCCCCGTTTTTAACACTAATTGTACTTGTACCATTTTCCAATAAATTTACCTATGACATCATAGCATCATAAAAGGCTCTGTATAGTATATAGTGCTGGAGAGCGCTCGACAGAACGCTAGGAAATAAACTAGGAAATTAGCTGTAGCTCTGGGCCCAGCTGATGTTCTCAGATTATGCAATCTGGGGGGGACTCTTTTACAAACCCCATTAATCTGGGGATGAGAGTTCGCCGATAATGATTAAAAATTAGCCACTTACAAAGGTGCTACCTGGAAAGTTACTCAGCCTTCGTTTTCTCGTGCTTTATCCGTTGACTCTAGTCCGAAAAAGTTCCAGTAAACATTACAGTATATAAAGATATTTCCACCAGCTCATTATGTTCAAGAACAGACAACCAATTTTCAGAGCTTGAGATATTTCAATTTACTCAAATTAGTCTACTCAACTCTCAGAAGTCAAGGACATGAAGGTCCTCCCCTTCCTCATCGACGGCAAGTATGAAGCAATTGGAGCTCGTACTTTCCCTATCATTTCCAACCAGCTCCAAAGCCAGCTTTGCCTCGCTCAAAGCGCTGATTCTACGACCGCCTCAGCAGCAGCAGACTCAGCCTCCAAGGCCTTCAAGACATGGAAGCACACACCATGGATGACACGCCGCGACATCCTCCTCCGAACAGCAGACAAGACCCGCCGCCGTGAAACCGAGTTCAAAGAAACGATGATACCAGAACACAACCGAATGGGCCGCATTCTAAATCGAGCTCACCGTTAACCTCATGCGTGAAACAGCATCCAAGATATCTTCCCTGGTGGGGGAAATCCAACCATGGCTTCTCCATCTAATTCGTTTGGCACTCGAGCGCTGAACATGAGCAAGGAGCTTGATGTAGGTCAGGTGCAGGTAAATGGCAGTACTGTTCATGGCGATGGTAAGCATACTGCAGATATATGAGAGCGTTGAGTCGTGACTAATGCGTAACATCAAACTTACCATGTGGTGGCACGAAGAGGACGGGGCGGGGCTATATGAACAGTCGCTGGGGCTGGAGGAATCTACTAGGTTGAAGACCTTTACGGCTAGTATGGATAGTCACGACAACATTATATCTCGTTGAATGCGGGAAGTAATAAGTTTAGGGGAAGATGGATATAATGAAAGAGTCTCTATTAGTACTGGTGGTACCTACCTGAGGTATTTACACAAGCTCAACGATAACCTCTCTTATGAACCAAGGGGTTGAACAATAATGCGAACCCCTTACCTGACTTTATGCCCGATTATGCAGCTTCACGGCTGGCTATTGGTGGGGCGGTACCTTAATGCAAGAGTTGGCCCTGCCTGGCTGAAGTTGAACTGCATGCAGTCGAGTGGCCAGCAGCAGCGACCCAGTGAAAGAACGCCGAGAAGCTGTTGCCAAGGATACCAGGGTCATTGGTGGGGATACAATTGGACGAGCGAACTCGCACGCACAGCTGGCTTGTGATCTCTGGTTGCCACTGCCACTATTCCCCTGCGCTTGAGCGCGCTTCTGTTGACGGTGAGTCTCTTCTTTTTGTATTGCTTTGTTCTTTGTCTTTGTTTCCAGTATTAGCATGTTCCACGCGTTTTCCATCTGACACGGCAAGAGAACTTCTGCGAGACAGAAGGGACGAGCGCCTCATCGATCGATACCGTACTTAAGAAAGAACGCAGTCGCGCTGTGCGTGAGGGAAGGCAGGAGTGAAGAAAGCACAAGTATATCCTTTTGACAACGACCCTTTATTTCGCTTCACTCTACCGCGAATTCTGACGCGCGAAGATGGGATTTTGAGCTTCTGGTACGTGAAGCCCCGCAATACATATCGAGCCGATTTGAGACCTTGTAAGAAAGACGGAAAGGGAGAAATCAATAATGGTATCGCAAATGGAAGTTGAGCCCTCCAATTCTCTTGCGCGGAGGGGGCCCTCTTCCGTCGCAAGTTCATCGAGGCACAGGAGGGGTAGCAGACAACATAGGAGCACTGGGTACATATCGAACGAGTTCCCCGAGTTCTCGCATACGGGCGATGTGGAGATCTTGGTTAGGGCTGGGTCAAGGACGAACCGGTATCTCCTACATCGATTAATACTTACGCAATGCTCCGGATTCTTCGAGGCGAGCACAAGTCAAGAGTGGTCGCGGGCGAGTAATGAGGGTGGAGGAGAGTTGGCGAGGATAGGAGAGGATTCTGGGAGTGAGGTGGGTAGGAATAGGGACGTGAAGAAGAGATGGAGGTATGAGCTGGATACTGGCACCAACCGCGACGATATACCCATGCTGGTGCAAAAGGAGAACAAAGCTGTATCCGTCTTCGGCGCGAACGACGCTCTTCCTCCACCCGTGAGGAACAAACCTCCCTCTTCGAACCCCTCTTTCTTCCGCTCAGTCGCAAACCTCAGTCTGGCCTCCTCACACACACCCCAAGCTCCTCCCATAAGTCAAGAAGATCTAGATCTACTCAATGACTACGACAATCTCTTCCGAATATTCTACAACTACCCCCCAGCACTCGACTCGATCGATATAGCAACCGCTTATATACAATGCAAATCCCTCCTCACGCTCGCAGATCTCTACGACGCCCTAGCTGTGGTAGGCCCTCGAATTGACCATCACCTTCTCCAATTCCAATCCCGCCTCTGGAAACAAATCGCCAAATACCCTACCTCGTACCTCAAACTCGGTTACCTGGCACAGTCGAAGAGTGTCTTTCAAGAAGCGCTCATACATGTGATAGGAGCATGGCCACAAGGGGAGCGGCACATTAGGCGGGAACTGCCTGATTCCGTGTTAGAAATAATTGAGGACAAGGTCGAGGATATGGCGGACATGGTTGGGAAAATTGAAGGGCGGCTTTTCAGATTAAATCTCACAACATCGAGAGGCGAGCGAGTAACACCACAGAACTCGTACCTGGATTGGCTCGTTGTGTCACTATTCAGGCAGTGGCTTGCGGATTCTACCTCCCCCCCTCCGCCTCTACCTCCAACTTCTGCTCGCGGACCACCTTCTCGGAATGGTGGAGGCACCCATGGATCTCGTAGCTCTCACTCGCATTCCCAAGCTGCTCTTACTGTTGCACCACCTCCGAACTACGAAGCCTCTCCACCTACAGGCCGTACTTTCCGCACCCTAGGCTCTTTCCCCGCCAATTATTTGAGCCATGATGAGTGTAAACGCTTCTTAAAGCTGACTCCCGAATTATATTCCCGCGATGCCCTCAAACGCTTCGAGAAGCGGATGGAGGAGCTGCGAGGGCTAGCGAGGGAGGTAGTGAAGCCCCTAATGGGATGTTGTTTACTGGGTAGCGCCGAGGGCGTAGCGTATTTGACGTGTACAAGGGTGGAGGAGAGAGATTTCCCTTGGTTAGGGGAGTGAGGTGTATATGGAGGTACTGATGCTTCAAGTTGGCATTGAAATTATGGATGATGATTATGAATTACGAATTAATATTGGGCGATTCTTTTTGTCTTGTTTGGAATTTTGGGGGATAGTACACCAGCGTTGTCGGATACCCTACTTGCTATTGGAGTTGGGACGGGATTATCTGGGTTTTTGTTTAGGTATGATGATAGGAAATATATGTATATCTCAATATGAAACTCTTGTCATATTTGTACGGTTCGAGTGAGGTAAGTTTTATTGGTACAACCCGTTCGCTTGAGGAAGTCTACGGGGTAAGTCTTTCCTCAAATGAGCTCTTGCAGCGGTTCAGTGTAGTATGCACTTTTTTTCGGGAGAGTACTTATATCAGCGCATGGCTCAGACACAATATCGTAAGGAAGTTGCTAGCTGAAAGTACTTTTGACGTATTGGTTCTTTGGACCATAAACCTAGTCGCGCTCACGAAGATTTCTCGAGCGTCTAAACCATTGATCTTCCGTATGGTGAGTGTATGTTTAGTAGATGCATTAAAATAAAAAGTAACCAGCATTCTCTAAAGGCATTATTGTCAGACTTCCCTATACAGTCATTTTATATTTGCTATTATTCTTACTATCGGCTTTTCCTTCAAGAACGATTGAGCACTAGGCTTAGCACGGAATTTTCATGGCATCAGTGGCAGATGAAAGGAAACAACAGAAGATGTAAACATCTAGCTTAAAACAGCCCTAGACATATTATGCTTGCTCTTCGAGTCTTGATAGTGGTATGTATATCTCAGAGGGCTAGAGGCGGAAAGTAGAATATTATGGTTCCCGGTGGGTGTGAATGAGAGTAAAATTCCTTGATGGGACGGAAGTGTATAAAATAATGAGGAATCCCGAGATGGAGGCGCCCTATAGGTCTCAAGCCTTCTCGACAGGAAGTGGTAGAATTGTCTGGACTCTCTAGTGGGTCTGAGTTCTGGGGGTATTGCATGGTAGAGTGATTACGGTTGTGAGGGTTTATAGAATGAGAGAGGTTTGATTTCTATACACTGAATCTGACTTGTTTTGTATTAGTGTGGATTTGATAGCAGAGTATTTATTGACAGTAAGTTGATCATAGGCATCCGCCTTGAACTGTATCATATTTGAAGATATAGTTCACCTTGGACCTTTGGAAAAATCTACTTAATCTATGTTGGGACTTATGTTGTTGGTACTCACAGCTCGCCTTCTTCCACCACGGAGAAATTGTGCCAGAGAGAATTTCAAGCTAGCAACTGGTGCGATCTTCTACTGAAGTATATATGACTCCTTGACTGTGTGATTTTAGTACGGTGTTTGACGTCAGATCTATTTGAGCCATCTACTTCTTAATCTATGGAATCGGCCTGTAAAGGCATATTGAAACTAGAGAAGAGACGGCTAAGGAGGAGTTTGGGGTAAGTTCATCCTGCAAGAGCATGTCGGAGGAGAGGTGTAGCGTATCAAGAACAAATTCATTATTCATTACTCAAAGTACACACAATACCCAACCCATTACTCCAAGGCCAACCTCAATCCTGACTTAAATCCAAAACGCCAACCTCACTCATCCTCCACTTCTTCCCTCCCTTCCTTATCTTGCTCCTCTCGGCCTCTTCCTCTTCATCGAAAACTTGCCATCCACCCGGCAGACTATCTCTTAACATAATATATTTCTTTCCTTCCTTCGCTTTCCCGGTCACTTTATCTCGAGGCAGCATATCAAGCGTACTCTGCTTCTGCTGGCTTGGAGGAGGGGCCATAGAGCACATGACTGGGGGCGAAGAGTCGATGGTTATTATTTGTGTTGACTGGACTGATCTGGAAGCCTTGGGAGCGGGTGATAACATTTCGGCCACCGAGGGGAATTCATTGCCGGGAGACGAAGAATCAGCTTCTCGTGGTTGGGCTACAGGAGTAAAGTTTAGGCGTCTGTTTAGAGGTGGCAGCTCTGGCGACAATGGCGTTGTGGGTTCTGGAGAAAGATTTTTGCGAAGCAAAGGTTTACTTGAGTCTCTTGATCGAGACGAGGGAGTGCGGGGAAAGCGTTCCGGGGATGGGGAGGGAGAATGCTGATGTTTTTGGGGTGTAAAATTTGGCGCGAGTGGTGAGGAGGGTAGTGAACTTGAGGAGAGATCGAAAATCTGTGTTTGTTTTGTGGAAGGGTGAGAGGTAGGCTTGGTGATTACAGAGGTGGACGAGTGATCACCTTGGGATAATGTCCAAGGGTTTGCGTTTGGGGTTGGCTTCTCTTTCAGAGCTCCTTTGGCCCTTGATCTTGAGACCGAGGGTTGCGATTTTCTCGTTGCAACCGATTTGCTTTCACGTACGGGTTGCTTGCTTGGAGCAGGTGCAGAACTTGTCATTTTCTCCAAAGTAGGCGCCAAGTAGACAGGAGGTAAGGCCTGACTGGAAGTCGGTGCAGATTTGCTGGGCGCAGACGGTGGTGCTTCCTTCCTAGGTTTTGATACCGAGACAAACTTGTCCATTGCTCCTTTGGGCATGCCGCCTTTCTTCTCAGCTCTCTTTACCGCTGCCTTTTGCTTGATCAATTTCCTTGGGTTCCTTAGAGATTCTTCATAATCCTCCACCTTTAACGGTATACCTACTTTAGCAATTGTTTCTGGTAGCCATGCTTTGTCCGGTTGAGTAGGATCATAGGTAGATGGGCCTCGTTTCTGAGGGCTGCTCGATCTAGCTCTTGCCGTTCGTTCATCGGATTGATATGCTTCGATTTGATCATCCTCATCGACTGGAGCCAGGCCATTTCGCCCATAATCCCCACTATCATCTGGCTCATCGTCCAAATTTATATCAACAATATCCATGGGGTGGTAAATAACTCTCATCTCGCGAATGCCGTCGGAGCTGATATGAGTACGTTTCCCGCAGATGGCTCGTACCAGTTGCATCTCATTCATAGCAGTCAGTATAACATCGCCATAGCCAGAATCTCGACGATTGCCACGTATACGTAATTTATGTACCAACAAAGCTGGTGCAAGTCCACGAATGAATTTAATAGCGCCAATTTTGCCGCTCCAATCGAATGCTTCTGCAACATAGAGACGCAATCCTGGGACATCGACCTCACCATCCCATTCAATCCCTGCCCTCAGACTTTGTATCTTTGATTCTGAAGAGACCACAGGATGTGTATAATACGACAACACTTCTGTATTCGGAAACTCTTCCGGAATCTTGAGGGCTTTGTGCTTACACCGGAAAAACCTACTCTCATTCGACTGAACCTCGTGGGCAAGATTATTTCTCCAAGCTTCCAGTCCAGCAGCATCTGATCTCGAAATACAGCACAGTGATTTTCCAAAGCCGGCTCTGGCAGCTTCAGATGCAACTTTGATGCCAATGCCAGGAATTCCTTCGGTAATATAGTCGCCCCCACTCATGAGAGCTATTAAGACCATTCCTGCACGGTCCAATCCAGATTTTCCGTGTTTCGTTTTCATTGCATCGTAAACAGAGACATGGGTAGGTGATTTGTTCCCTCTAGTCCCCTCAGAAGACCAATTTCGAAGGGTTAAACCACAACCGAACATCAGAGTATCGACATCCTCACTAAGCACCGCATCCACGAGTCCTTCTTGCTGTAACAAGGCACACTCCGCTTCGGCTTCTCCAGGTGCAACGTGAAATGGGAATCCAAATAATTTCAAAAGCTGTTTAGTAAGTAAATTTGGGAGCATTGCTCCATGTTGGCCCGTCTTCTTGTTCCGCTTGAAAGGTGGCTTGTGAGGTCCATCGAAGACGAATAATGGCTGCACCGAGATAGAAAGGAGACGGAGGAGCCTGTAGTACAGAGTCCGGATTGCAGGATTGGAACCACCTACTCGTTTGTGAGTTTGATATAGCTACAGTTGGCGTAAAGCTTGTTGCTACTCACCCTTTCCAGCTTGGATCTGGAACTGCCAAATTGAGATATCAATAGCTATTCGCAATGGCCGCCCTGCCTGCTCAAACTTCTCAATGGCCAACTTGGAAAGAGCAATTCTCTCTCCGGCTCCAATCTCTCCATAAATCCTTGTGGGGCTATTAGTAGTATCCAGTAATGGTAGAGCCGACATACCCTTTGATGCCCATGGTGTCAATAGACGATTTTTATTATTATTTCCCCCAAATGAATTATTAGCAACACAAGAATGCTCTCATAATTACACACTGCTGCTACTTATAGGAGCAATAGGCCGGCGATGTAGGTATTATATGTGTAGTTGCCAAAAAGGAGACGTTGGATGTCTATGTAGGTATTTATAGAGCTCATTCGACCCTAGTCAAAAACGTCGGCATGGAAACGGAAACTCGCCGATGTTCACAATCATTCAAGGTCGAACACATTCAAATTCCTCAATCTGGTCTTGTCTAAACGTTAAAAGTTTGGATACACTTTTTCTCAAGTCGATGTAGCACCATGTCTTCCGCCAATGGTCCAGCGCACCGCAGTGTCGCAAATATTCGCTCACCCCCAACCGCACATCCAGGAAGTCCGCATACGCCTCTCCGAACGATCTCCTCAGCATTCGGGTCACCTTCTGCTTTGCGGGCAGAAGAGGACTATGTGGTGATTGAGTTAGGAGCGCGGTATTTCAGAGCTGGGTTCGCTGGCGATGCTGTACCAAAAGCTGTGCTGGATTACGGACCAGAGCAGCGGAGGAGAGCAGGGGATTATAGAAAATGGAACATGGGATATGAGAAAGATTGGAGGAAGAGGATACAGGGCAAGGAATGGGGCGAGGCGTATGAGCTTTGGAGACCAGATTTGAGAGGACTGGATTTGGGTCTGATTGGGGACAAGGTTGATAGGGCATTTCGGGAGGCTTTTACAAAGTCAGTATGTGATATGCCGCTTCCTTCGGGACATCGACTAATGCATTGAGAAGGTATCTATTGACTGATTCACGACCGAGGCGTTTGATACTGATTTTGCCATCTGTACTGCCTCTACCACTTGTTTCTACGGTTCTTGACACCCTCTTTACGAACTACCAGCCTCCAACGGTTTCCTTAATGTCAGCACCGGCACTTACGACTGTAGCTGCTGGTCTCCGTTCTGCTCTTGTGGTGGATATTGGATGGTCCGAGACGGTTATATCGAGCATCTACGAATACCGGGAGGTACAATGTACGCGATCAGTTCGAGGGACCAAGATGCTTGGAGAAGAAATGTTCACGATGCTTGTTGAGGCGGTGGATCCCACATCATTGCAAGAAAGGGGAGATGAACGTGGATTTGGAGAAAAGGCACGTAATACACTAAGCTTTGAAGAGTGTGAAGAGATCCTCGTACGGATGGCATGGTGCAAGCCCGGAAAGAAGCCCGAGCAACCAGTAGCATCATTCGGACTCACACCAGTAAAGGAAGAGGACGAGCTGAGGTCTAGCATGAGGACTATGAACATAAGTGGAGACGAGGCAGCAGATCCCCAAATCTCTATACCCTTGAGGTCGACAAATCCACGACAGACGCTCAAACTCCCTTTCTCGAAGCTGGCTGAGCCCTGCGAAATAGCGCTGCTCGGAAAAGGAAACTTGCCTCAGCACCTGGATGACGAAGAGCTGCCCATCCACTTACTGGTATATCGAAGCCTCCTAAAGCTCCCACTTGATGTCCGGTCGATCTGTATGTCTCGCATAATTTTTGTGGGTGGCGGTTCCAATCTGCCGGGCCTGAAAGCGCGAATCTTGAATGAAGTAGCTGCCTTGATTGAACAACGCGGCTGGGATATAGTGCAAGGAAAGGCTGTTGATCAATTCCGGAACAACCCAAAACTACAGAGGACACGGAGCAGACAGGCTGATGAGGGTCCTATGGAAGTATTGCGGGATAGCAATCTCGTTCCTCCAGGTCTGTTAGATCAGGAGCCTGATCCAATTGAGGATGATTTGAGACGGGAAGCAAAGAAGGACCCACCTGTCGTATCAGGTAACCTACGTGCCATTGACTCACTGGGAGCTTGGGCAGGTGGTAGCCTTCTTTCGCAAATGAAGATACCTGCTGTTTCTATCATTGACAGAGACCAGTGGATTCAGCAGGGGCCTTCAGGGGCATCGAGGGCTGGTGAGATCACAGGAACTACTCAACGACAGAGTATGGGACCAGGTGCTTTTAAATCTGCAGCTGGTGACAGATCAAGCTGGACGCTTGGTCTATGGGGCTGAATAAAAATGGTATAGGATTATGGAGAGATCCCGGATCTGTGCAGCATGGGACTTGTGCAGTTGTGGCTTGATTGTAGATTTGTGAACACGTGAATAGCATAGCGAAGAATGATACCCATATGAACAAGGAAAATCAGTCCACTAACATGCCACTCCATTTTAAGAAGTGCTCTACATTATTTGCCTTATTTATTGTGATAGATTATGGTGGGGTTGAGTGCTGACCATTCCAAAAGTTCATTTGTGAAGCTCTTTTGCATCTAAAACATCGACGACATCTCGTCGCAAAACAATGTCACCATCAACACGCACCTTCACCTGCCTTCAATGCCGACTCATAACCATCCGGAAGCCCCCTCGGCGTCTCTTCCACACTTCCCTCCAGCTCCGGATTGACTCTCCCCGCCCTACGTCCGCCCCCAAACTTTCAATCGACATAAAACACATCCGCCAAAACGCCGCCCTCCACGCACAAAACTGCATCGACCGCAACTACAAAGTCCAATCCACGTACCCCGCGCGCATAAACGATCTCTTCGAGCAATGGCACATCTACCAGCACGATGCTCGCAGTCTCAGGGAGCGGAACAACCGCGTCAAGCTGCAGATTGCGAATCGGACAACGCTGGGTGATGGGGATGCCGAGGAGGCGAGGGCTTTGAGGGATATGAGTAGAGAACAGCTATTAGAGGAAGCCAAAAAGCTGAAGGAGAAAATCTCTGCCATTCAGGATAAGGAAGAAGGCATCACGGATGAAATCGATGCACTTGCTGCCAGTATCCCGAATCTCACCTCGGACGAAACCCCTCGCGGCAACGAGCCAAAATTGCTGGGCTATATCAATGATCACCCGGAGCCGAATCCTTCAGCATCTGATAGAGTATGGCGCTCGCATGTACATATTGGGAGTGAGTTGCAGCTTCTGGATTTCGCTGCCGCGGCCACGACGTCGGGGTGGGGGTATTACTATTTACTGAACGAAGCTGCTTTGTTGGAGCAAGCGTTAGTTCAATACGCATTGTCAGTAGCAAGAAAAGCAGGCTGGGGTGTTGTAGCACCGCCGAGTACGGTGTACTCGCATATAGCCTCAGCCTGTGGATTTCAACCTCGGGATCAAAATGGTGAACAGCAAGTTTACAACATCCAGCAAAATGCAAGGGACGTGGGTGTGAAGCCCGAGCTTAGTCTTGCTGGCACGGCGGAGATCCCGCTCGCCGGCATGAAGGCGAATACGACTTTGGAGGAAGACAAGCTGCCCCTGAAGAGAGTGGGTGTTTCGAGGTGTTACAGGGCGGAAGCGGGGGCTAGGGGGGTGGATACGAAGGGCTTGTATCGGGTGCATGAGTTTACGAAGGTTGAGCTTTTTGCGTGGACGATGCCTTCTGATGTTGATTCCTCTACTGTGTTTGAGGGAATGGTTGAGCTGCAAAAGACGATTCTGTCCTCACTTGGTTTGCACTGCAGGGTATTGGAAATGCCCAGCACGGATCTAGGTGCTTCAGCAACTCGCAAGATTGATATTGAGGCTTTCTTCCCCAGTAGGAGGGCAAAGGATGAAGGGTGGGGGGAGGTAACGAGTGTCAGTATGTGCACCGATTACCAGAGCAGAAGGCTAGCAACTAGAGTGGATGTCAGGACCCTTGGAGGGAAAATTGCGTTCCCATATACCGTGAATGGGACGGCGTTAGCGGTTCCGAGAGTCCTGGCTGCCATTTTGGAAAATGGATGGGATGAAGATAAAAAAGAGGTGAAGATACCCGAGTGCTTGTGGCCATGGATGGATGGTTTGAAGGTCATTGCTCCAAAATAGAGGTTTTGTTGAAAACATCTATATGTAAACCAATTTGTCTTCATGTTTTGATATCTCAAGCAGTCTCGACTGGTGGCAGGCAGACAGATGAACCGGTAGACAACTCTGGGCAGCACTGCTGGCAAGTCGATGGTGTCAGTTGCCACATTGAGCATTTCTAGAAACACAATGCATAGAGGAAAGTGAACAAATGATCCAGTCTTACGTACGAGTAGAGTATTTTTCAAGTGGAGACTGGGAATAATCCAACAAGTTACTCTTCAAAAGAGTGCAATCCTCCGCAACCTCACACGTGTCTGCCAAATTGTTTTGCGTATTCTATAGTATGATACTAGCTTCTGTATTTAGTTTTATGTTCTCAAAGTGCAAGGAGGAACAATCTTCGTATTAGTATGCTGCTATGACATTCACTTTTAGCTATAAGGACTTCGCCTTTTGCAACCAGACAGCTATATATACCTCAAAATTCTCAGTGAAGTTCATCTGAAGCAGAGCAAAAAGCGTATTAGCTACCGACTATAAGTTGGTCACGATAGTAACGTTCTTCCCAGTTTCCAGGAGCCGTGAGATGGCCACCATATTCCGAGGGATACTAATGTCGTACTCCTGCCGCAACCGCAGCGTCGATTTGGGCGGGTTGATTTTTTATGGCATGGTTACCAAGAATGGCGATTACTACATCGAAGGCTAAATAAAAATCAGCTTGGTCATTCCTTGAAGAGGATTATTCCGAATCGTTACCCTATTGTTTGAAGAGTGTAACTTCCAATTCTTTGAAGAAGGATTACATCCTTTGAATCTCGAGTGAGGGTACATATTCCTAATATGGTATTATTGCACCTAGGTTTAGTATAAAGCGCTGATTAATAATTAATCTGCAGTGAGAGAACGTACTGGCGTATGCGTGATACGTGGATGTCAGCTGCGTACGGATTCAGTAGTGGGCAATTGCTATGATAACTGTACACTGGTACGATTCTAGCCTACAAAGGTTCTTCTAATCATGCATGCGGGGCAAAATAATGTTCCTTTTAGGGGGCCGATGACTTCTTCTTGGTGACGTTGCCATGAATAGTAATCATTCATGCGCTTTAGCTCGGCAGTCCAAGTTCTCAGACACTATCAACTCTTTCAATGTTTGACAGGTAGAACCACAAGACGAACCTCATCTGAGGACCAATTTTGTAATTTAATTACAAAAGCTGTTGGGAATTGGAATGTCGGTATTATTAAATCACGTTGCGTGGCCTGACACTTTGAAGTGAAGTTACCATTTCTAGTTTATTCAGAAGCCATAGCACGAAAATCAATCCCATTGAAAAAATTCATCAGCAACATGACTACACTCAATGACGGGTAAGTATAGCTTGTTGAAGGAGCCAGAAGGACAAAGTGCAATGTTAATATGAGTCCCAGTCAGGAGCTTCTAGCAGCAGTGATACAAGCCCACGGAGGGCTGGAGCGTTGGAACCGTACCGAAAAGATCCAACTACCTCACAGCGCCCTTCATATTCGCTCTTCCCGGATTCAAAGTCAGCGAACTGGAAAGTCATGAGGGATGCGGAGAAGTTTGGCGAGTTCTGCAAGTGATTCACCCAGATGGGTTTCCAGCGCATACCAAGGTGCAGAGATTCTATTTTGACAGCAAAGACTTTCTCCTGAGACGTGAGGATTATGAGACTAATGTTGCTGGGGGGTAGCTAGCCATTATTGCTTTAATTATCAGAATTTTGATGGAATTGTGATTCCCACGATGCGGAGAGTTGTCAGACGACTTCCAGATAGGACGCCGGTCTTGACTGGACCAACGGCCTTTGGGCTTCAGTATGTTGAGTTGAAAATTATTGATAAGGATGTAGTTTCCATTCTGAGGGCAAGAGAGATTTTTGAGAAGTGAGAGTTTTGTCAATGTTCTTGTTTCCGTGCGTATAGGTTTGTGCCTGTCGTCCTCTATTATCTTGTTGAAATAAAAAAAATCCATACCGCTTCAGCCTTGAGGTGTTGTCAAAGTGGCATAGTAATTACCACAACCTTTTCATGGAGTTTTTTAAATATCAAGAGATAGCAACAGTGGCAGAACGACCCGAAGACATTTCACAGTATTCACAAGGCCAGATTTCGAGAGTAAATCATGAATATCTAATAGAATCTTAAAACCTACTTCCTGTTCTCATAATAACTTTAGATATCTCTTCCTAAAAATTTTGATGGCTCTGGTCGCTCACCCTATCGAGTCCCTTTCTCATGTGGAAGCTTTTCGTCTCTTAATATCCTCAACAAGCAATGCCGTATCCCAATATAGTTTGATATCGAAGAACTGCAATCTATCCCAGCCCTGTCCATCCTCATCATCCCTGATTTCAAACACAAACATCCTTGGCACTGAAATTGGCATCGGATCCCCTTTCACATAATAGCTGACCATCGTCTCAGCATTCACAGTGTACAGACTCTTCCCCGATGTTGATTCATTAACGACGCAGAAGCTCATGCCCGTAAGACTAACTTTGTCAAAGGGAGAGAAGAGTTCCAGCATCCATTTCTTGATGTCTTTGGCACCGGTGTAAGTGACGTTTTTGGTATCGAAGAAGACAGCGGATGGGGCGTAGTATTCGGTATCGGGGTAGTTTAGCTCCAGACTACTAGTGACTTCTGCGAAATATTTGTAGACAAATCGAAGAGCTCGGTTGCTCTTTGTGAGGGTATCGAAGTCGCCTGTGTGCTTGAAAATTGTTGCTGCCATGCTGCTCGCATGGGAGTTCGGAAGTGGGATTGTCTGCGAAGTTTGTGGTATCTTCTTGAAGTAGTTTAATATATGCAATTGGAAGATATAAAGGGTGTTATATAGAAGCGTTCTCGGCCACATTCAACTACTGTAGGGGTTAAACTTTAGTGACAATCAACTCTGCAAGTTTGAAATATGCGAGCCTCGGCTCAAGGTCTCATGCTCGTTGATCATCCGTTTTAGTTCTGGGGTTATCTAGCGTGTGTATTAATCGTACTGCATATTCACTCTCTTTATTTCCGGACGATACTCGGTGTTTGAAGTGTCTCGGCTTGGAACTATAGATATAAATGTTCAGTAATCGAGCCCTCGCTTAAAATATAAGGGTTAAAAGGGGGTCACACAGGGCGGGGTAGTGTCTGAACTCTTTCGGGCGTAAGATGCGACATGCATATAATTTGAACTATAGGACAGCAAGGGTCACTAGCATACTCTTATGGACGTATGATTGCTAGGTGCCTCGGGTCCACCCTGTTCGAAATCTAATAGTAACATATCTCAACAAATAGCTATTCAACAATGCGTATAAGAAATCATTCCCGCGTCGAGAAAAGACAATTAAAAAGTTAATACAACAGACCACAATTTCATACCCATATGATCAAGTTGCATCGATACTATCAAAGCTCAGCAGATACAATGGCTCAACCAGATATCTTCTACGAACCCGCAAAAGTCGAGAAGTCCGGCCTCGCCCACGACCCCTTCAAAAGCTTTGTTATTCCTCGCCCAATCGGGTGGATCAGTACTACTAGTAAAGATGGACTTGACAATCTCGGGCCATTCAGTCAATTCAACAATGTCTCCTTCGATCCTCCGACCATCATGTTCATTGGCCATCAATCCGTTTACAAGCGCCGCAGTAAGGACTCGGTGGTCAACGCAAGAGAGACTGGAGAATTTGTTTGGAACATGGCAACGTATGGATACTAAAGTTTGACAAGGGAACCAACAAGCTAATGCAACTACAGGTACGATACAAAAGTTGCAATGAATGCATCCTCTTTGGAGACTTGGGATGACGAATTTCCCATTGCTGGTGTAACCAAAGCTCCGAGTCGAGTTGTCAAGCCTCCTCGCGTGGCGGAATCACCGGTCACTTTCGAGTGCAAAACACATTCTGTGATCAGAATCCAAGGTGATTCTCTCGTGGGTCACTCAGATATCGTCATTGGGCGTGTGGTCGCTATCCATGTCAAGGGAGAGTACATCACACCAGATGGGGTAAGTAAAATCCTCCTAAAAGCGAAACATATTCTAACATTCACAGCTTTTTGATGTTCTCAAAGCAGCACCTCTGGCACGTCTCGGATACCATCAATACACTGCCATTACCCATGTCTTTGATATGAAGATGCCTTTCATGCCTGATGACAACGTCAGCGGGAATATTCTGGGAGGGGAGACTGGGGATTCCGACTCAACTCTGTATAAAACTAGGGATCATAGATCTGAGGATGAGAGAAGATTTGAAGAACGAGAGCGCAACGCTAAGAGTGGTACTCAGGGAAGGATTGAGGGCAAAGAGGAAGTAGCTGGGGAAGAGTTCAGAACTGCACATATCTAAGACTAATTTCTGACTTGGCAGCATTGCCAAGGGAGCGTAGATTGAATTGATATTGCACCCTTTGGAAAGATAAATCGAGGGCCAGCAGTATACACGAATAGTTCCAGGCTGAAACAAATAGATCAAGACATAACAGAATCTCTACTGGGTGTCTCCCTGTATCGTATCTGTTGTTCTTTCTAACCATCAATCGCAAGTCCGAAGGTAGAAGTTCTACCGTAGAACGGTGGAGGAGTTTGCTTTCTAGAAGCACTTCCACCGCATGACACGGAAATGACACTAATATATCATGGTAATAATCGAAGCTAATGAGCATTTGGCAGACAAAGCTTTTTTTGTTGCAAAGAAGGTAAGCCATTGTGATGTCAGCAGTGAGAGGGCTACGCGGTAGATATATATGGAAAATAGGCCCAGGTCAACAGAAGACTAACTTAGTAGAAAGCGTGCGTTGCTATGGCTCTATGGTAAACACGGTGGTTTATTACACCGCCGACGAACAGAGTCTTTCTCCTAGCACGATTCATATTAAAGCTTTAGCTTCTTACGGAAAGGGAAAATTGTCCTTCCGAACTTGTATCTTCCAGTATCAATAGAAACTATAAAAGTCTTGTAAGTCATAGTAGTACAGACAGGAGCAGGCGCGCGCCAAATACCCTGGAAGGGGAGTATCACTGGCAACGAACAATTCTCCATCTGGTAGTAAAAAGGTATAGGTTATTATGTGGAAATCAAGCTGCTACTCACTAGCTTGAAGATAGATCCTGATTGAGATGAAAATTCAAGCGAGAAATGATATCGCGACAGGAGGGCTTAAATGACAGCAAATATAAGTTGACATATAATCAAGAAGAGTTTATGCTTAGAGATTGATCGTTTTGGATAACGAAATAAATTGCATGCATGGTAGTTCCAGGTACCAGAGTATAGTATTTGCATTTGTGAAGTGAAGAGACACTGGATATAATCTGCATACACAGAACGAATTCGAATTCCCTGGCCCTTGGCTACATACCTAGGTATGGATAGAAATGTTGATTAAGAGCAGCTATTCACTTTACTTGCAAACTCCTTGCAGATTGGAGGTAATCACCTGACTGCAGGTCCATGGACGATGACGAGTCACGAACTATTGCGCCGCTACACAGGAAAGAGAATTCAAACACACTACACTCTCACTCGCGATCAATCAATCCACCACCACGTGTTGCGGCTTACCTCACTCTCACTCTCACACCACCCCACCTAACCTACCCCACCCTTCTCCACTCCACCTCGTCCACTCCACTTCAGCCCCGTACTCCGTATAATCCTTCGTTCCATCCCATCCCATGCCATCACAATTTACGGTATACAGTAATCTCATACAGACGTGTCTGTCTGTCTGTAATCATATACCTAGGTACTTGTACACCGACTTCCTGCACACGCCAGCTTCAGCTTGCACTATCTATGCCAATCTATCTATCTATCTCATTATCGTACTCCGTACTTACCGATCCGCACCGCAGATAAAAAGAAAGCAACGTGACTATGCACTCACCGGCTTGCATTTCACATATATGCACATGTACTGTACTGTATATGTACATGCACCCCTCACTTTTTCAAATGCGTGCGACGTAGGTACGGTTGCGGCGTCAAGATAAGGGTGGGGTACTGTAGGGGAGTGTTTGGGAAAGGACCGATCAATAATGTCACATCCGGATGAGATGGGAAAATGTATTTTGAGTTTGGAGTTGAGGTTAGAAGTTTAATGTTGTACGGGGAAATATTCGGTCGGGCTTCCTCCTTGGCGACCTTCGGTGACATTCACAGTCGGGAAAGCGAATATCAAAGAGGAAGACCGACCGAGGTATTAATAGATTAATAGTAGATAAGGAGGATAATTTATGGCATGACTAACTTCAACGAAGCGATGAGCAATGGTGTTCTATTATGTCGAAATCCGGTAGAAGCGTAGAATGGGAGGAAAACTAGGAAGTGGATATATATGGAGTAAGCGCTGTTGATATTTGGATATTCGTACTGTATGTGCATGGAGGGGTTAGGCGCGCTATGATAAATAAAGAAGGGGACTCGGGGAAGGAGCCGTCGCAGTATTTCCTGCATGTAGGTGGCGTGGTCAACGGCAGTTTTGATCCTCCTTCTTTCCCCGGACAAGATGTTGAGTCTGATGCCGTCCTAGTTGGTTGAAGCTGTGAATGGTCGGTTGGTGGAAGGTTTACGGTATTGAAGTTAATTGACGGGGTTTCCTAAAAGAGCGGTGCGACTAGGAATGATATTGTAAGTAGACACTACGGAGCTTTCAAGCTTTGAAGGTGAAGTCAGCGCGGATGTTCTCTCTGACCAGTTAGGATTTGTGATTGAAAGAGCCGCCGGCAATACTCGCACTCGCGGTGTTTATGGATGCATGTGAGCGTAAAGGGGATGGAGTTCGGTATAGACTTGGAAGGGCTCTAGCTTGTTCCGTGCTGGTACTCCGGATGAAGCTGGTAACAGATCATGTCATGTCGAGATATACTCCGTCCGTATATTACAGTCATTATTACAAGTGACGTAGAAGTTATCGAAAGAGCAAGCAGGTTTAGATATTCATCCCGGTGTATTACAGGTATAGAAGTTTATATGTAGCAGGAAAAAACCCTCATCAATTGTAGACTGCCACGAATTCAAACACACTTTGGCCTTCCCGACCGACAACTATAAACAAGGCACTGAAGGCTAGCAGGTATAGTAGGCAGGCACCTTATCGCATTTAGAATATCGAGTGGTGAGTCTTGACTGGTGATGAAATCTCCGATTCAACCACCAACCACTCACGGGAGGCCCACGTTGTCGGGGCGGAAACCGTTCTCAGCTGAAGTCGTCCCAAGAGAGAAAGGTGCAGCGCAAGGCAGCGTATAGAGAGACGGGTACGGCGCCACGACACCACCAGTGCAAGACCTGGACCCTCACTTTTGCACTTGTTTATTGTTCTTGAAGGCGGCCAAGAAAAAGGCTGGAGAGCGTTTATTAAGTGTGACATTGGCTTTACGAAGTATATCCTGTTGTTCATGCTCGACCGTGTCACGTTGGGAAAAGAAGAATAATGGGATAACCATAACAACAACAACAACAACCTTGATTCTGTCGACATCTCAGCCCTCAGGTGCTACTTGACGAAAACAGCCGCTTTTCCCGTATGTATATCTTCTCTTTGTTCTGCTTTGCTTGCATTCTCGTCTGCGTGTAATGTACCATGCCATACAATACCTACTCGCAGCCACATACCTTGATAGATAGTCACCGACATCCAGTGCAATGCTGATTCCGAACCCTGGTTTTTAGATCGCCACTAATAGTAAATACTCGTACTGTGCTACGCATCTCGTATGGTGGTGGCACGAAGAGTTTGGAATAATCGCTCGTCGTGTGGACCGTCGAGTGGGCCGCCTGTCATCATTGTTTTAATTCTCACTCAGTCTCACCTCGCAAGCCCAACCTTTGTTTCGAAACCAAACCACAACACTCTTCGCCTTCTTCACCTTGGGCTCCTCCACCAAATTCGCCGCATTTGGCTGGTCTTGCTTCTCAATTGATCGCCAAACACCACCACTACGGATCCTCGAGTTGCGCAACATCACCTCGGTCCCACCTCCACCTCCACCAGCACCAGCACCACCACTACCACTACCACTACCACTACCACTACCACTACCACTACCTAAGGTAGGTAGGCCATCATTCTTTGTAGCCACCCGAATTACGGGTATCTAGCCTACGCGCGCTACCTCAAGTTGGACAAGCACAACAGGCTATCGTGCCTCACCGTAGGCCATTATTACCATTACATTGCGCTGCCAACAAAAAAACTTTATTTCACTTAGAGGCATATAGACATGATGGCCGACATCCCGCGGAGGAAGCCCATGCCAGCTGGCTACCAAGCTGCTCCTCCACAGCTCCAGCCAAAACCCTACGGGCACTCTCGGACTCGAACGACGTCCTCGAATATTTTCCCTACCCAGCCGCAACCGCAACAGCTGTATCCCAACAACATGCAGGTCCATGCCTACACCTCCCGCCGAACACCCTCGACAAACACCTTCTCCACCACCGCCAGCAGTGGCAACGGGCCCGTGCCCCAACGACAAACCTCCCAAGACCTGCGACGGTCCACCTCCTCTCGATCTAACGGCGCCTCTCAACCGACTGGCTATGTGGCTCTGATGCGAAAGCAGAAGGCGACTGTTTGGTGCGATCGAGCCCAACATGAAGATCCGCGCTTACTGGCTGCACAGCGGCAGGCGAAGATAAGGGCTACTATGGAGGTGGTTGGAGGAAAGAGCCACGCTGGACGGGTCTCAACAAGCGGAAATGCTAGCCTGGCTGGCAGCAACAGGGTCGCGGCAAAGATAAGACACGGTGGAAAGGCAACACTAGTGGGCTACAGTCCGGGGGACCTAGTTGGCGGCGTGGGAGGAGTGCCCATGCGATTAAGTGCTAGCGAAGTGGAAGGAGGAGACAGTGATGACGATGGGGATAGCACGATACACCACCAACGATCGGGCAGCGGGAGAAGCAGTGTGGGCAGTAGCAGGAGGGGTCTCACGTACTCTCGAACATCTGGAGCGAGTTCTGTGGTCGGCAGAATGAGTTCTGGGAACTCGCCACCGGGCGAGAGACGGGATTCTATTCAAGAGGATGACCCGGGAGAGACTCCTGTCCCTTCGACCCACCCGCGGGCCAAGGACTATTTTGCGGCTGATGGAGGTGGGGATGGGGCTCGGAGTACGGGCAGTGGAAGCAGTGGGGAACGGGCAGATGGTGTAGCAGAGTTGGGGTCTGGCGATGCTGCGAGACTTGCAAGCAACAGTTTATTGAAGTCTACTATCACTCGGGAAAAGAGCGTCAAGAATCCAGATGAGTTGAGAAGAAGAGGAAGCGTCGATGAACGAACAATGACAATGAGCGCTGGACGATTATACATTGCAAACCCGGACGCGGATAGTGATTGAGTAGAGGCTATACCCGGGGATGAGGAGGATTGGGGCTTATGTTTATTGCAAGATACATTGATGGCGTTCATGAGGTTCTAGGATATCTGGGATTTGGGATGGTTATTGGATTTATCAGGCTGACATGCATCCTGATCGATTAATGCATTTTATGGCTTTGGCCAGTCAGAATAGAGTACGTCCCAGAGACTACTTCTGCCTTTGTTATTAGCGGTATTTGCATATACGATGCCGCGAGGCACGCTTTGGAAAGGAGATAATAGAATACTTGAATACTGAAGCTATTCATGCAGTCGCGCTGATGTGAATGATGAGTAGTGAAACTTTCGATTGAAGAACTGGTGGAATATTATTTAGCTATGAGGGGTGATGTCAATCTAATAATGAATTGGACCCTGTCTATATAACTTGGCAGTATTCCATAAATTAAACCTCTCCTGAGCGGTGGCTAAAAGCGGCACCTGCCCTCCCCAGAACGCGAAACCACTTTCCAACGCGCGCGAAGAATCGCGTCTAACTACAACACCGACTTCTACAACTTTAGCCTCAACAACAAACGCCCGCCAATGATTCGAGAATACCATTGAATCTTCTGTAGGATACGATTCTTTACTCTAATGCTCCATTGACCTTTATTATCAATTGAGCACAACCACAAACCTGAGTCCACCAGTACTACGTTCACGTCGAATCACAATGTCGGTCTCAGAATCACCTCGACCTCTGAAGAGAGACCACGACAGCTTCGAAAGCAGCTTCGGTCTTGAAGAGCCGTATCCAGTACCTCCAGAATACCTTGCAAAACTCGACTCCGAGGACCAGAAAGCGCAACCTGTACAGCAGCCGACCTTCTCCCTCCCCATGCCTCCGGCACCCATCAACACCTCGAAACGAGATCCGAGTCCATCGCGAAGCAATTCAGGCTCTGTACTGAGCGATGTAGGACCCGTCACACCATCTTACGCATCGACGCCGCCCGCCCCAAACAATACAGCGTCCCCCTCTGCTTTCGCAGCCCTAGATGGCTCCGCTCCTCCTCCGGCCAAGAAAGCCAAACTTACATTCGCAGAGAAAGAGGTGAGGCGGATCCAGAAAGAATTCAAAGACCAAGAAAGAGCGGCCGAGAAGGCGAAGCGGGAAGCAGATAGACAATCACAAGCGGAAGAAAAAGCCCGCAAGGACGCGGAAAAGGAGGCTGAGAGGAAGAAGAAGGAGGCGGAACGAGAAGAGAAGAAAGCTGCGCAGGAAGCGGAAAAGGCAGCGAAGGAGGAGAAGCGTAGGAAGAAGGAAGAAGATAAGCTCAGGGCTGAGGAGGAGAAGCGGAAGAAGGAACGTAGTCAGAGGACGCTGGGTAGTTTCTTTAATATTCCTGCTGCTCCCACGAAGTCTCGCAGTGGAAGTGTGGGAAGTCGTGAGAGGAGCTCTATGAGTCCTGCGCCCCAAAACTCGAATCCAAGTCTTGGTGCCCCGAGTCCTGCACCTAATAAATCGAAAAAGACGACATACGACAAGCTATTTCCGGAGTTCTTTATTCATCATGATGTTAAGGTGGCGGCAATCAATAGGTTTGAAAGGGATGAGGAGGCTACGGAGACGATTATACAGACTATTGATAGCTATCTACTTGGGAACAAGAGTCCGGTTGGACGATCTTTTGATGCTACTGAGCTATTCCACTTACTCGGCACCGATTCTCTTCGAGGCAAACGATGCATTCCGGTGAGGGAAATTATGACCGAGCTTTCTGGAAAAGCCGAAAGACCTATCGATTTGACGACAAATTCTCAGAATTCTCAGATCAAGAAGAAGCATGATCTCCTGAAGCAGGTACCCATGAAGTTCTTGTGCTTCAAGGAGGATGTCAGACCGCCATATCGAGGTACATACACCAAACGACCTGTGAATGGCATTCCGAGGTTGGCGAGGAATCCTTTGAGAAAAGAGCTGCCCAACACAGATTATGATTACGACAGCGAAGCAGAATGGGTTGAAGATGAAGATGCAGAGGATTGCAACAGTGATGGCGAAGAGGAAGAAGACGCCGAGGACGGAGAGGATATGGAAGGTTTCTTGGACGATGAACACGACGAGATGCATCACTCGAAACGCATGGTTATTCAGGGAGATCTGGAACCTGTTTCCACTGGCTTGTGTTGGGAGAATGGTAGGAAGAAGAATACGAGTGATAAGATGTTTCCTTATCGAATGGAAATCATTATTGGTAAGTCATCTTATACCATTGCGTGTATATTTACTGATAATTCGGGCTTCAAGATCCAAAACTAAAATCCATCGACCCTCTCTCAACAACCTACTGGTCCCCTCACCCCACCTCAAATCCCGCCATGGACCCACCCCGCATCCCGCTCACAACCCTAAAAACCTCCAACTCCCTACCCTTCTCCTCATCTAACAAACCCGTCAAACCCCTCTCCTTCCTCCCTCAACCCAGCACTCAACCCAAAGACAGCAACAACAAATCAAAGAAACTTCTCCCTCCAGAAGACATACCCAGATTCAAAGCCGCAGTCGAGGGCCAAAATCTGTCGAAAGTGGGTCTGATCGAGGTCCTCAAGAAGCAGTTTCCCAATGCGACGGGCGCCGCTGTGAAGGGCACGCTGGAGAGTGTTGCGAGGAGGGTTGGCGCGAAGGAGGTGGATAAGAGATGGGTTATCGTTGAGGGCATGTGAACTTCACTTGCCCGTACTTGCTCGTACTTGTTGCATTGCATTGCATGTCTAGTTAAATTCACGGGATTGCGGAGCACCGTGAAAGTGAGAATGAGCGTAGGGATAGGGAAGGGAGATGGAGCTGAGCTGAGCATATCATTGCGGGTCGGTGGGTGTTATCTGGCGTTTTTGGAGCTAAAATGCACTGTTTACTTGCTGTGCTGGACGGTTGCTTGCTTGCTTGCTGTTAGGTTATCAGAAGAGAGAGAATTGATATGGCTTGGTGGTGATATTCTTGCTATGATGGTAGAAGTGAGCTAGACAGTAGTGATAAGGTGAGGTAGGTAGGAATTATATGGATGGTTAGTCAATCCAAGGGGCTTCGGGAAGCCAACAACCTATAAGACCTATAATACATTGTTCAATTTTATGAGCATGGCAATTTCGTGTAATGTACTCTACTCCAGTAGCTCTATATGAGGGGGGTTTAAAAACATTCAACGTGATATATATCAAACTGACCCCCTTTACACCCTCGCTTGTCTCTTTCCCCGCAACTATAGGCTCTACCCCACTACATCTACATCTACATACTATAAATTAGGGGTCGTGAATCCGCTGTTCATAGTGATGGGAAGGAAGGCCCTCATTAAAACTGCGTGATATATTGACTCTTACGCCAGTTTGATTCAGACAATGTCCGATATAGTATACACAAAGCCCAAAAATTTGCATCCCGTTACTTATGCGCTTCTCTAAGGGTGCCCTTTGTCTCCGAGATTCGCTATGATAAACGTATTTTAAACGGCTCCAAGAACTCAATCGTCATATTCATCTTCATCTTCATCTTCACCCCCATCAAAATCTCCATCTCCATCTTCATCAAGGACCCCATTAATATACCCTGCAAGATACTCCAAAGCATTGCTAGCCTCGCCATTTTGCTTAATGATTTGTAGCAGAATCGGGTACAAGCGACCAGAAATCTTCCGATCTCCCTCAGCATTCGGATGAATACCATCCCTCTCATCACTGTCCGCGAATCCCGTGTTCATATCAGCGATATAGATAGGAGAATCCGTGGAATTCAGCGCCTTGGCCCACGGAAGAATCAACTCATTCAAGGCTACGACACCGGCGTTGTTGCCAGAGAGAGGAATAAGTAGATCAACCTATTTCCCTCGAGATCAGATTAGAACTTCGCTCTTGCTTCTCTATGTACGAGTATTTTGGCCGTCTATTAATCAGGAATGAGGGATAGGATGAATACAAACTCACGATAATTCTCATACCCTCATTACTATCGCGCATCTGGCCAACCATCTCGGTATACGCATCGATAATCACAGACATATTATGGCGGTGAGTTATATCATTCGTACCCAGCATGAACATAACAACATCCGGCTTCGCAGCAGCCAGCCAACCCACCAGATTGTTGGCCGCGATGTCGACGGCCGTGAACCCCCCATGGCCTTCGTGGTGATGATCCCAGACGCCGGTACTGACGCAGGCTTCTGTATTGCTGTCCGTGGAGCCGACGAACTCGATTCCGCCTGTGGCATGCGCATCACGCAGGGTGTCCCAGAGGAGGGTGCGCCAGCATGTGAAGGCTGTGATGCTGTCTCCGAGTGGCACTGGGAAAGATGTAGCTTGTCAGTCGAGACGCGAGATTAATCGATCAAGGAGTGCGCTTGCTTTTGCTGGTGCTGGTGGAAGGAAGTGTGCTTACTGATCCTTAATTTGACCTGCGAGTCCACGTCTGGAGTTGATAACCTCAGGAGTCCCAAGATCCCGCTCAGAGTCTCAAGCATGTTGAACAGTACCATGACTAAGATCATGTATGTCGAGGCTCAGAATCCGATTGATGAGCAAAGCAAGAAAATCAAATTCGTTGGATGATGTGGGGAGAGACTGAGGTGACAGCTATTCTGTTATGGGTTGTCCCTCTTGTTCATCGTTCTTTCCTGTTCTAAAGAGTCAACTTGGCAAACGGAAGCGGCGCCTTGTGCACTCTGGATGAGGAAGCTACTGATTTGCCTCTTGTAATTTCAGTTTCCTTGAGAACACTGGTAACAAGGTCGAGAGATATTTGGTGTAAGTTGTAACACTCTCTTCGACAGGCTTGTGGAATAACCTTGAACGACATGGAAGTTCCTACCACCATTGATCTGGATCTTTGGCATTCTTTGCAGACGAGTCTGTCAACCAGGTCTCCTATATTTCCTTCCCTACACTTTTTCAGCAAGTCGGTCGGTCGGTCCTCGCTCGTCCTTCGTGATCTCAAATTCCTAGGATTCAGTCCTTAATAAAACCATGCGTCAAGGTTTGTCAGTGTTACTGAACTTACAATGAGCCCACAAGCTAGTAGCACAAGATCACCTATCCTTAGTACTATAATAGTTACTGGCTTTACATCCTCTACCGCCAACTGGGCATTACAAAAACTGCGCAATGAAAGGAGCAGAGCGACAAACAGATCTCGCTCCGAGTTTTACGGGCCTAAGATGAAGTAAGGGGTATCGTGCCACCGCTCCACCTCATGTACAGATTGCACTAATTCCACATACACACCTAACTGAAATCTAAATATATTCTTGATCGGATATATACAAGCTAATTATGTCCCAATCTATCTATTTTCGCTGATGTGTCCTCTAAATGTATGCCCAACCGTGTATCCAGATCGCATGCTTCTATAAACGCCAAAATGCAAGATGTGAATGCCAACGCAAATGCTCCTCATACTTACACACCACCATCTACATCATAATTCATAAACGTAAAAAGCGAATTAGGCTTTTTCTTGTGGCGCCAAATTCGCAGCCCCACTCTCGGTTTCTTTCATCAACTCGTTCTCAATAACAGCCTCACTCGCTTCCGTGATCTTAGAATCCTCCACCTGGCCCTCACCTTTCTCCGCACCATCTTCATCGACATTTGTAGAGATCCAACACCACCCTCTGACCCCCTCTTTAGCAAGGATCTTCTCATCATCCTTCGTCTCCTTAGCATTCGCATCTTCAAGCTCCATATCCTCACGACTCGTCTTCCCAACCTCAACACCATTATTCCGCAACAATTGAACAACAGCCCGTACATTCAACCTTAAGATCCTTTCCGGGTCTTCCACAGCAAGAAAACGCTTCGTCAACCACGGGAATAGGATCCCGAAATCAGACTGTGAGAGATGCGCCGCGCTCTCGGCGTAATAAAAAGCCGGTTCCTTTACACCCTTGGCGGCATAATCGAATGGTACAGTAGTGCTCGGATCAGGGGAAAGTACGCGTTTCGTGGCGGCGAGATGCTCGTGCCATACATAAAACGCTTGGCTCTCTACAGCGAGCAAGCTCGCGCCGCCTTGGCCGCCTGTGGTGTAAGCTGGGAATGGAAGGTCCCAGAGCCAGCGCGTAGACTCTGCGCGTAGGGGCAAACACCACACGTCGAGAAGGATGGCGGGGGATTGCGCGGTGATTTGTGAAGATATGTGTGAGCGCGAGGTGGGCGTGAAGAGGGGCGTATAGGTTACGGGCGCTTCGGGATTTCTGGGAGCGTAAAATGTGCTTTTAATTAATTGCGTTATGGTTGAGGCTCCAAAGCTGTGACCGGCGAATGTGACTTTCCCTGGTCTATGCACGTCCATTTTCTCTTTGAATAATGAGAGTGGGGTGGTAGAAGTATTGAGATTGCTGAGGTTCTCGCCTATGTCTAGCCGGACCAGTGAGTCAAAAATGAGTCCCATTTCCCATAGTCGGATTCGTAGTTGAGCGTTCCGGCCTGCTTCTACCTCAGGAGACACTTTGTGCGCGACTTGCTGATACTGCACTTTTGTCTTGCTTTTCCTACCACAACTATGTTTCTCGCTAGGCTTATTCGGATTGGTAGAAGGAACGTCGCGGATAAAGGAGATAGGTGTGCTCCCATCCCTGTGCTCAGGACATACGACTATCATGCCATGGGAGGCGATACTACCTGCGATATGGGAGTATGCATTTCTTGACCCGCCCAACCCGTGCGAGAATAGCATTACGGGCCATCGGCCCGTAGGTGTAGGAGGTTCAAGCAGAGGGGCATTTTTGAGGGCAGGTATTTGTATGTAGTGGAGGATGCGGGGGAAGAACCTTTATAATTCTCGTCAGCCTCTTCCACAAGTTCCCTAATATTTCCATGTAAAGAAGAAGGTACATACGAGATAAACTCGGATAACGCATTTCCAGCGCCCAGAAACCTGGTGTACGCAGCGATATATTCCCTTTGCGGGCTCGGTATAAAGCTAATGTTCTTACCCTTGAAGTCTGGATCGCAAGGATAGAAGACACGGTATTGGACGGTGGGGATGTCGTTGTCCGGTGCTGGTGAGGCCGAATCGAGTTCTGAGACTGGCAGTTCGACGTCGAGGGTTCCAACAGTGTATGGTCCAGTGTATGGTGGGAAGCCGGGCACTGGATTCAGGCGTGAGAAGTAAGTTGTCATGGTGGAGGTTGGGGTTGTTGTGCACAGTACAATGAGGTTATGCGCAAAGCTTTTATCGACAGGGGCGTTATTCACAAACAAACAGAAAGGAGTGTAATAAGAAACGGAGGAAGGGAAGAAGACAATAATAGTAAAAAGAGAAAAATGAATAACTTGGAAAAACCACTGAGAAGGAAAGAGAAAAAGTTCCCCACATGCCTCGGTATGTTGTTCATCGTTGCTCGCGTGCCTGTGGCGCCCCAATTTTGTGGCGCAAATACTATACTATGTCATCACCTCTTTGATTTATACAACGCCACCCCTATAACTTGCATGATTGAAGCTATGCACATGTATCCGCACAAGATCTCCTTCTTCATCATCTCAGTCGTTCTTAATTACCTGATAACTATCAATGTATATATCATAGAGAGTCACACGGCATCATGCTTCATCCACAGAGCGTCTATCTATACAGACTCGGAATCCCCGGCTGCTCCCGCTGGGAAGATACTAGCAAACGACATTGGTCAATTCAAGTCTTGAGTTTTGAGATTGTGAATATATAGCTTGCTTTATCAACTGACCAAGCTTTTGGCCTTTGTCTTCTTCCTTTTTTTTTTTACTTTATTTTTTATTTTTTAACAAACCTGAAGTTTCATTATTGACCCTTTAATAGTCGTTTGGATTGGAGTTGACCTGCGTTTATAGTTAAAGGTTTTATTTGTAGCGGTGCTGCTCGCAAGTGCGATTTCGCAGACATGTGCTATAAATACCGACATTGCCATGCCAATTTCAAGGGATCAAGCTTTCCAAGCACATTTAGGCCCAAGACAAAAGTGGTCTTGCTACTAGCCTAGATAATACTATTGCTCACTTGAAGTCGGCGTCGGTCGGCTTACTTGCGTTCGGTTGTAACTATTATCCGGCCAAACATTCGGAATACTGTATTGCAGACTTCGGTCTATTCGGGGATAAGACAGCGGACCGAGACTGGCCAGCATATGCAGGGGCATCTTATCAGATCATGCATATCCATCTAATCAGATGCTACACATCCAATCATCAGCGGTAACCTGGAGCAAGTGCTCGAAGTAATACACCGTCTTACGTCCGGGTCGGAAATGACGCGAGTCTCAGAGGACTTGATAATAGGAGCCTGTCCCCAGATACAGAGTACTAAATGTCTTCTGTCTCTTTAAAATAACAAAACAAAAAAACATACATGAAAAAAGCGAAAGATAAATCATGGCAAACGATAAGCTGCGGGTGTTTGGCAAATACTTCCCCGTCTTTCTAAACTATGGATTCTCCCTTCTTGTCCAACGGATCCAAGCTCTCATCCACCGTTACACATGGAAAAACCTCCCCTCGTCCCAGAACGTAGTCGTGATCGGCGGTTCTTTCGCCGGAATAACTCTCGCACGCCGTCTCGCAGAGTCATTGCCATCAGGGTACAAAGTAGTCCTCATTGAAAAGAACTCCCATTTCAACTACACGTTCAACTTCCCCCGCTACTCGGTCGTGCCTGAACGCGAACAGCGCGCTTTCATACCCTACACTGGAATTATGGCGAATACACCCAAGGGCATCTTTGAGCAGGTACAAGATGTGGCAGTTGGTGTGCGGGAAGGAGATGTCGTCGAGTTGGCATCGGGGAGAAAGATCCCTTTCGCATATCTAGCCATCGCTACAGGAGTCACGCAATCACCGCCTGCGAAATTGTTGGCGCGTGAGAAGGCAGACGCGTGTGGAGAGTTGAGGGCGCTGCAAACTAGGATTCAAGATGCGAGCCGGATTGCTATTGTTGGTGCTGGTGCTGTTGGGGTGCAAATGGCTGGCGATATCAAATCGTTTTATCCGGAGAAGAGCGTACTGCTTATCCACTCGCGACAGCAGTTGATGTCTAGTTTCGGCGTGAGATTGCACGAGTATGTTCTTGGGAAGTTGCAGACTATGGGTATTGATATTATGCTCGGAGAACGGCCGGAATTACCGAGGACAGCGGCTTGGGAGGGGGGAGAGTTAACCTTCAAGGGGGTTAAGGATGAGCAGTTTGATTTGATCGTAAGTTTTTATTCAGTCCACATCATATTGCTATAATACTGAGAAACCCATTAGATCCCTTGCACAGGCCAAACACCTAATTCGTCGATAATCGAACAATTTTGTCCCACGGCTGTATCGTCCAAAACCAAGAGAATCCTCGTCAACCCGACATTACAACTAAAGAGCGATGTGAAAACCAATGCCCAAATCCACAATATTTTCTCTCTAGGAGATGTAGCGGAAACAGGGGGTCCCAAGATGGCGAGAGCCGGAATGATTCAGGCGGACGTTGTTCAAGAAAATATACTTGCACTCATCAACGGACGCAAACTGAAAACATATAAACCAATGTCAATCGAAGGAAGTCTCAAGTTAAGTTTAGGAATGGTAAGCTTATAGCTTCTGATGACTGGGTACTTGCTACTATACTGATTCTGGATTTAGGACGAGCATGTCATGTACGTGAAACATGAAGATGGCGACGAGTTTCTTTACGGGGGGAAGAGTAGCAATGTTGATTTGGAGGTGGAGAAGGCTTGGAAGATGTTTGGTGGGGATATGGAGACTAACAAAGCTTCTTGACGTAGCTTGGTGGTGAGTAGGCAGCAGGATGCAGCCTGGAGGCAAAGTAAAGAAGTGAAAGTGCCAGGCGGGCGGACACGTACTTTGTCTTTTTGTTGATACTGTGAATGATGTAAAGATGAAATAGGATAATTATTATGAAAAGATTTGTTTGCGACGAGAGTAACGTTGAAATATTGTAGTCTCTACGTGTACGAAAGCTTCTATATACTGTTGTCGAAGGAGAAGCTCGCGCCCAGCCTGAAGATGTGACGCTCGGCAGCATTGACGGAGGCAGTCTGTGTTATGTCGTAAAAGGCGGAGAATACACGAATACTTCCCGGCCGCTAACCAACCTCGTTCTTAAAACCAATGCCAGGTCAAATATACTTAAAGTCACGTCACAGAATTGGTGACCTCCACATTCATAGAAACATCTTGGCGTGTGATAGGCACTACCTATAGCAGGGACAACACAACCTCGAGTGGCAGTGTTCTGATGATTCAATCAAAGCAAAAACATAAACTACAGGTTTTCATGATAATGAGGAAAAATAATGCCTTGAATATACTTCCACAACTTGAAGTAGAAAACTGAAAAATAATAAGCGGTCTACAGTATGAACCTTGACCCCGAATGATGATCGCAACCTAATCACGAAAGACTGACCAGAGACTGGAAAAGTATTATTCATTCATTCACCGAGACTACCGTCGGAATAATACTCAAAGTCCTTTGGCAAAGGCGCCTCATCCGTTACCTTTGGATCGTCATCCACAGCCAAGAACGGATTCTGAGGAGCCGCAGTCGCATTTGAACTCCCAAGCAAGGACACAGGCACTGGTACGGTCGCTGGTACAGGGACTGAGGCCACTGCCGGGAGTCCATTTGTGAGATTTTTTGTCATAAAGGCAGCCCATTCCCAAGGACGGTCCCTATCTCCTGGTAGAGAATTGATATATTCCCATCCCATGACCCCGCCAAATCCAGGATATCTGTTCTTCAGAGTAATCAAGACTTCTTGCAGAATTTCAAAAGGTACCCAGCCGGCTCCATTTCCGGGATTCGTGACCATTCCAACAACAACTTTGTCTGCTGGGTATCCTCGTGCGACGATGAAGTCGAAACCCTCGGTCTTACTCAGATCTCCCCACCCGCAGTAAAATTGTGTGTTGTACCATGCGATCTGCTTTCCCCGCATAACCTCAAGTGCCTCGTAACTGAATCCGCTCAAATTGTGCTCCGGATTCTCTGACATGAGTGCAGCAGCAACGGGCGCCAATGTGACAATGAATCCATCGCCGAAGTCACTCTTCAGCCTATCGATTAGGCGTATGATACCTGCGAGACCCATCGGCTCCTCCACGTCCAGATCCAAGCCATCGAGTCCCCGTTCCCGTATGAGATTCCGTAGAGGAATGTAGTATGCTTCGAATGTAGCCTCGTCAAGATCGAGCCGTGTGAATGAGCCTTTAGCTGCCCCGCCGAGCATTCCTAGGACTTTGATTCCGGAGGCTTGGAGAATTCGAAGCTCTGCCCATAATGTAAGATACCGCGGATGTGAGGGTACATGGTCATTCTGAGGGGAAGTTAGCTTTCCATACGCTCTGAACCTGTGCACAAAAGCGTTACTAACAAGAGTTATGTTGCCTGGAGGGTCATTGAGGTGGATTGCGGCGACATTGACGTGTGTAACGGCAATATCAGGCTTTGTTATGATTGGCAGGATAGAGCAAGGCGTGCCATCTGGATTATGAAGTGTTTGGTAGTATATAACAATGCGCGGGGTGGGCGAAGAGGGTATCGGAGGCATTGAATTGTGTCGAAGGTGTGTCGTTGAAGTCTAGTACTGTACGTTACCGCAAGGCTGAGAAGAGGTGGCTGGCCTCGGTTGCTTGGTGGACCCACAAAGATTGCCGACTCCTTTCCCTTCTCTCTTCTGATCCTTTCACTCTCATTTGCTCATATGATTATCTTCAATGAGGCTCACTTGCCCTCTTGCAAATTGGTGGTGCTCACTACCATACGCGTACTATAGGCGCAACTGGATAAAACTACGAGACTGATGAAGAACAGTTGGTCTCGAACTGATAGAGTACTTTGCGCACCCCATCCTACGCTCCCTACGTCTGTCTCTCGAGGTAAGAAGCTGTAGCTACAGGTGCTTTAGACCGCTGAATTTTCTCTCCTACTTTTACTGTATTGATCTAGGCGCGACCTTGACTGTGGCTATGGCTGTTAATGTACATCGTGGCGTTCAGCTGAGCGGCAAGATGCCCCAGCCCCTCTCATATGAAAGTCTCGCCCCTTCGATTCTTTCTTGTCTTTCTTTTCTCAACTGTCTATACAAGTTGGGGTAAAATTCAAAAACCGGACAGGCGATGTAAGATGGAGGTGAGCAATGGTTATTCGACGCTAGACGAAAGCAGAGATGAGATACGCCTTATCACACTTTCCCTGCTGCCGGATGAGTTCGATCTCGTTCATTGCACGGTGGAAACGGTGTCGTTAGCAGACCTCACTCCGGATTACCGAACTTTCATCTGTTCCTCAGATAATTCGGGCGTAGGTGCGCGGAAAACAATACGCAAATGGTGTAAGTCAAAAAGTATTGCTCAGCAATCATCTACCTCCGCAAAGGACGACGAGTACCAGTATACTCCTTCCACTACTAGCAACAGATTTACTTGGGGAGATTTTGCAGCCTTATCATATGTATGGGGTGATGAGAACGTTACTGGTACGATTGTCGTGAACGGACAGGAACGAGAGGTCACTGCCAACCTTGAGGAAGCCTTACGGGCTTTCTGTTCGAGAGATGAGTTTACTGGTGGTTTCAAGTTATGGGTAGATGCTATATGCATCAACCAAATTGACCTCGTCGAACGAGGGCGTCAAGTGAGGAGGATGCGAGAGATCTATGGGACGGCATGGACGGTGGTCGCTTGGCTTGGAGAGGAGTGCGACCAAAGCCATAAAGCTATCCAGCTGGTCCAAGATTTGGCTGGTTTTAGCAACAATAAAAGTAGGAACCAGCTGGAGAAGTGGTTACAAGAGGATCCAAGTTTTCTCGGTAACGGAAGCTGGCTGGCGCTTCAGGAGTTCATGGATCGGATGTACTGGTATCGTCTCTGGATTCTTCAAGAACTGATTATGGGCTCATCTGCCGTGTTGATTCGATGTGGTTCTTCCTCGATTGAGTGGAAGACATTCTGTGCTGGCATTTCTCTCTTGGAAGAGGACTTGTGGCTAGTCAAAGACGGCCTTCTTAGGCGAGATGTTGATGCCCAAGGACTGACGAAAAATACGGCATGGTCAACAGCAAGCCTTCATCTGGTATACCAAGACCTATCAGTTCTAAGCCAACTGGAAGAAACTACAGGAGACCACCAGTGCATCAGCTTTGGAAGGATCCTGGACATCGCCAATTGGGCCGAGTGCATGGATCCCCGAGACAAAGTATACGGACTCGTTGGTTTGATGAAACCTGACATTGCACAACATTTGGTCCCTGACTACACTATTCATCCCATGAGTGTTTACGCAAATGCCACCAAACTTTTTATACAATCTTCCGGTAGCCTAGAACCAATTCGGGAGGGCAATCCATGGGGTCCTACTCGAACGCCTTCTTGGATTGCAGATTGGCAATGGGAGGGTCGAGCGCGCATGTCGAGGACAGAAAATCAGCTCTGGGGCCCATCTTGGCTCTCTTCAAAGTCTAACCCCTCGATAAATGTACCCTATCATGCAAGCGGAGCCAGCAGGTACGAAGTTACATTTTCAGGAGATGGCCTCCTGTTGAGCTGCAAAGGCTTCATTATCGACAGTGTTTTGGGGCTTTCAGCACGAGGCCAGGGCTACTTTGCCTGGTCCAAGGCTTCGATAAACCAAATAGGCCAATGGAAGAGTATCTATGGAGATAAAACTGCAACCTCTGAGGCCTTGTATCGAACTCTCGTTGCAGACAGAGTTTCAGGTGGGAACAAAGCGAATGTCAAACACTCTGTCGTTTTCCACCTTCCCGCGACATTTTCTAAAGCTGGCCCACAGTTTAAGAAACGGGGATGGACCTGGCTATCAGCACAAGAGAATTACTATTTCAGATGGCAAAAGTGGCGCGCCGCAAATCGAGATTTCCTACTTGGCGATCACAAGCTCGGTAGCTTTTTTGATGACAAGGTTCCGGAAGGAGCATCCGAGTTTGATTTCACAGAAGTCTACTCTTGTTTTGACCGAACTTGTCAGAAACGACGACTGATGACTACTAAGAATGGATATTTAGGGTGGGTACCTGATAATATCTACGGTGGAGACGAGGATCAGACTCGGAGTGGTGATCTTGTTGCAATCATTCTCGGCTGCAGTACTCCAATGGTTATACGTCCAGCGGGAAAGTATTTTCTTGTTGTTGGGGAAGCCTACGTGCAAGGGATCATGGATGGAGAAGTAATGAAAGCATTGGAGACTAGCAATGCCAAAGTACAGAGCTTCACGTTCTGTTGAAGAACTTGAGCTGCTATCCTAATGTTCTCCCAGAGACAGTTTACCCCCGGGGATAGCTGGCGGGTCTTGGAGTGCCAGGAGAAAGTTTACCATTTCCTTGTGAAATGCTGTGAGCTTATTCTGCATGACTTACTAGAGTCCGGCTCCTTATACGATGATCAATTTCCCATCGTCCAGGCGGATGCTGCTGTTTCCACCACCACGGAAATACTAACTAGTTTGGCTTCCATATCGGCTGAAGCTCCATATCGTCTACCAGCAAATCTCAATGCTGAAGAGGCCGTCGCCGAAGCATCAGGTGCACAACCCGACCCCCAGCCAACCTTCAAAGTCGACAAATCCTCCCTGAATGTATTCAACACCATGTTCTTCACTACTGGGAAAATAGGAGGACCGGGAGAGATACCTTGGATCGATTTTCTACGCGCCATGGCGAATACTGGTTTTACTATCCAAAAGCTCTACGGTTCTATCTGGCAGTTTACCCCTACGAAGTTGGCTGTTGAGCGCAGTATCCAATTCCATGAGCCACATCCGGCGGTCAAGATTAGGTTTACACATGCGCGTCGTATGGGTCGCCGTCTGACGCGAGCTCATGATTGGCATGGTGGGATGTTTGATGTGGTAGTGGGTAGGGGGTCGAAGGTGAGATGACGTGAGGAGGCCGCAACAGAAGTCGGAGGCCGGGGCCAGAGTACAGTAGTAGTGAAGGTAGTGATCTTAGCTTAATTTTTGTGGGATGCCTAATAAGTACTAAAGATGAAAAATTACGAGAGAATGCGTAGAGGACATGCTTGCAGCGTAGTATTACTATAGCCAATACGATATTATTCTTGTGGGGTCCTCGCTAATGAAAGGGGGCTCTTGCTTACTTCGTGGTCAATGCCGGCTGATGAAAATTCCCAAGAACAGTAAGCAGTTCTTCCCCATGCAGTTGCCGAAGCAGAAGTGGAAATTCATGAATAGCAAAGAATAAAATTACATAACCGGGCACTAGAACATAATCCTCCTCCAATCTCCCAAAACCCAACATCTCAATCAACAGATATCACCCCCACTACAAGACCCAGAACACTTATAAGTCCCAATCCAAGACTGACTCCCATAAACATCCATGCCCATAAACCACCCATTAAGCGTCTCCTGCAAATAATCCAAGTTCTGCGGCTCCCCATTCGCCCTGCCCTCACTGGAACACGGATACCCCTTGGTCAAGCCCTTATTCCCATTCAACCCGCTCTCCTTGACAAACCACCCATTATAGCTCCCGATAGCCTGCAAAGCATTATTCCCACTCCCGTCCAGCTGCTGCCGCAGATAGTTCGCTCCCGCATCAACGTTATCCTGGATCGAGCCTGTGCATTTCCCATCCGGATAATTATCACACGACACTTGCATCAGTCCTGGTGTCGGGCCCCCGGAATCCGCATTGCAGGACGATTCTTGCATAGCGATGAATGCGAGAATTACGGGGTCGAAGCCGTGGGCGTCGCCGCCTTTTTGGAAGTATGAATCGTATTGTTTGCAGGCCGAGCCGACGCCAGAGTAGAATTCGGCACGTGTGATGTGTTTTAGGGAGCCAAAGTCTAGGAAGGGTGGGTTCCAGCCGCTGCTGGTAAGGCCGGTGTTGAACCAGTCTTCTGAACTTGAGGGGTGTTAGTAAGTACAATGGCCATGAAAGGGATATATCATATGAGAAATTATAATTACCCGTTGGGACCAGAGCCGGGTGTTACTTCATCGGTTGCGCCTTGAGCATTGGGATTCGTGCCAATACCGGGGTTGGAACTCTGGGCTTTGGTGAGAGCTGCGCAGGCGAGAAGAAGAGTGAGGAGAGTTTTTGGTGCCATTGTGGATGATTGTCTGAAAGGATGGAAAACTTGAAACTTTCAATGACTTGAAAAGTATAACGAGAGTCATAGTACTTATATGAAATCTACTTTGATTACCAACACTGGGAGGATTCATCCGACACATAGTGAACTACTTTCGATACGAATTACTCATTGTGACAAAAGGAAGAGTACCGGGACCCGGTTGTCAGAAGGAAGCAGAATATACCCTGCTGTTATTTTAAGCATATCGAAGTAGTTGCGGAAGCTTAGGAGAAAGCTTAGACTAGCCGCGGGATACTCTAATACCCGCGAAACAAGCTAAGAATAGTTTGAATCTCAACACGACGAGCCATTGGCCACCCAAAACGGGCAGGTCCTTCAAGCCGTTAGGACTTAACCCTTGAGTGACCTTGAGCTCAGAGGGCCAAGCCATGGACAAGCCTACGACGCTGACAACTCAATTTAACAGATCCTTTATAGTGGGCCGTAAGGATCTCGGTTGTCGGGTATAGTACTACTATAGAATGAGTACCTACTTGCATGTTGTTGGAACTAAATGGGAAGGTCGCTGGACAACCGATGGATTCTCAGCCGCAATTAGGTGAGTAGGGGTAACACGTTTTGGCTACTGGCCAGTAACCTTATTCCATCGCGCGGTTGAAAAGGCGGGATGCCGCAAACTACTGCAAGAGATCAGAGCTAAAGGCTTCCTTCCTTCCATCGCGCTACTACTCGTATTTCTTTTTTAAGTCCCACACTCCCTACTATATTTACTCCATAGTTCTATCCTCCCCGCCACTTAGAGAGCTTAGAATTAACTAAATATGGGGCTCTAATTGAGAACTTACACTTTAAGATTCGCTTAGTCCCGCTATTCTCGAGGCTTTCAGCCTTATACTAGGGTTATAGCCAGTCATATACGCAGGATTCCAGAGATCTACGCCAAGTAGTAGGGATTGTCAGATTTAAAATCAAATCCTAGTACTATGGTCGTAGGGTACTATCACAAGCTTCAAGTGAGACGAGCGATACGAGTAGTGATTTAAAAATAAATGATCTGCATTTCTAGATAAAGCCAGGATGAATAGAGAAGAAGAACTACTTTTACCATTAAATGCCATCGGCTAAAAATGACAAAAGGCATCGGTGATGAATTGTAGGAATGGGTATACGAGATAAGAACGGACTGGTGAGGTAAGAGACCCGAGATTTCGTAAGATCAATCAACGTGACCATAAATTAAGTTATATTTGTGCCACCTTTACTAAGACGAGCTTTGCTTAGACTTGAATATATGTTTGTTTCATTGCGCTAGAATTGTTGAGATATAGAAAAGTTCAGATGCGAAAAGGGCCTTGTTGGGAACTTATTAAAGCTCACTAACCATCCCCTATCTTCCCAAACCCCCCTCCCTCCTAATAGGAGAATCCCGAGACCAAATAGCTAGTACTTTAGATAACAGGCCCTAATCTATGGCGAGAGAGATTTGACCTTGCGAGGACTTGTTTATTTACGCATAATAATGAATGAATGAATGCATATGTTCCTCAACCAAATCAAAAATGTAATTCATTCGGAATCAAACGCACACTTCCCTAGACCCATTTACAAGCAAAGCACTGGCTGGTGACAACAATAGTAGTACCTGTTCTACCAGCTCATGCATTTTGACCTGCCCACTAGAATAAAACTCACATCAGCAGCTCCCTTTGATATACATTCGGAAAAATTCATATGACGAAAGATATAACATACCACAGCAGGTCCCGGGACAGTATAGTTATGGAAGTCGTTATAGATATTAACCACATACCCCGGTTCCGTGCCATCGATCCACCCGGGAATCGAGACAAGCGGGCTCGGTATCCCTGTTCCTCCACCTGTCACGGTGATCTGCGCGCACTCGATGTAGAATTGCGGAATGCCGGCCGGGTACGGGTTATGGATGGCGAGCTGTTGGATACGCAGGATGTAGTCACCGCTTGGAAGGGCGGTGGGGATGTTGTATGTGTATGTTTCTATATCACGTATATATCCATCAATTAAACAACGAATCAATGAACAAACCGACAACACACAGCGGTAACAAAATACGTTTTAGTTTTGCGGGATTGGATGTATGGATATATGGATGCATAGTGACTTACGGGCAAGGTTCCATGTCGCAGTTCCGCTCGAGTCAAAGGTAGGACCTATATCGAGAATCTTGAACCAGACCTGACCGGATCCATCAAAGTCTTTTGCAGCAGCAGGAGCTTTGGCCATATAGCTTAAAGAGAAGTGTTAATATATATACTGCATTGAAACACAGAGGCAAACCAATGCATTGCACTGTTCACTCACATTGACAGAGGCCCGTCATGGTACACAGCAACGTCCGAAGTGAAACTAAACGCATCTCCAGCTGCCACTGTAATGGTATCGGTAGCAGACCCGTTTGCGCCAACATTACATCTAAGATAAACAAAAGCTAGGTATCAGTAAACGTCGATCGTATCATCTCATTCGCGGGGAGAAAATCAAGTACCGCGTATCAGTCGATGTCAAATCAATAACAGGCGAGTTCATATTCGTGTTTGGTCGGATGTACTGATAGACAGGATAGAGAGTCCCTCCATGCGTAAATTGCTCGAAGATATCTGCTCGCCCCGCGTCAGTGAACGCTTCCCTAACATGCTCTGTACCTAAATATACTCATTTATCACTTACAATGGGCAGAGCTCTGACTAGCCAAAGCCGTCAAAGCAAGTACAAGAGAAACAGCAGACTTCATATTGATGCGAGGTATCGATCGGTAAGTATACCGAGCTGAATAACAGAACAAGAACAAGAGTACCAGAGAAACAAAACCTCAAAAGGAATCCGATTCTTTCGCTATTTTATATACCCCATCCATCTCTTGGCCACAACCACAGGCAGATATCGCACTGGCCATATCTCACCAGACCCAATCTATCCCGGCTGGTCCGCCCATGTTACACTACCCAGCGTGGTCAGGTTAAGTCTCCTATCTCACTGGAGGAAATATATCCCACGATAGAGTACTTGCTCCACCCCACTCCATAAAAACCATTAAAACGAAATTTCGTCATGACCATTCAACCAGCTAATAAATGATTAAAGTACCTCCCCCGGTTTTCCCCAAGAAAGTTAGCCACCTGGCCCAACTCCGTATCATGCGACTAGCAGGGAAAACAAGAATGCGGAGAGAGAACGCGGAGGTTAGAATGTCAGTACCGAACCCTATTTCGGGTGAATAGGCTAGGGGAGGGGCGGGAATTCAGGCAGTCTGAAACAAGTCTAGAATCACATCCCCGTACCGTATATATTACCACCGGAATTTCTCCTACCTCGTAAAACCCTTCCACAATACAATTTATAATACAACTAACAAATCTCCCTTAAACTCCCAGTTAATATAATAGTATAATTGACGATCAACTTACCTTGAGCACAGCATAGTACAGTACAGTACACCATGCATAGGTATATCTCAAGGAACAGCAAAGCTTAATCCGTAAAGGTCAGAAAGAATACTCACTCACGGTGTCACGGCCCGCGAATTTACCCCTATACGTATTTCTCGCTTGCATGAATCGAAATGTATCACCAGATCAGCCAAAAATCATATACCGGTACTTTTCTCCTGGCATACTGTACGGTGGAGAAATGAGTATTGGACGTGGAGCAGGAGCAGAAGATCCGTCCTTTTGCACCCTAGAGATAGCTGTCGGAGACTCGGAAGGAATGAAATCACACACACACAGTTAGTATATGCACCAAATTTCGCCTGTGCGTTCTGATAGACTTTTTTTTTTCGGATGTAGGACCGTCATACCTTATGATTGTAACACTTCCTCTGCATGAGGGAATGAATAAATTATATCGGATATGCCATGCCCTCCCTCCTCGGAAAAAAACACACTAACAGAATAGCCTTTCCAAATAGATAGTCACGAGAAGCTGCTTTTCATCATGTGACTACATAGACCTGCCGCTTGCATCCGGTACTATACATCGGAGATTCCAACCCCAAGCTGGCCGGAATTGATGGCTCTGCGTCGAGTGCATAAAGCAGAAAGAAACGAGAAAGGACGGAAGACACTGACTTTCCCATGCATGTAGGGCCAGCTTGGGAAAGGCTACAGTACAGTACAGTACTCTTCCCAATTTGTATACATGTCATGTTGCTTGCGTCATTATACAGAAGACGAGGTATGTACAAACTTATTAATACCCATCTCTCTACAGTACTCCAAACAAAACAAACGAAAGGAACCCATTTTATTTTTTCCAAAACGGCAGCGCTCCCAAGACTGTCTATTTGACCCATTCCAAACTCCAACGCTCAATCCAAAGGTCTACCCCATTCCATTCCATTCCATTCCAGCCAACCCGTCTATATCTTATACAACCATTCCTCCAAAATGTACAACCATCCTCCCAATATTCCGTCTAATCAAGAATTTGTATCCAAAGGCGCAGGCGCAGGTGCAGGTGCAGCAGGTGCAGATACAGGCGCAGGCGGAGGATTAACACCCTCCTGGAAAAAACTCCTGCGACCCTCCGTGCGGCCCCTCCTAACGTCATCCAGCGGCATACCAAATTGTGAATTTGCACGGCCAATCCCAGCCATAGCCCGAGGACTGACGCTGCGCGCAGATCGCCCGGTAGTCGCAATGCTTTGCCGACGCATGGATTCAGAAACCGGAGCTAAGTCAGTGTGCTGGGCCTGGCCATTACGATGACTATTGGGGATCGTTGGGCCAGGATGAAGCAGTGTGCTGAGGAAATTTTGGCTCGAGGTTCTCTGTCTACTAAGACTGCGCTCCGTTTTCCCAGCGTTGCTGCTGACGGGCCTGATGTTATTGGAGTTACGTCTAGTGCGAACTCGCACGGTGGCATCGGCGGCTTCCTTTTCTTCCAAGTGCTCACTAGGCAGGAGAATAGCTTTGTCGAGTTCGTAGGGGAGACCGCGGTGGCGGCCACGGATCTGCATGGCGATTATGACAAGTTTGCCGATGACTCCGAATTCGGCAGAGAAGGATGCGTTGATACCGGTGTAGCCGAGGGAGAGGCCGACGGTGCCGTAGGCGCTGACAATTTCAAAGAGTATGGTAAAGAGGGTGAAGTCTGGATCGCCGCTTTGGATGCGGCTACCTTCGGAGATGGAGATGATGAAAAGGCCCAAGAATATGTACCACAGATCGAAGGATAATTGCCTCCGAAGATGGGCTCCAACGTATGAGGGCTCGCCTTCGTCCTCATTCTCCTCGGTTTGCTTACCATATATACCTAGGGATCTCTCTTCGTACACATTGGTTCGTCGAACGGAAATGGCGATTGGAAGGACGGAAATGTACATCATGACGAGATAAGATACTTGAATAGCAGGATGGAGGATGGCAAGATTTACAACTGCAAAGCCAGCAGTTCGCGTCGAGACAGCTTGGAACCAACCATCCAAAACTCGAATATTGACAGGGAGATCCGTGACCACAGTGTTTCCGAGCTATATATCATTAATTTCAAGTTTGACATGTCAGGTATTAAGCAACTCACATCAAGAACGACGAAAAATAACAAGTCAACCGCATTCAAGACCACCAGTATCCAAAAGAGCCACCAAGTTGCCTGAGAGGGGAAAAGTAGTGTGAAGCAACGGCGCGGATGGTCGAGAAGGAACTTGAGCTCTTCCCAAATACCACTGTCTTTTGGTACATATTTTGAGGTAACCCAGATTATGATTCGAAGCATGATTGGGAAGCCGGTGTTTCCGATGATGATCAAAAAGCTCATCAATAATAAAGGCCAAATCGCTTCTGCGAATGAGAGCATACTATCGGGCGTAAGAGTATATCCCAGATCAGTGAAGGCTGAATTTGCAGTGAATATGCCCCACCAAACCTTCCCCTGGCCGTCAGCATCCACAATTGCTGTATATTTGGCATTATGCATGATCCATGGGAGCAGACAGATGACACCGAAGATAGTGAAGCCCCAGAAATATACCGTTAATATTAACGCGAGGGATTTCAATGATCTATATTCGATTCCTCCCAATTCTTCTCTTTGCGATTCGCTGAGATCCACAAAAGCAGAATTTCGTCCAACAGTAGGCTCCCAACTTAGATAGGGCATTCCCTCGTCTTTTTCTCCAGTTAGGGCGCTCCTGATCGTCTGAAAGGTTGCTGCTCTAGACCTAGTAGGATGCAAAGGATGGTCATGGCTATTTTCGTGTATCTTTCTCTCGGACGGAGGCTTGAACATTCTCGGCTTGCGAAACCGTAGAGCACCCAAGGTATGTTTTGCGGCAACGGCGTCCTCTGCCATATGCTCAGTGGTTGGCGACCTGATAGGCTCAGCAATGGTGATATTGCGTGGTCTTGTGGGATTCTCCTCGTCTGTGTGATCACCGCTGTCAAGATTTTGGGCGTCCATACTTTCTCGATGCGATCCAAAGGTTAGCGATCTTCGAGTCATAACTTGTTTTAGGGGATCAGAGTCATCCAGAGCTTCTGGATCAATACCAGCATCAGCATCGCGTGGGCCAGGGATACGAAGAACAGCCCCATCATCCTGCTTTCGTTGACGTTCCAGAATTGCAATATGCTCTTCGTGGCTTCGGAGAACTGGCATACGCAAAGGCTCATCTGCCTCGCCATTGCTCCGTTTTACCTGATCCGCGAACTTGATCTGTGTTGGTGCTTTTGGAATCGACTCTGCTGTTTGAGGGGGTGCGTCGGATCTAGAGCTGTGGCCTTGGCTGGTATCTGCAGTGTCACCAGAAGAGCGGGTAGTATCTTGCATCCTTTCTTTTGCCATATACTCTTCCAAGTCCTCAGGGCGAGCGTCGCCCTTTGTCATGCCGTTAGGTACTGTACTTTTGTGCATAACAACGATATCCCGCCCGTTTACACCCATCTCCTCCGCGTCAAGGTCGCGCTCATCCGTCCTGGCTTTCGAAAAGGTCTTGGCAACACTTCTCCTGCTTTTTTTGGCCTCTCGTGCAATATGCTGGAAACGTTTCTCGAACCAATATAAGCGTAGGAAGACAACAGAGGAATTGATAGTGATTGGATTCGTCAACATGGGGATTAAGTAGATAACTATTTGTTGAAAGGTATTGAGGGTATTGATATCGACCGTGTTCAAGCCACTCTGTGTCGCTGAGCCGCTTGCAATGAAAAGGGCATCGATGTATTTGATATTTTTAACGGGGTAAAGGCAAATGGAGCCAAATATTACCATGCCTATGATCCAGAAGTCTGCAGAAGAAGAATCAGTACCTGATAGTTGGCAGAAGGATTGGGAGTTAACTCACAGTGGACAGTGATGAAATTGAAATGCGGACTCTTTGAAATGAAAGCGGGCTTCAAAGACTGGACGTGATTCCACACCTCGAGGAGCATCGAGTACATCTTGGCGGCGGGAGTCTGCGATGGTAGTTGTTGATCGTGTTATTCTCTCTTGCTCTCCTGTCCTTCTCTGCTGTTTCCCGCTCCTTCTCTGGCCGCAGCGTGGCGGGAGTGTTGGCGGTTTGATGTCAGCTTGTTTTAGCTACCAGGGCTGGAATTGACATTGCTTAGGTCGAGCAAAAACATTTTGCGAGTCAGTCTAGGAAACAGGGAACTATAGGGATATAGATAGGTAGGGTGAACGGCGTGGGTGCGTGCGCAATAGTGATAGGTTGATGTAATTGAGGATGTTCCCATGGATATGTATGCAGATGCAAGCAAGTTGATAACGAGTCCAGTGGTAGCGTGCGTGCGCGCCTTCCTATTGGTGTGAGCTGGCAGTATATTTCTGGCAGATATATTTTGAAAGGAGAAGACAAGAATTTAGGAGTTTCAAAATGAGCGGGATCTGATGATTACGATTGTTGCAAATACAACGGCTACGGAGTACTGTATAGTCCAGCCCATCCATCCGAATATAACCAACCCCAATCCATGTTCCTGGGCTGGAATGATCCTCGGCTCGGAAGCGCGCATACGATTCCGGTAGTCATTCTCCGTATCAATGCATCGGCATTTCCAGTTTCCCTCTCTCTCCTTTTCTGTTTCTCTTGCTCTGAGTAAGTAAGTGCAATCTTACATACAGGAGAAGAATTGAAGAGATTGTTTTATTCATGACTGACTATGACTAAGACGTAATATTTAGATAGGTGAAGATATACCCTCCATAAACACAGTTACTACATAAGCAACACCTTATCTCAAGATCAACCACATCCACATCCACATCCACTCCCAGTGCCAAGATTTGATCGGCAGTGTGATGGCGGCTCCACGCATTAGCTCCGACGATGAATCGTCCGGTTATGATCTTTTAGTAGACTGTTACTGTACTGTATCTTGACGTCCTGTCGTGAGCTGTCCAAGTCTTATAATGCACATATTTGCCGTTCCAAACCATGTTTCTAAGCTGGTAGGGGTGTTTCCTCGTGTCTACATGACCGTCGCTGCTGGTCAACTTGTAAACGAGTGAAATGCCGATGGAGTCATGTTTTTACCGCACCGAATGTTGCCCTCACCAAAGCCTTAGGCCACAGGGCTTACGGTCGAAGCCGATTCGAGGCTTATATATATGCAGCGTACCTGTCCACTGTAGAGTTATTTCTCAGTAGCATCTGCGGGCTGTGATGCGTAGCAAGCAATACTAAAGCGACGCTTCCCCTTCTTCAAGTGATTGGTCCTTTAAAGTTCAAAGGAAGTCCCTCCCACATTTCGCATTACGCTTGCGGGTTTTGTCAATCGTTTATTTTATTTGCTGTACCTAGGAACGTCTTCTTTGATTGCGAGGGGAGACGAGGTTATGGCGTTCCGGGCTTAATTTTGGGCAAGGAGCATGAGTACAAGTGTTAAACATTGGATCATTGCAATTCAGGATCTTACGGCTGTAAGTTGATAGAGCGGAAGAAGGCTGCGGATTGATCGGAGATCTTTGAAATCTAGCGAGGAGACGCAAAAAGAATAATTTCATCCATCCATCCCCTCTTCTCCTAGTAGTTCGAATTTCTTCACTGTAGAGTCACAAGTGCTGGAAAAAGCACTGTCCCATCTGTTCTTTGACCTTCCTCTCTATTGATGAACTCTCCTAAACTTCCAATGTCTTGCGCCGAGAGGGTTTCATCCTTGAATCGTTTTGTTTCATACTTGATGACAGATGGCAACAGGCAGAACAGCGAATTTCCCTTCTTCGGAGCACTGCCAACGACGGCGGGAGAAGCCTGCGTCATCTTCTCTGGGTCGTATTTTGTTCCTGAAGGCAGAGGCTGCAACTCGTAATACTGGCCGGACAATACAGCTTTTGTTTTCAACTTCAAACAGTCCTTGATGACCGGTAAAAAAACGCCATACAGTGATTTCGATGCATTTTGCGGCTGTTCGGCTAGAGGAATATTTTCTGCCTGTGAACCAGCTTCCAAGAAAATGGCAAGTGCCTCCACAAGTTGTGACGAGAGGGCGATAGCATGGGCATTGATGTATTGAGTGAAAGTTCCGTCATGATCCTGATAAAAACGTGACCAAGCCCCAAGGTGAAGTCTGTGCAGGGCTTCAGCACCGTCTAACCGTTATCAATTAGTTGGGTACGGACTATGCAGGCAATTCAACGAACCTCGTTGGAACACACAATGCTGATACTCGTATAGAAGAATATCTGAGAGGCTGCTTCTTGGCTGGCAAGTGTCGAAAACCAAACGTTTGACTAGGAGGACGATGATTGCTGCCAAAAGATTCTCCTTATTTGAGTTTGCATCTACGCCCTGCACAGCAGCCTTGATTTGGCTTTCTTCAACTTCTGAGCAGAGGTTGTGCAACTTCTCTGAGCATTTTTCATTGGAGAAAAATACAGCCCCACGATACCTATACAATATCGCCAGGGTTATGCGAAGGCTCCGTGCCCTTAGAGATTCCATCACTTCAAAGAGCACGTGATTCTCGAGAGACTGTGCAGCTTCGTCCTGGCTTGACGCCCTGCCGAAGGTCGTGAACTGGCCGAGTCGATGATGGTCTATGAGGACATCCTCAATGACACGCAGTCTCGTGTTCTGAATGCTGTACTTTACCGCCATGTCATTCCTTTCCTGCTGTAGCAGCTGTAGCAGCGCCCTTAGCTCAGCATTTTGATCTTTGAGTGACAATTGATTAATATTTCTTGTGACGCTGTCATCATGAATCTTTATAGTGTGAGAAGCTATGTATAATTCCAAGTGTTGCACGTTACCTGTGATTTAGACCCGCCTGTCTCTGCTTTTACCCGAGAATTAGATCCTTCCATGACTCGAATTGGCAGCTCAAGTGCCAGAGGCTCGCACATATCGGTATTATGAGAGCCTTGAGATTGCTTAGCAACACAGTCGTGGCAGTAGTGCTTCGTTGCTCGGATGATGGCTCTATCGGTTGTAGAATAGCAACAACGATGATGTTGCCAAACGACGCAGCCTTCGCCATCACATTGCACCAAGAACCCGTCATCATGATCGAAAGGGCAGCAATGCTGGACTGCCCAATCTTTGCGGAGCACCCTTCCTGTTTCCTGCGTCTGAGAACTATCCTTGCTCCTGATTGACGTTGATTAGCTCTTGCTTGAATTAAACACGGCATTGGGCGTGACCTGCTTTCTAGCGGATCTAATCGCTCTGGCTCTTGCCCCAACTTCTTCGAGTAGCCCAGCTTTTTTCTTATCCTCCCTTATCCTGGGTAGAGTATGGAAGGTGACACCTTGCTCGTACAATATGTTCATAGTCTCGCTCTCCAAAGGTCCGTACCTGTTCCAAAGCCGACCCAATTTCTTTGATATGTGACCAGCGTCGTATTCCATCTCCATCTTCTCCGTCAAATGCGCGGCTGCAGCTTGTATGGATTCTTGACGAGTGGCTTCATTTCGGAATGCATCGATGTTGAGGTTGAGATATGAAAGTACAAGAATCTCTGATTCTCGACGCCATCGATTTGATGCCATAGCTGGAAAATGTCTAGAAGTCAAACAACTCAGGTGCTCAACGAACCGCACCTCGCAATTGTTAGGAAGCTGATTTTCCCGAGTATATCTGCTTCTCAAGTGTGTCTGCCAAGCGACCTTCAGGCTCCATCGATGATACATGTTGGGTTACACAAGACTGCTGCAGTCTAGCTTCACACCGCCAATCTACACGCCCAGGTCGTTAGGCAACGAACTGAAACCTGCATATCTGCAAGCGCTGAGCTGTGAAGTCTACAAATGAAAATTGGTTAATCGGGTGAGGCAAATGAGGCAGACAAACACCTCCCAATTCTTTCAAGCATGGCTGGTGAGTCTGCTACTAGAACGCCTATGAGTCACTTGCCAGCGCATGTTGACTCTTCTTAATATGCGTATGTTATTGGAAACTTGCATGAATCGATCTCGATCCTCCCAATTCACGAAAATAACGCGTGATATTCGCAACGCGGCAGGCATTGCAAAGTTATTTGAGTCGCGGACCTGCCCCACACACGAACACAATTCCCGCAGATTGTTCCCATGCAACTTTTGCTTCATTCATCACGAAGATGTCGGATAACCTTCCAGTAGACAGTGTTCGTGCCGCTGTCGCCAACCTTCTTCTCGGGAAGGATGACGGCGACTTGAGCATCAGCATCGATTTCGGGACATCATATTCGTCAGTTTCGTGGATCAAAGGAACAACACTTGACATCAAAGACATAGGAGATATTGCTGGTTGGGCATCTGCACATTCTGTAGGCCCATACTCTAGCGTACCTGAGGTACCATCCGAATGGATGTATCGCAACGGCGTGAAGAAGTACGGTTACGAAGTCCACCATATTCTCTCTAGACCGGGACACGAGGAATGGCATCGTTTGACCAACATCAAAATGCTTCTTGACAGCAGTGCAGACAGCTACGAGATTCGTCGCCAGAACTTGGAGACGATAAAAAGGATAAATGAGACCCGTGCGGATCATGAGAAAATCGGTATTTACGATATTATAGTCGACTACCTCTTCTTTTTACTTAGTCGCACCAAAGCCCAGCTTTCTAAGAAGAACATCCGCGGGAAGAGCCATTACACTCCTGGGGATCCTGTCAAATTCGTTCTCTCGATTCCCGAAAAATGGGACGCGGTTGCCAAGTGGACTATGGAAAAAGCCCTGGCGACTGTGACGGAGATACTCCAGTTTGGGTCAACAGCAGATCTCTTCATGCTCTCCGAATCTGAGAGTGCTTCAACTTACATGTTGGAGAGACTAAGGAGCGCGTGGTCTTCGGTCAGTGGACTCAGGCTTGTCTTCATTGCTGGTTATTAAGTCTGATAACTTCCAACAGAAATCGGAAACGATTATTACAGTAGACGCAGGTGGAGGTACCACGGTAAGAATGCCCTTGTATTTATCACAACACGTACAAGAAAAGCCAATTTAAACCCCAAAAATAGGATGTTGCAACGTTTAGCGTCATCAATGACAAACCTCTGCGCTTTAGACGTGTCGGAATCAGTCAAGGTTTGTCTTCTTGTTATTATTCCCGCTCGAAAATCTGCTTATGTACTATTATGGTGCAGCACACTCAATCGGATCGAGCTTCTTAGATCACCGATTCCGGGAATATCTTGAGGATCGAGTCAAAGAACAAACTCACCTGAATGAGGTTGAAAATGGAAGCACTTTAGTTGAATTGATAGATGCAGCTGTTATCTACTTTCATCGACAAATGAAGCGCTACTTTCAAGGCGACTTGGAAGAGGAGGTCCAGTATGTTGACTTCAATGGCTTGGCCGCTTGTAAAGAGAAGGGATTCGCAAGAGGGCGTGTCGTAGTCACACAGTAAGGCCCCAACTAGTCTTTCATCCTTAAATGACGCTTACTTTTCATCACAGGAGCGATCTCGCAAAGATCTTTGACCCGGTTTGTGATGCTATATGGGAGATGGTTGAGGACCAGATCCTCTCTGCACAGAAAAGTCGGCACGTTCCTTCGGTCAGTCTATAATCACTCACATCCTATCTACAACCTACAGCTGTTCTAACGTTACTAAGAAAATGCTTCTTGTCGGCGGCCTCGGGCTTTCCATCTATCTACAGAAGTTCATAGAAGTGAGACTTGCGTCTAGATATCCCGACATCGAATTAGTCCCTATCGGAGAACTCCCGTAAGTTTCCTTCAAAGCAGTCTGACCAAACTCTATACCAACCTATAAATAGGGAGGCTAGCCTCGCAACTGTCGTGTCACGTGGATCTCTCTTCCGATCACTAAACAAAGAGGTTGGCCCCACTCGGATAAACAATACTGGTTTTGGTATTAGCCAAAACCAGATCTTCCGCCCGGACTTTGAAGGGCATCAAGGAGGCGATCCATTTATCGACGAGGTAGATCATGAAACATATGTTACTTGCATTTACTATCTTTGCAAACCTGTGAGTCTTCCCTGCGAGTAAGTAACATCAATTTGTAGATGACACAAGGGGCAGGAAAAAGATATCCGTTCAGAGACTCACAAAATGTGGGAAACACTCCTGCCTGGACAGAACTTTGATGTCCGAATACCCATTTACATGGGCGACGGATATTGTGTGGATGATTACCACATCGATCACCAAAAAAATGCTAGTAAGCCTTATGAGTTCTGCCAAGACTCACAAGTGAGGATTGCTGATGAAAGAATTAGCAGCGCAACAGCTTGGAGAGCTTTCGTTCAAGACAACATTCGATGAGATAAAGCAAAATGCTACCCCGGGTTCTTTCAAGAAGAAGAATGGTTACTATCTGGTTACCTATGATGTCATCATACAAATGCATGGACTTCGTATGGAGTATGGGATGCGCTTTCCGTCAGGGCCAAAAGGTAAATTACGAGCGAAAGGAGAGCTTCAGAACATTGCCGCAGCCTTTAATCTTGGTGCAGCTTGAGATCATGAGCAATGTTGTTAACCAAGCAGCCATAAAATAAAAGCACAAAGATTAGATTTGCCTCTAGATTTAAAGTGTCTGATAGAAACGCTATTGATTACGGTGTTATCAACCAGAGTAGTCTAGGTTTTAGTGTAGGTGGTGTACAATTCTAGTTTGCTCTACATTCTACTAGGCCGAATTCGTGTACTTTAAGCCAAAGTGGTCCGAATTACAATATGAAATGAAGACACAGGACATTTCTAGTAGTATGCCAAAGTATTATACTTTAGAGGTAACCACTTCGAGGTAAAGTATTTTAAAGACACGTACTCATAATTATAATACTCTGAATGCTAAAATTAGTTTCAGACGGCGATTCACACCCCTCCATATGGGCAGTTCCAGCGCGAGTAGGAGCCAATTCAGACCTGAGAGATCAGATCATATATTTTGGTCCAATTTGAGCTCCCTGGAACCCGATTTGGCCCCCGCCTGTGACAATTACCCCTGACCGTCTACGTGACCTAGATCATTTGACTACCATTTACGCCGCTCAAGTTCCTGCCAAGCCCCGGGCTTGTACTGTTCAAGAGTATTCAGTCCCTTTCCCTTGTGTAGATAAAGCTTCTTCTTCTTTCCTTGGCTCTAGATCATCGACCAAACGTGTTCCTCTACAGCATCCTGACATCACGTGTTACTCGACTTATCCATGCCTATGTCTTGCCCGTGCCGTCACATCGCCCTGGCCCTAACACAGTCGTATAGAATTGACAGCTTTTCGCATGGCAGAGTCGGATAGGGAGTTAACCAAGATTGGCCACTGAAAAAGAGAGCAGGAACGTGACCGAACAACCTGAGAAAAAGGTGAGGCGAGGGTGAGTAGCGCCTGAGCAGAGCGGTGATGCTGATCAACCGCGTTGGAAGTGACGCAGGTTAAGATTTGGTGCAGATTACCGAGGTACGACGCCTCTAACCTTGCTATTGAACTTGTAAGCAGAGATGTGTTTTGATAATGTTATTGGATTCATATTTCATGCGAGCAAGTAAATGGATTCTCATGATACTAACACTTCTGTGCGTTGTATTATATATACTCTGCTATTCGTTGATTACCCATATACCGGCACTCCAAAGTTGTGAGTCTTATCAAAACCCCAAACACCAGGTATCAGGTATCTCAAAAGCAACGTTATTCATGTCTCATCACATTCATACCCTTCGTACCCTTCATACCCTTCTTCACCTAGGTCAACTTCAACGCGATCACCGTGTCGGAACTTTCAACAACAAGCTGCAAACCATAACTTTCGGAACCATCCACAGTCTCGGTCTTTTCGGAAATAGCTTCTCCACCAGACATGACCAGCTCTTCCAACGGCTTAGCCTTCGGTCTTGAGTCCACTGCCTGGATTGCCTTCACCAGGCCTCTTATACCAGCAACAAGAACACCCGGCCTCTCCCAAGCCAGCAGCCCCGCTCTCCCCGCCACTCGCTGAGCAAACACCACATCATGTTTCCTCGATGCCCAAGCCGGACAAATATAGCCATCCGAGTCATCATCACCATGACCAGCACCATCTGCACCAAACACCGTGACGGCCACTTTCGACCTTACACTCTTCCCCCTCTCCTTCTCCAACGCCACCATCTCCTTCATAGCCGCAGTCCAGAATGTAAACCCGCCTTCCGGACCAGGTAACCAGGCAAGCTGCGTGATATTCAGAATTTCCGTGTTGCTGAGCTGGTGATTAGGACTCTTCCTCCTCAACAAACTACACACCAGACTCAACACTCCGACTGGGGAATCGCACAATGCATATGCAAACGTATTCGAGTCCCTCAGTCCCAGCAAGCCCACTTCACCACATCCTCTTCCCATTCTCCGCCTCAAGAACGGTGCTCGTGTTTGTGCCTGTGCTTCCGCTTCCTCCCCCTTTTCCCTGCGCTCGATCCTCATCCGGCGTTCTATGTCCAACGTATTCCAGTCCTCCTGCACATACCCAAACCAACTAGCATGATAGAACCTGGCAATCTTCCACTTCACCCACATCCACGTCTCGCCAGCAAGCGTGGGAACTCCCACACACGGGTCCACGAAATGCGTCCCTAGACACCTCCCCTTGAACCGCTCCCCCAGTATCTTCGGAATCCAATAATCAATCCCCCCTACCGACCTCATCCCGCCCACTCCCCATCCCACTAACAACATAAACCTCATACCCCAATCTCACCATCAACGCATCGAAAACCTCCGCCGTCATTCCCAAAACACCATCCCCTCCTCTATCCCCATCATCTCCATCTCCTTCTCCATCAAACGGAAACGCATCACTAAACCCAAGCCCCGGCAAACACGGCACAACAACATGAAACTCTCCCCTCAACTCCCTCACCACCTCCCTCAACCCCAAACTCAAATTTGTAAACGGGAAACTGGGTATAAGTAGTAGCGGCACCGCATCGATCTCCTGACTCCGTATATGCAGGAAATGAATCCTCAAACTCCTCTCTTTCCACCTTTCCCCCTCCGTCTTTTCCTCACCCCCTCCTCCATCTCCACCCCCATCTCCCCCACAAGCAAGACCAGCAACAGGCACACAAATCCTGGTCCTAAACCCCCCCAACACCCCCATTAAACCCCACTTCCTCCTTCCTCCAATCATACCCCTCACTCCAATAATCAACCAACGCCTCAACCTCCCCCTTCCCCACCTCCGGATCCATCCCCATCAAAAACTCATGCGGCAAACGAGTCAACTCGACTTTTTTCGACGTCAGCTTTAGGTATTTCGACGACACCTGTTGTTTTTCCAATTAATCAACTATTCGTTAAATTGCCTTACTTCTTACACCCATACTCCGCATCATACTGTATACTGCATTGAAATACATACAGAGGAAGGAAGGGAGGAGAGAATAGCAAGGGAAATACAAATTCCAAAACAAGAAGAAGAGAAAGGACAAAACATACACGAACCCTATACTCCTTAACCTCCTCCCCATTCATCGTACTCGGAGCAATACTCTGCACATCCATATCCATATCCACATCCATCTCCTTATAAATAACCCAATTCAACAAGTTAGGGTCCGAAAAATAAATAAAAATGCTAACTCTTTACTCCGTACTCCGTAGATTTCAGTTCACAAGCTTGGCTTAGCTCGAATCCTATGTTGTAGAAATTACTAAATGCAAAGATTGCAAAGAAAGGAAGAAAGAAATCCTCCGAAACTGGAACTATGAGTATGTAAGGTACACCGTCACCGTACCGTCACCATGTATAGCGGGGCACGGTGCGTTGCGGTGCGGTGCGGTGCGGCGCGTCGCGAGCTGTCAATCATCCCTGTCATCGCGTTCGTTGGCATGCATGCATGCATGTCGGTCGTGTTACTTTGCTATACTCCGTTCCGTATGTATTGTATCAGGGCGTGATCAGCAGGGACTCCTCCGTAGGGTTCACCGCCACCGCCACAACGCGACATAGGTACCGGTATTTGTACTCCGTAGAGAATGCAATACTCTCGGGAGTTATTTCACTGTCTTGGATTTCCATTTCCATTTCGATGTGAAGATACATTCCCTATGTTTATTACAAACGCAACGCAACGCCATGCTCACTACCGTAATTGAACTAACGATGATTACTGTAGAGGTTCTAGCTCTATCTCCACCAGCTCCATACCAAAACCCCTTCCTCTCTTTATCTCTCTCCACCTCTCTCTCTCTTAAATAACAGCACTCCTACCCCCCAATCCAGTCCCTACGCCCGGCTCCCCAGTCCCAGTCCTAACCTCCCTCTCCCTCACCCGCTCCCTCTCATTCTCCCCGTTCCCCGCGCCTGCACCTGCACCCTCCGTCGAACCCCTCAGATTCATACTCCCAATTCGACTAACGATATTACTCCCCACCGCATCGACCGCCCCCCGCGGACTACTCAACGTAGGACCCATAGACGCCACAGCCTCGACGCGGAAAAGCTTAATATGACTCCCGTTCCAAACCCCCACCGTACCCTTCTGTACCTGCATCTCGCCCAAGAACACGAAGCTCCACAACAAGCTCTCGTACCAGCCCAACGATAAAGGCGACCATTCGAAATACTGGATCCGGATCGCGGACGGTTCTATGCCGGCTAAGTGGGCGGTGCGGAGAGCTTGAAGGGCTGAGGGGGAGAGCGTGTCCGTGGATGTTGCAGAGGGAGGGAGTAGGGGGGAAAGTTGGGATATTAAGGTGAGGAGAGTGTGCAGTGGGAGTTCAGGAAGCCAGGTTTCGATCCAGGGCGTGCTGGGCTCGAAGGCGCCGGTTGTGGAGTTGAATGCTGTGGTGTAGCTGCTGAGGGATGTAGTGCTGTTCTGGCGGGAGAAAGTTGGCATGCCGGCTTGAGAATCATTAGCTATTGCCCCAAACCTTGTGGAAATGTATATAGTGGAGTGGAAGAGACATACCAGGCATTTTCCCTCTTGCTTTTTCAGACATGCCGCGTAATTGCGTCGGTACTGCATCATCTACGCTGTCTGAAATTGATGAAGCGCGCGATGGCTCTTCTGTAGGGGGCGATGGCGCAGGAGTTGGCTGATCATCATCGGTATCATCGTCATCTTCATCGTCGCCAATGGCAAACGTCCCTTCTTCGGGGACATCGCTGAGCTCAGGGGCGCGAGAGTGGCTTATAGTTGGACTTCTGAGACTATCTGCGGATCCTCGTCTACTATCACTGAAGTCGGAAGGGTCATTGGCATTGGCATGCTTTTTTTGCCGTTTGTTTCTGCGTTCGATTTCTTGTTGGCCGCTTTCAAGGGTGAAGTGTCGTAAGGCTGTGAACTGTTAGTAGAGTATCTTGCGCAGAAATGATAACGGCGTAATACCTTCAAATCTCTTCTTATTACGAAGGACGGCATAAATGAAGTTAGGATTTTCTAAGAAGTTGGTTAGCAGATGTTAACGCAAATTCAAAACTCCTCTTCGTCATAAACACACAAGGTTACGTCTGGACTGAAGTCCTGCAGCTGTCACGGCGATCTCCGAGACAGAAATATTCAGCAGTAAGCCCAAAGATCCCATAGAGCACAGGATGACCCCATTTCTTAGGAAGTCTCTCGGAACAACGGGAGAAAGGAATAATAGCTTACTACTATATTGATGCTCAATAATGGCATTCATGCTCTCCAGTAACGATGTCAGGAGATCATGATTACTATCATTAGCAAGCAAGAATCCAGGAGAGGATATCAAGGAGAAAAGTTGAAGTAATTTCGAGGATGCCGAAGCACTAATGTTTTCGAGATAAGCAGCAACGTTGTTGATGATTGCCAACAATGCCGGATATATTGCACTGAGTTTTCCTTGACTCGTTGTGATTATGTTATAGATTGACTATATCCTATTAGCTTCCAATTTCAAAGTTGAAAGATCAGACTTACGTGAATGATGAAATCAGCATACGCTCCATTGAAGTTCTGCAGCCTGATAGTCGGCGGGAGAGTTTCTTGATTCTCAAACTTCTTATTGAGGTTCTTGCCAAAAGTCGGCTCAACGCTCAGTGTCTGTAAGATGAAAACACACATTCTTACTATGCCCTGCTTAGAAGTATCGAGCTTGTAGTCGATGGCATAGTAAATTATCAGGACGAGAAAATCATGGGATCGATTTGTCTCGATTATGAAGGATCGGAAGCGCTTGTTGCATTGGGTCATCTCCCAAAAGAACATTATCATTTCCGAAGTCAATTTGTTGTTTGACTGCTGGTTTCCTGTGATGTAGGAGGTGCTGGCATGGAGGGGGTAGTTTAGAACTCTGGTAATTCCTTCTGTAATGAATTGAAAGTCTTGGGGTCGATGCAACCGCCCAAGGAAATGACGGAAATAGTCTGAAGAGTGTCAGTACCAAGATAGTTTATAAAGAAAGTGAACTTACTCTTCTTCGTATGTGTTGGATCTGATTCGGGTATCGAGTAGAGCAGAACAACGAGCAAGAACTAAACATATCAGCATCTATGCTATCCACTTCCTTTCGTTTCCCAGCTCACCTGTAGGGAGTATGTGACCAGTATTAATTTCGGATCCTTGAAGACCTGAACATTGTATGGGATTTTCCAAGACGCCGGATTGTACTTCAAAGTCTGGATATGAAATTAGCAGATTTCAGACCTTTTTCTCGAACGACATACGGTATTTAGCAACGAACACAAAACTGAAAGCACAACCTGCTTATCCGGACAGGTAACAATATACGAAATGGCCTTAACACCCTGTACCGGCAGCATATTCGCCGAGAGATACATGCTCTGACTCGTCAACGTCAACAGCAATCGCAGTATCTCCGTCCTATTACTCTCAAACTCCTTACTCGTCCCAACCGGAGTATTACATCCCACCCCACTGGACCAAATCGCATACGAGACCTTATTTTTGCTATTCGGCGGTTTAGGTAAGGTGAAATCCGCAAAGAAAAGCAGGTCGATCAGCGTATCGATCAACTCCTCAGCAAGTGGTTTGACTTCCTCGAACTCCTCCCCTGCAGCCTCCAACTTCGCCAATTCTTCTTGCGATTCATCGAACAGCACATCTCTAGCCAGCGATGCTTTCCTGTAAGAAAATGAGCACCAAGACCAATCCAATGAACCCCAGAGCAAAAGGGACTGGTAGCAAAGATAACTTACCGTGTCCGCTTCCTCCTCACCCCCCAAAAGAACTTATCCTCCCACTCCTGCAGCTGCTCCGCCTCATACACAAACGGCAGAATGCGTGTCAAAACCCTTATACAATTCAACGCATCCTTCTCGGGCGCAAACTCGGGGTCCGGAAACGAAGGGTGGTGTCTGAGTATAAACAATCGACTTGTGACAGCCAGGACCAGCGTCTCGAGGTTCTCCAGCGCTGTATCGCGGGTGCGCCTGATATCGGCGGGCGAGAAGAGACTGAAGATATCTTCGGCAGATTCGGGGAGTTCCCAGAACTAGAAGGGGGGAGCTTAGTAGTGTAGGAGAGGAGGAAAGGCGAGGGGGAAGGGCCTTACGGAAGCCCAGTAGGGATCATCTGCGGCAATGGCTTGGGATTCTGAGAGCTTGAAGATGCCGCGCTTGAATACAAGCTTCGAGTCGGAGGCTCCCATCGTAGTGCGTTGCGCCTGGCATCTGACGTTCAGTGGTGATTTGAGGTTGGATCTGTATGCGTTTGCCGTCTCGCGTACAGTATGACGCTTTATCTAGTTACCAGAAAAAGAAGGCGAGGAACAACAACACGAGATAGAAAGAAGTTACGTAGCATGTGAGTTAGAATTTGATCGCGTTTGAAATGATCTTAGGTAGTATAAATACTAATTTTTCCTTTCCTTTGCCGGTTTATGGTTATACGCTATGGGTATCTACTTATACAACACGAATCTTATATCCTAATGCAATCAGCCAAGCCTAATACTCCCCGAATTCCTCCTTCCTTTATCATAAAGCCATTTACTATTCAATCCGACTGACGGTGCCTTCGCAGCCGGACTCGGCGACCCTGGAGCCTCTGGCAAATTTATTCTAGATGCACCAGGCCCCAACGGACTTGGAGAACCATACGAATGCCTCCTCGCCCCATTCATACCACCTCCCATCGCTTTCTGTAACAAAGGACTTGCTATAGGAGAAAATGGCGAACCCGATACACTGCCAGACATTGGACTCCCTTTCCCAGACATTGGCGAGCTGGGATAGCTGCCCCTGCTGTTGGGAGAACCACTGACTGGCGTCGGTGTCCTCGCATATCTCGGTGGAGTAATAAATTTCGTATCGGGCGTTGCTGGCGTCGAACTCGGTGGGAGACCAAGGATCTTTCGTTGGGCTGGCGTAAGAGGGATGTCTTGAATTTGGTCTGGAGATCGAAACAAGGGTAAAAGAGCAAATGCAATGTTGAACAAAAAGACCAGTTGCAGCAGGTGGTAGATCCACGTCGAGTATGGATGAAGCAGCTTTCCCTCAGTGAGAAGATTGGGAAGACTACAAGTATAGTTGGCATGAAGTTCGCAACGGCTGCGCGTAATACATACCTATTCCATAGCTGCCTGCCAAAGAACCATACCGTAGCCATGCCCCCAAAATTGTACATGAGCATCCTCATGTTCCGATCGGTGAAGTTGGAGGCATTTTGTCGCCTCACGATCTCGTCCAAATCGGGATGTTTCCATGTGCCAGTAACGGGCGTAGATAGCGCTGAAGGGGTTCTCGGTGCGTTGACTGGAGTGGAAGGACGCGCGACAGCAGACGACATAATGAGTTGATTGATGGGGGGTTCTGGAGAGCAGCATTTAGTGTGGAGTCCTCGGACATGGAATGTCAACAAAGCAGGTTGCAGCAACTAACCAGATGAATCCGAGCCTTTGTCCCTGGATGCCTTCAGCGGTAAGTACCTAGATGTTAGTAGAGGGCGCAGCTCGAGAGGGATCCCTATGTTAGCATAGTCGTGAGGTTTGGGTGGGTGGTGAACGTGTTGCGGTTGGTGGTGGTGGTGGTGGTAGTAAGTTTGTTTTCGACGGGATTCAATTTGGCCCCCAGCGCCTTCATCAAGTCAAAATCGCGGTGACTTTCCAACCCCTGCAGAGAACCTAAGAGTAGCCTAGCGGACGGGAACTCCCCGCACTCGGGATGATTTCGGCAGTCCCGACTTTAACCACCGACGCAATAACATAGACAGGCTCACAGGATGATATCGAGTAAGATATCTCCTCTACTCGAGTAATACACCAGACACTTATTGTACACCTACCTATATCTACAAACTTCACGCATTCTCCCACTCGATATTTCCCCCCGCCATCATGGGTTTCGACGACCTGATGTTGAAGCTCGACGAGGCCGTTACTGGGCTCCTTGGACAGTGGGATGCTACCTCAACGGCTATTGTAGGAGCACTCATCGCTTTCGTTGCCTACCAAATCATCACCACCCGCGATCCAGATGCGCATCCTATGCTCCTGGCCCGCCAAGCACAAGCATCACCCGTCCGAAAAGAAGGAGAGTCTGCCGTTTTCCGATCCCACTCAGCTCCTCACGGCATGCCCTTGAACTCCGGCCTTAATGTGAAGGACCCCGGTGACTCCAAATGGAGCCGCGGAAGAGATGGGGATCTTCGAGATATATGGCGCATAGTCATGGCCGGCCGTCGAGACAAAGATGGGGTTGCGACGGGAGAAACGGGTGATCTCTTAACAGTCCTAGGATCCGAACAGATTATCAAGCATAATCTTGGTATGTGTTACACTCCGCTCTACAATAGCTCATTCTGACATTAGTAGCCGATGTGACGCGACAAATAAACCTGATCGGCCAACATATCAAACAAAATGGTGGAAAGAACGTTGCCATCTATCTCCCAAATTCGATCGAATTTCTTGCCGCTTTATTTGCTTGTTCTTTCTACGATTTGACCGCCATATTAGTACCATACCACCAAGACGACCCAGTAGACAAGCTCATTTCCCTTCTTCAAAAATCTGGAGCGGATACCGTAATAGCTGCGGTGGGATCATTCCCATTTGATGTTATCAGCAAAAGCTACCCAGCTCTCAAGCAACTCATCTGGGTCGTGGATGAGGGTAGCAAGCACATGGATTGGAATGAAGTGCCCAAGGGAACTGGCGGTCCAGTTAATGTCTCAACATGGCAAGATATTATTCAAGATGCTGCAACAACTGCGGGGTCAGATCTTCCACTGGTAGATCGCACAAGCGAGGCAAAGAACGTCGTTGCCTTCTGGCCTACGGGAGAAATGGTGGAGTACACAAATGCCAACATTATTGCTGGTGTTGCTGGGCAGCTTACATCCATACCGACAACGCAGCGTATAACCCCCGAAGACCTTTTCCTACCAATCGACTCTTTATCAACCATGTACCCGCTCGTATTAACACTCTCTGCCCTGTACTCAAACGCTTCTGTGGCTTTGAACTCCGTGGCCAGTTTTAGTCCTGACATCGTCTTGGCAACCCAAGGAATTGCCCCCACAGTCATTGTGGCATCAGCAGAAACGCTCGCAAAGACTCATTCAGAGACCGCAGCGAAGATGAACTCCTCTCTATACCAGGCTGTTCACTGGTTCCAAACTCGAGCTCTCGTTCAGCAAGGGGTCATGCCAATTGCAACAGTTTTCTCACGCATGTTTGATTCTCTTCGCCCCATAATTGGAACCACGCCAGGAAAACTTCGCCTAATTTTCGTATCAGAACCAGTCGGCGCCCCATCAACACCTTTAAGCGCCGAGACCTTGTCTGATTTGCGTATTTATACGGGTGCTAGAACCATCTACTCTCTCACATCTGCTAAGGTTGCAGGTGCCGTCACTCAGACTGGGCTTTATGACTACAGAGTTGATGAAGGGACGGATAAGTACTCACACTTCGGAGCTCCCGTAACAAGTGTCGAGATATTCTTCAAAGACAAGACACACAAAACCACAGATGCAAATGCTGCAGGAGAGGCAAGAGTATCCCCTCTATCTGTGAGAATCCAGCTAATGATTGCAGATTTACGCACGCGGTCCCGCCGTTGTGGGAGGAGAAGCATCTCTGGGAGTTGAAGGCAAGACAAAGGCTGATTGCACCCTCGCTTTGGTTTAATAAATAGACGATTCACGGTATATGGATGTCATCTAGGAGATAAATGGACATATTATATCTACTCATTTATCGATTTGGAATTGGAAGGATATTCCATACTCCCGAGCGAGTGCCAGTACTACTTCGAACATTTTCTCATATAAATGTTATATGTTGGAAGGCCCCGAATTTCTTAGGAAAATTTAGAATCGACTTTGGTTCAAGAATACAACACCTAGTATGATTGCCTCTGCAAGTGCACCGTATTCCTCTGTCGGTTGTCTGCCTCATTCTCTTCATAGTATGATTTTATATTATGTTTAGTCTCTCCCTTTTCGAAGCTCGACGCCGAGCGATTTGTATGCAGTCTTTTTAGCCATGCTCTATTATAAGTCAAACCATTACTCAATACTATTGCATGACATTGCTACTTCTCAGATGGCAAAATCACCTTCAAAAGTTCTCCGAGAATGCCAGGTCTTTAACACTTGATATAACTTAATGAGCTATATAAAGAGGTTTGACTATTTCAATTTCCATCAGCCACATCCTAGATTAGATTCTGGTTGTGCCGCTTTGATGGGTCGCATGAGCTATTGGTTTTAGTACTGGTCACATGGTCAATTACCACAAGATGGAACGAAAGGTGGTTGGTAGCTTTATTGCCGCAGTGAACCATAATAATAAGATGAAGCGTCTATTCTCAAAGCTACGAACTAGAGTTATACTCCGACTTCCCAAGCTTCTCATCAAAGATCAAATACCACACGTCGTTACTTTTAGCAACTTACTAGCACTATGCAGTGGCACTCCATTCCTCTCCATAAAATCAAACCCGCCGCTAACAAATGTCGCAATTTACGGATATTCGTCTGAACTGTAGCCCGATATTTGATGATCATACATTGATTGATGCAAAACTACCTCTTTCTACATGGTTTGATCCTCTAGGATTCGCCTCCCGTGTTTCGATCATCAGGGGGTATTGCACGGTTAAGCGAGACCCTTCGATCCCCGGAAAGCTTGATACAACTGCGGCTCATCCTCCTTCCACCTTGTCAATTCTCAAGTTCGCACCTCGTTTTCTTTTTGGACTTCTTTCTTGGATGGCTTGAAAATTGATGGGGCGTTTAAAGTGCGCTGCTTGCTGGGCTGTGCTTTAGTTGATTTGGAAGGATTCTTTGCCTGCGTGTGTTAAACTGCTTGCTTTCTGTGATTCCTCTGGGGTCTAATGTAATCTTACTGGAAAACTGCTCTTAGGCGCATTTGTTTGAAGGGGATGGTCTGTTACGGGACTAGATAAGCCCGGATGCGAAAGTACGGCGTGAGACTCGAATGTATGCTTTTGCGACAGTGGCTCACAGTGTCGACATGTTTATCTGTTATCACCGCCACCTTTTGATCCTTCTAGTTTGAATATTGTCATTATGGGGTTGTTGCGTTTGGGTTTATGCCGAGTGGCTTAGGATAAACTGTCTTGGAATCAATATCTTGAAACTCGATGAGATCTTGCCTTGCTCTAGGGAGACATATAGTTCGTGGGGTCCTTTTGTCTTCTATTTCCTTTTGTCTTTACTACCACAATCATTCGTTACATTCACTCAGTATTTCTAACAGTCGCCGGTATACATTCGTTCAAAATGACTTTCAGCTTTGCTTCTATCGTTCTTCTCTCTCTTGCCTCAACATCTTTAGCAGCTCCACTTGTTAATACCATAGCGCCTTCTAACACAACAATAGAACAGATGGCGGCAAATAGCACAAACTATGCCAACACTACGTTAGAACAAATGGTAGCCGATCCCAGTAATTACGCCGATACTACAGCAGAGCAGATGCCAGTCAATACCACCAGTACCACAGCATTATCTCTTTTAACCAGCGATGTCGCCGCCTCAGCTGGTCCCGTCCCGAGCACAAAAACTGCTTTCACAGGCGACGGCAGTCCAGCAGCCGGATGGCCAACAATAGACAAATGGGCAACCTTCTCCACAATGTAAGCTGTTCCCCCCACCAAACTAATTCACACTCGAGCTAACAACCCACCTCCACAGCCTATCCAACAACCTCCCCTTCCTCCAGACGTCCTGCTCCCAATTCGCCCAACCCAATAACTCCCCCACCGAAATAGCCGCCCTCAGCACCGCCATCCAGTCCATCTCCAACCTTACCGCCATCGACCCCCGCTTCATCCTCGCAGCCGTAATGCAAGAATCCAAAGGCTGCGTGCGCGTCCCCACCACGCAGTCGCCCTCCAATAACATCATGAACCCCGGGATCCTACAGTCCCACAACGGGGCAAATAGCTGTTTCGGCGTCTCTCCGTGTCCGCCGGAGAAGATCCTGGGTATGCTTAGTGATGGGGTGGCGGGCACGGCAGGCGGGGACGGGCTGCAGCAGACGCTGGCGCAGGCGAAGGGGTCGGCGGTGGGGGCGAGGGATGCGCAGGCTGTTTATATTGCGGCGAGGATTTATAATACGGCGGGATTTACGAAGGGGCAAGATTTAGGGGGCGGGAGCACGGCGAGTTATGCCAGTGATGTTGCGAATCGGTTATTGGGGGTTGTGTTTTGATATTTTACGGGTTTGGATTTATGGGGAGAAGCTATGGAGTATTAGAGTAATCTACACTTGAGATTTTACTGATACGCTTCATTTCTAATTGCTGCATTTGTGACTGAGAGCTCGTGGCTTTCAATACAATATCTCCTAATGAGAGCTCCGGGAATCCCAAAGACTTAAACCCAGGAAATAATCTCGCATGTTGTGTAGCTGACTGTTCGATACCCAGAAGAACATTTTCTTTAGTTCAGTACATGAAAATGGTATGTAGAAATCTTGCCCAAGCAACTTTTTCCCAACAGGCACATCCCAAAACGCCCCTCTAAACACCAAGAACACCAAGAACACCAAGAAAACCAAGAACGCCATCCAAATAACGATGAGAAGCTTGTTGTGTGCAACATTTCCAATCGTCGAGAAGAACGTCCCACTCTGCCAAAGGTATTATAGGTATTCAGGCGAATCGATGTGCGCTGAACATCGGTGTCACTTGGCTGCGAGTGTATGACAACTCAATGTTCGCCTGCTTGAAAGCATCCGGCAGTTCGTTGTCGCCAGTGATATCTTTGAGATCGTAATCCCATACATCCCTAGTAGATTCCTCCTTGATCTCCTTCCACACAACCAGTTTTCTTAGTTTGTTGTAGCAGAGCGCCTTGCCTGTGGCAATCGGTAACAGGAAGTTACCCAGCTCGCCTTCTTCAAATTCGTCCTTGTCTCCATCTTCACCCCTGTCATCCACAGCTAGTTGCAGCTGTTCCACTGATGCGGGCAACTTTGTATTGACCCGTCCGTAATCCCCTTCCTCGTACGTGCTTTCTGACAACTCCAATATTCTCGAGGCGGAAGTTCCGAGCGCCAAGAAGGTGAGAGGTATGCCAATTTGTCGTAGCTGGGAGAATGGTTTGAGGTTTGTGATGTTGTCCATCCCTTTTCCATCACCCAGATGGTGATTGCCGTGGATGAACAACTCCTCTAAAGTAGCTTTCTGTGGGTCCAGGGCTGAGGTGAAATCCGTTGCAGATAGGTGTTTATTCCCATATCTAGATGAGAGCCAAATGTTGTCATAGATCTCGTACCAGAATGACTTCAATGCCTTGGGCCATTTGAGGAGTTCAAATAAGCCACCACCCACACAAGCGCTTTGCGGGAACGACAAACTCGTAATGTTTGAAGTATGAGCTCTTCCAAGCGTAGCTACCTCGTTTGAAATGTTCCAGCATCTGACCTCCACAATGGACAGTGAGTTGAGAGTTTCTATACAAAATAGAGAATATAGCTTGTCCGGGCACATGGGAACATTGAGCGATTTGTCGGCCATGTCGAATGCAATCTCTCGGGAATGGACTTGTAAAGAGGTCAAAGCAGGGTTTGATGATAGAAGATATGTCAATTGTGGTTTGTATAGGCCAACACCTTTGAGTTCCGGCGCAAAGTGGACGTTCATCACATTCGTAGAGTCAAGAAGGAGTTTTATAACCCTGCTAACATCAGACTCTTGTCCTCGGAGTTGGCACTCGAAGCTTGCTCCCATCACAAGGCCGAGTAGCGATGTAGATTGTGATAGAGTTCGTAGGAAACGCTCAAGGCTGAAGATGCGTGTCTCTTGTCGGACTCCAGATCCAAATGGGTCGCGGCACTGGATGTATTCGGTAGTCCACTAGATCACGGGAAGTTAGTTAATTCCTCTTCAAGGGTGTTTTGAGAGCAGAAGAAGAGCAAGCTCCTCTTTTAGGAAGTATGCAAGGAGTAGTTGGAGTGCGTGAGACGAAGCATAATAGAAGGGGGTAGGGTAAAATCAAAGAGCCAGTTATCCTTACGTCCGGAAATCTGGGCGTTGGTTTTCCGTTCAACTGCGCATTGAACCTTCCGACTGTAACATTTTCCCATAGATACACGGTATGATACAGAGCAGCAGTAGCTGGGCCACTCAGCTTTCGTGAAGTCAATGCCAACTTTGCACGCGAGTCTTGTGGCAATAGACAAAAAGTATCGAACAGAATCTCAGCGGGGAGACTCTCGAGGGCTGCCATGTTGTAGGTTCAGTAGAAAAACTGCGAAGGCAATGTTGATATGATACTGCAAGTCACAGTCGTATATGCTAGCTTTAGGGAGGTCGCTTTTACTCGCTGCGAGGAGAGTTTGGATACCCAGAAGTGTAGAGTAACAGTCGTAATAGGCGTTGAAGTCGAGGGAGGGAAGGTGGAAATTCAGGTAAAGCCAGTTATTGTCTGTAGGAGTATGTAGTCGATGGGGAGGAGTTCTCGTGTAAGATAATGAAAAAATTCTCTGCAGGCAGGTTGCTTGTCGAGAGACCATATTTCCGGCAATATATAATGGGAGTAAATGCAAATGAATCCCAGGCTTGCAGGCCATCATCAAGAGTCTATCCACTCCCCATCCAAATTTCTGCCTGAACCAAACAATTCAAACTCCTTTATCATCAGCTGGGCTAAGACTTAACCTTCTATTAAGAAGTGTATTGTAGGAATCCTTTTATTCGATCACGAGCCTCTCCTTCGCGTTGTCCGAAAATCCGAATCCGGTATCTTCAAGACCGAAACCTCCTCCAAAAGATCCACAGACTTGAGTGCTATCTTCGCATGCTTACGACCGTCGGTACGAAATCGAAATGAGCGAGTTCAACACAGTGTCTAGAGCCAGCTGGCTCTACCGCAACGCGAGTATGTCACTTCTCAACATCGAAAGGTCCCGAACAACCAGCCAAATAACCGGAACACCTTCATATCTGCGCATACGATCCTCTCATTATCCTTCAGTGGCTGGTACGGCTCTGCGACGCTGTCTGCGCGAGCATAATGCACCAACTGCCGATTTCATGACATTGGGAATATCTGGTTGTTGGTTTAGAATATTGAAGAGGCATGATCGGTGTGATCAAGGGCACTGAGTGGCTACAAGGGTATTCGAAGGGATGGCATGCATAATGATGGCTTCGTTGGAAATAAGGGATGATCTTCGACTGCCGATGGCAATGAGAAGATCGAAAAGTTGGCACTGGGCTCTGGCAGGCTTGTTGGTACTCTATACAACTCGATGGCATCGATACTGGAAGCGTGATACTTCATGATACTGTGGACAGGAATTAGAAGGGGATGGAAACAAAGCATGGATTATAATGGTTGCCAAGGGAGGGATCGGAGTGTGGAATGTTAGCAGGAACTAGTGCTCCCTCACTTCAAGATTTGAGACCCTACATGCACATCTGCAATCCTCATACCATACGACGACAGCCAAAGGGCCCATAAGATCATGTGGAAAGTCATATAAAGACTGAGAGTACAATAGTATGTTTGGTAGTGGTGGTATTATGAGAGATGGATGCTTTTTACAGCTTTACAGCAAAGTTACAGCGTGAGGATACACCGGCTTCAATAGATAGATTATAAGGTCTATATCCACATTATACGGATCCTATCATGATGCAGAGAGAAGCCTCAGTGTGATGGAGTAGAAGATTGGTTTGGATTGATAATAAGGAATTTGTAGCAAGAAAAGAAGCGATAAAGCTATACTGGAAACAGCTGCCGGCTAAGATTTATATAAACGATTACGATTTTGCCTTGTTCTGTTGAACTGAATCATACTTTATCCGCTGAATGACTCTACTAAACTACATGCAAACCATATGTGACTCCAGCCATAAATGAAGTTTGCGAATCATTAGCCACAATGACATTTCAGCCAGCGAGCCATCTTAAGAATAATACATTCAGTATTCCAAGTCAATTTTGTTACTAGAACACATAGTAGTTGAACAGTCAATCAAGTCGTGAACTAGACATGGTTGAGAAATAGACTGGCATTATGTAGGTGGCATTATGTAGGAAACTTTTGCGTATAGAAATTGTAATCATCCCCTCTAAGATAAACTAAGGTGTGTCAATTTTATGCGACACTCTGAAAGTATCGTCTAAGTGAACTTGGCGTGAGAAGTTTTATGGACGCCATCGTATTTCTGAACACTTTGAATCTTGGCAACTGGTGCTGGCAATTGTTTCTTCTTTGTCAAGAGTCTAGCTTAGTATTCAGGCGATTTATCAAATGTTTTATCAATGTATACTTGAAGATGGTCCATGAACATTAACTTCTCAGGCCGCGAGCATAGTCAACAGCTGTGGAGGATTTACCTTAGTTTATTACCTAAAGAGTAGCCCCCGGGACGCTGTATTGAGAATTATATTAGCACACTACTTTTACAAAAAGCACGAAGTAGCTGTAGTGTATTTCATTGGAAATATTCCTGAATAATAGGCTGAATTTTAGAACATTAACTAGGGCCTTACCAGGGGTTTTGGGGAGTTACTATCGAAAGAATGGTCTACTAGTAGGATCTGGGCTTTTTTTTAAGCGCCTCACTCACATAGCAATAAATTTATGGCATGGTATATAGTCAATGAACCGTGTCTATGTAGGTTCTTTCGTTTGTGAGAGAATTGAGAGAATCACATTTAATACCCGTAGGAAAATCTATCGAAACATCCATGGCTACCTCCTGCGTACTCCGATCACAATTACTTACCTAAAATAATAAGAGATTCTAAGACCGTTCCCTGTCACACACTATTGAGACTCTCTTTGCTTGCCGTTACTCCACCCATTTACTACCTCGCGTTCATTAACGGCTTTAGTCATTCTACCCGACAAAACCCACGCATGATAAGTGTCAGCAGCTTCCCGCTCCTCTTCAGTTTTGTGGTCACGCATTTTTCTAAAATCCGGAGGCTTTCCACGGAGCTGGTTGAGGCGGATGACTTCCTTATTCATCAAAAGGACTCTCCTGGTATTTTCAGAATGGGCATACGTTTGTAATCACGGCGCAGTCTTTTGAAAAGCTTTTTCCCGAATAAGGTGGTAATTTTCTCGAATGCCGTACATCTCATGCTCTGTGACTTCAATGAGACGGAGATATGGTTTGTGTTTTGTAAGAGACCCTGGAGGCTGGGCGCCATTAATAATTGGCAGAGTGACAATTTCGTCGTCAATTTGCT